TGCAAACTGTGACTCGCTGCCTCCCAGTTTTCTTGCTCTTGTTTTTTTTACAAAACAAGTTTTGCTTCAGTTTTGCTTTTTGCAATCTTTTTCCCATTGAACTTTAACGAAGCCCATACCTCTAACTTGTTTTTAGGTAGTTAAAAACTTGTTCTGAGGTAGTTAAATTCAGGTAAGAGAAGACTCTGGTAGACCTATTGCTAACCTTCTAGCAATACTAACCCATTCTCACACGGGCAGAAGTAACTTTTGCTTCCCACTGCACATCTCCCTGTGCAGAGCCGTGTGCTTTAGACCCACACAGCAAACCCAAATCACATTCCCGACAAACCCTCTGCATTTCTTGCCCTGCTGCCCATAAACCACATGCAGTGTTTGTGTCTCTACCTTTTTTTTTTAATTCTAATCCTGTTTGTAGGCTTGCAAAATTATCTCTACTAACCGTACTCACCGAAGAGCTGCTTTTTGTGGCCCTTATTACATACACTGTATGTATGGGCACGCACAGACGCAGGGATTGAAACACCTATCGATGGGAACTGGTTGAGATTCAGAGGCCAAATTTCCCTTCTCCCACACGCTCCCCACTCTCCCAGCGGCTGCAGGGCGCCTGTGGAGGCCCCGGCAGCCTTGCTGCATGAAGGAACACGCTGCCTGCTTCAAAAGTTCCTATTGTAGGAGAAAACAGGGAGAAAGACAACTGTCCCGTGCAACAACGTAGCACTTCCAAGCATAAACCCAATAGGATTCCCTGACAGCTCTTTTTGCAAGGAAAGCCCACCTTTTCTCCAGGAAAACCAAAGAACCACTTGCGGTGCAAAACTCCTCATTTGACAGGTGGTTAATCACGCTCCGCAGCAGCAATTCCCAATTTTCCTCCTGCTTTCATCAGGCCACTGCCATACCAATCCCACCCCATTACTCAGAGCCCCAGAACTGCACCAGGCCTCGAGTGCCGGCGCAAACCCAGGCCAGGTGACGCAAAAGCTCTTGCAAATTCCTATGCAAAGGAGGAAGGTTACAAAGGGAGAGGGCAAGCGCCCGCAACGCTCGGTACGAAACCCATTTGTCTCTTGCAAAACAAGATGGTAAATAAGAACCACCAAGGAGAGTGTCTCTCCAGAGGTTATTCGGTACGAAACGGGTATTTTTGGAAAGCTGAGTAGTCTGACTCTTGTTGCAGCTGCATTTCCAGCACAAGCGTGACAGTTTTTCCCCAAAGAGATGGGCAGCTCTGTTTCCCAAACCTACATATCACACCTCACAAATAAGGACATCTCCAGACTACGACAAGGCCACCCTGAACAAAACCCTTGGACTTTTTCCAGGGCACAAAGGCCAATGCACCACAGTGGACACAGGTCGGTAGCTCTCCACGTGCCCTGGGTGCAACATCCCCTTTGAGAGCCACTCTCTGCTCTGCATCGCTCAACATCTCCATCCTGCCCTCATACCCCTATGGTATGGGCATGGTCACCTACATTTGTGGTAGGATTTTGCATCCTCTTTGGAGAAGAAAGTGTGGAAGGAGGATCAAAGTCTTGGCAAGGTCCTCCCTGGCAGATGCTTCACTGTGGGCATGACTCGGTGGTGGCCACTGATGCTCTAGGAACAGCCAGGAAGGCCCCTAGGACTGATCTTGCCCATCTTCTTGCCCCAAAGCATCACGAACACTATCTGATGGCTGGAGCAGAGACAGGCTGAGGGGGAAGCGTGGAAGAGGCTGTGGGGAGATGCTCAGTGGGTCACAGGAATGGCCAACGAGGTGCCCAGTGGCCACAGAAGGAGCCTGGACCATCGCCTCCACCTGGGCCCTGTCCCCACAAGTTGGCTTTGATGTGGGAGCAGAATCAAGCTGCAGTTAAGGGATCTGGGAAAAATGGCCTTTGGAGGGCTGGCTCCATGAAACATCATCCCCAGGGCCTCAACATCATCCCCGGGGCCTCAACATCGTCCCCGGGGCCTCATTAGCCACGACATTTCACAGGGAGCCACCAAAACTGCCTGGCCAAGGGCTAAGAGCATGAGGCAGAGTCCTCTGACAGTGTTGGCTTGGGAAAGGCTCTTAAACAAGTGGCTTTCGCAGTGGGCAAATGCTTTGGTGGTCACTCAAACCACAGCAAGAGGCTGCAGAGTGCCTAGGATCTCTCTAGGGTTGCAGGTGACTTAACAAGCCCCAATTTCCCCAGGCGCTTGAGCTGAATTAATTCACCCCAGCACATCTGGATGCATGCAAATCTCCGAGGCCTCCGACTCATGGAAGCCACCACGGTTCAAGGAATGTTTGGGCCAAGGGCCTCAGGGGTTTCCCCAGTCAACCTGGGCGTCAGCTGCTGCTTTCAAGCCTTGCTGAGTTCCACCAGCCTGAAAGCTGTGGTTTTATCTCCTCCTGCAGCACTTCAAACGCTATCAGACCTGTGATCAGCAAGGACCAAGCACGGAAGCAAGGGAAGAAAGGGAGAACATTTGCTTCTGATCTGAACTGGTGATCCACAGGGTGGGCAAAAAGAAAGCACTGGCAATGTGGCTCCTAGGAGGACCAAATCCTATCAGAACGTCACCTCTTTTGAAGTTCATTCAAGCAGGGCTCAGGGTTTCCATGGTGTGACCGTGGAAGGGCTTTCTGAAAGCTCAGCAACTGAAGTCACGAGCACTGTCCTGCACCGTCCGCCTCTGACGTGCAAGGCCGGGTCTCTGCAAGGTGGCACTTTGTAGGGCTGGAAGGAGGAGCCCAAGGTTGAAGCACAGGTTTGTTGCTCTTATCTTGAGTGGGGAGAGCCTGGAAACATTTTGGGTGTGCAAATGGACCTCAGAGCCCCCCCCCAGCTCTTGGTTGGCAGAGGAAGGGGGGTGTACTGTCACAGGAGCTGCATTTTCCCTCCTTTCTAATGAGATCTAGGCATCATCTAGGCCTATGGTCTTCAAATAGCACCAGGCGGACCCAAAGGAGTGATCAAGCAGAGACAGGGAGGCAAGTTGGGACTTCATCACAGCCGCATCCAGGTTTCTCAGGGCTGCAAAACCTGCCAAGTTGCTGCCCTTGAGGTGAAGGGTGGCTTCTTCCTTGCCATGAAGTGGAGACTTTCCTATGCTCCTGCTGGATGGGAAAGCCCCCGTGCAGCACCTCAGCATCTATGGTCACCGCCCCGAACGCTCCGTCTCTTCCCCACCGCATCGCACCAACCTGGTGAGCAGGGCTCAAAAGAACCAGTAGGACCAGGGCCACTTGTGCCACCAGCCTGGTGGCCTCAGCTCCTGCCTCTTTACCACCACTACCACCGACAACCAGCCCAGGAGGTGCCCTATGGTTGTGCGGGCAAAAAAGAGGTCCCAAACTCAAGTTGCACAGACCTGTCCAAAGGCGAGACCCTGCCTCAGATCACCCCTGAGTGCCTGGCCTTTCATATCTAGTCGTTCTCTACAGCACTTGCACCCAAACCTGCCCAAATGAATTGAGTTTCTGAAAAGAAAACCTCTTTTCACTAGCTAGCAAGAGGTTCAGGTGCTTGGATTTCCATGGGCAGAATGACAAAAAGGGCGGGAATGCCCCAAAGCTCCTTTACTTCCTCCACCTACCTTGGTCTCATAAATAAAATTACCTCTCGCTGCAAGACTCGTGTCCTAATATCCTTAGACCAATGCAGCTACAGCAGCACTACTGCATAGCTATAATTTCATGAAATATTTTATTTCACTTAGCTATGAGATCCATTAAAAAAAGGGAAAATCTCTACCTGGAGAGACTGCACAAATGTCCTAAATCATTGTATTATTTTTAATTGAAGGTAATCAGCTTCAAGTTTACAATACATCTTCCCAGAACCAGTTAATTTGGCTCTAGCAAAGATGCGAAAGCTTCTTAGGCTGCACAATCACTTGTGATTCTGTGATTTGCCTCCTTTGTTAATGCAAAAAAAAAAGTCCTTTATTTGTTTTCAAGCAAATTCAATAAAATCTCTGTGAGAATTTAAATTACGAAGGTCCCTACCTTCTCATTAGCAGATATTACTAGAATAATTCCATGTCAAATAGGCATGTCGCGGGAATAAGAGGAAAAAAAGTTTGCTCCGGCTAACATTTCTCAACGTGCTCACAACACACTCGCGCACTTCTCGGTTGCATTCCTGCTCGCATGAGTCCTCCGTGCACACCCGTCACATCACACCCGCGTCCTAAAACCAAGCAGCCCTGCCTTACGCACAGAAATCAATAGCAAAATTCACTCTCTGCAACGGAGAGCCCCCCAGAAACGCTGCATTGCGCACCCCTTTGAGCGTGGGGTGGAAGCTGCAGCAGCGAGCGCGTTCTTCAGGTGCCCAGTGCGTGCACGCGCCCAGCCCGGCGAGCACCAGCAGCGCTCCCAAATCCGGAGAGTTTGGGATCAATACTGAGCGCTGATCAATACCGCGATCGCCAAGCCCATCGGGTGCCCCCGAGGCGCCCGCGAGCGCCACGCACGAGTCGCCTGCTTACGAGGATGCTCCCAGCAAGGGCGTGCTTGGAAGGATTCCTGCTTCTCCTCCGCTATCGTCACGGGACGTTGCCCAAGAGCCGCCTCGGAGACCCCGCGAGGGGCGGCATCGCCGCGGCACCTTGCAGGAGGTCCTGCAATATAATTAAACGCTGTGGTGAAACCAAACCGTAAACAAGCCATGAATAAAAACCCCTTGAATTATTTTGCTAAACTATAATTACACAATAAGGAAGCAGATTAATTAAGTAAAATATAAGTCCTGAAACTGAAGCTTGCAAGCAAAGCAGTTTATTTTAATTTCCACATTATTTCATATGAGATACAAGTGTTTGCTGTGGGTTTAAAATGTTGGAAGCCATTCCTTGCTGCCAGGCAGGCCAAACCCAGTGGATAAATTAAATTTTTTTGCATCTCAGGCACCTCCTGAAATGTATATAAGGAGAAGGGCTCTGCCTTGGAGAGACTACAGGAGATCTCCTCCCGCTCTCCGCTCCGCTCCCGCTCGCCCTCGCCGCTCGGAGCCGCCATGAGCCGGCAGTGCTACACGTCCAGCTCCCTCCTGGGGCGACGGGGCTTCTCGTCGGCCTCCGCCGTCTGCGGCCTCGGCAGGGGCAACGGCAGCTCGGCCTCCGTGTGCGCGCCGGCGGGGCGGCGCTGCGGCCTCGGCGGCTTCAGCAGCCGCAGCGTGTGCGACCTGGGCCGCGGGCAGCGCATCTCCTTCGGCGGCAGCTGCCGGAGCGGCGCCTACGGCGGCGGCGGCGCGGGGCGCTGCGGCGTGGCGTACGGCGGCGGCCGCTTCGGCGTGGGCACCGTCGTGGGCTTCGGCAGCTGCGGAGGCTACGGAGGCTACAGGGGCCTCGGGGACGGCGTGGCCCTCGGGGGCTACGGCGGCGGCATCGGCATCGGCCTCGGCGGCGGCCGCTCCGAGGGCATCCGCGGCGTGAGCATCCACCCGGAGCTCCTCAAGCCGCTCTGCGTCGGGGTCGACCCGGAGGAGTGCCAGGTGCGCACCCACGAGAAGGAGCAGATCAAGAACCTCAACAACCAGTTCGCCTGCTTCATCGACAAGGTGAGCCGCCGCGGGCCTCCCCTTCGCACCGGAGGCCCCTCTGGGGAGGCCAAAGCCAAGGCTCTTGGGATCCCCCTTCTTGCAACGGTGCCCGAGCGCCCGTAGACCGGGTCTCCCAACCTAGAGACCCTCTGGATTTCAGACTCCGGCCAAGGCTCCAGCACAACTAGTTTAGCTTTTGACCAGTCCTCTAAATGGGAACATCTCCAGTAACCAATATACCAATATTGGATTACATATTATTATATTATAGTTATATATTATATATTACATATTATATATTATTATATATTATATATTGGATATACCAATAACTGCAAGAGAAGGGACTGAGCCACTCAAGTGTGACCGGGCAAAACAGAAACTCTCACTAGAAATGTGCTTTAAGTTCATTTTTAAGACACTTTTTACTTTACAAACACCCAAAAGCATTAGTGTTTCTGAACAGTGTGTGTTCTTCCTCATATGGTTGCATCCACAGCAAGTTAAAATTACTTATTTGTCCCCTCACTCTATCAGCAAAATTATGTGGGGATCACTTAAAATAATTTGTCAATTGCCTAAAATAATTTGTCATAGGTATTTTAGCTAAAACTAAGGGGGATTGTTGCTATTTAGAGATGTATTCTAGAAAATGACTTTTCAGAACTTTCTCTCTGTCTAATTAGCCTTGTTCCACTGAGGAAAAGCAAATGTAGGTAATCAGAGCCACTCTGCTCCCCCCCATTGAAAAATGACTTATTCATGATGTATCTAAAGGTTCTCAAGTAGTAGAAGGCTCTTTAATCTAGAAATGAAAGGCAGGATAAGTATCCGTGGTTAGTGTTTGCATCAGATACACCCAAATGAGATGGATGCGTCTTTTAGCGAGCGGAAGACGCAATCTGGACGGATCTTCTAGCGCAGCAAAAGGCTCGTTACCGTAATCAGACAGATTAACACAGAGCAGGCAGGGGATCCCCCAGGCACGACTGGTCCCAGGGGAAGATTTGGGCTGATCTGCGCTTTATGTGGACAGATTGTGCCTGGTACAACGGAAACCCACCAGGCTCCTTCAGGCTGATATACACGATCCGTCTTGGTTCTGGGTGACATCAGGTTTAATGGAGAGAAGATGCTGAGAAACCACGGCTCTTCTCTTCTCTTCTCTTCTCTTCTCTTCTCTTCTCTTCTCTTCTCTTCTCTTCTCTTCTCTTCTCTTCTCTTCTCTTCTCTTCTCTTCTCTTCTCTTCTCTTCTCTTCTCTTCTCTTCTCTTCTCTTCTCTTCTCTTCTCTTCTCTTCATTTTTAGTTTTTTCCTCCCTTTTCTTTCCTTTCTGGAGCAGAGAAGCACCTGTCCTTTGAGGGGGAACCCAATGGGACTATGCAAAGACCTTTACATCTCCTGCTTCCCAGGTCAGACTGTTGGAGCAGCAGAACAAGGTGCTGACCACCAAGTGGGAGCTGCTGCAGCAATACGTCCTCCCGGCTTCCCGGAGAAACCTGGAGCCGGTTTTCGAGAATTTCATCTGCAACCTGAGGAAGCAGCTGGAGTGTGTCCTGGGCGAGCGCGAGAGGCTGGAAAACGAGGAGCGGTGCCTGAGGGACCTGGTCCAGGAGTACAAGTGCAAGTAAGTCAGACGCACGGGCAGCAGCCGCACGCTGGGGCTTGGAGGGGGGTTTTGGAGTGTGAAGCCCATGCAGGAGCCTCCTGGGGTCCAAGGACAGCAGTACGGGGCTGGTTTGTTGTACTGGGGTCCTCTCAGATGCTGGTGATGGACGGGAAGAGCACAGCGTGTCCATAGGAAGAACACAGCGTGATGGACTTTGGGCACATCGTGTCCATAGGGAGAGGAGTGCGGAAGGACTTGTCCTCCCTCCGTCCCGCCTGCACTTGGCTGAGACTGGTCCTGTTGAATCACCCACACAGTATATTGTGTGTCTCCCTCTAATCTCCTGCCCCAGCGCGATCCCTTCCTGCAAAAGCCCCGGTCTATTTGTCTCCACCTGACACGTTATCCCCATCGTTTCCTTGGGAGTTGCCTCAACCCATCTTCCCAGAGGGAATGTGGGCATTCAGTTTTTAATCTAAGATGCAAATATTCCTGAAAAGCTTCCTGTGTTGTTAGGCTAAGCGATAAAACCAGGGCTTGATTCCTGGTTCCTGATTCCTCCTGATAGCAGAGGATGTAAGAGCAATCTCTGCTCCAAAGATCTAACAGCCAAATACCTCAGATATACATTTTTTCCACTGAACCACCAGCAAGGAGGTCAGATTCCTCTTGGGAAAGTTCTCTTAGGTCCCAATTATCTGCCCGCTTCCCTGGATGCTGCACCCGGGAGGTTTGAGGGTTGCTCAAGCTCCTGACCTTCCTCAGGGCACTTTGCACGCAACCTCCCCACACACTCGCAGAGCAAAGAACCCTTCCACAACAAGCTCCCACAGGAGCAGGACATCACCCTTCAGCAGAAAACCCCATGGTTTTGCACTTTCAGTGGTTTAGCCGTAATTAGTGCCACCCCAGCTTTGCACCAGCGAGACAGCACTACTGCTAGCGGGGACCAGAGCGCTGAACAAAGACCAACAGCGAGGGAAAAATCAAAAGAGCAAAAGGGAAAAGGAGCACGTGGCTCACAGGGAGAGGTCTCAGCAGCCCACCCCCCTCCTCTGCTCCCACAGGTATGAAGATGAGATCAACAAGCGCACAGCTGCAGAGAACGAGTTTGTGGTGCTCAAGAAGGTGAGTCGCACCCCCGGTGGGGCTAACGAGGGTTAAAGAGTGGCCAGCATGGACACGAAATCCAGGTGACGGGCCAGGAACAGAAACAGAGAGTCACGACTCGGTGACACTGCCTGACTGCTCATTGTCCTGAGCTGTCAGCCTCCAAACAGACGGTACCCGAGAAATTTGGAGAAACACATTAAATGTGTTTTCAGAACATGGCATGCAAATATTGCTAGTCTTGAGGGCTGGAACCTGTGAGGTTGCTTCCAAACCTGGCCAGGAAAACAGGCTCTGCTGCAGTTGCTGCTTCCCCACGTCTTCTCTCTGACCCTGTGGTGTCTCTCCAGGACGTGGACTGTCTGTACCTGACGAAGGAGGAGCTGGAGGTGAGGGTGGGCCTGCTGCGGCAGCAGCTCGAGTTCCTCAAGTGCATTTATGCTGAGGTAGGTCGCAGCAAAACCTAGCGCAAGGTTTCCTAAAGCATCTTGTCCTGTGATCACGTCCCAAACATCCCTAGCTCTCCATGTGTACTTGCAAACAACATTATTGCACATGCTTTCGGAAGGCAAAGGGCATTTTCTTGCATGTAGCTGCAAAGTGCGGGGTATTTTTGCAAGAAAAAGCCTCCAAAATTCTGATGAAAACAGTACTCTGGGCTACAATGTGACACCTTCTCACCAAAACACGGAGGCAACGCTTCGCATTTGTTTTTCCACCTAGTTTAACTAAATCCTTAGGCAGTCAGGCCCAAAGCATTCAGTGTTGAGGGATTCACAGCCCGGAAAACTGCTGGAGCAACTGGAATTGCCAAGCAGCAATGCAGGGAGTTGCTACACCAGGACTCCCCACCCCTCATTAGGGAACTGCACACTGCAAAGCCACCGTGTGCCATAACAACAGGTCCCAGCTGCCAGGTCTTGCTGGAAACCAGTCCCCAACTGGAGAGCCCTACACTCTAGCTGTGCATGATCAGGAAGATCTTGGTATGGGCTGAAGGAGACTGAAATATGGTGGATCTTGCAGGAGAGAGCTCAGCTGGACTGCCAACTGTGCGACACCTCTGTCATTGTGCAAATGGACAACAGCCGGGACCTGGACATGGAAGGCATCATCAAAAGCGTGGAGTGCTGCTATGAGGAAATTGCCCAGAAGAGCAAGGCCGAAGTCGAGGCTTTCTATCAAACCAGAGTGAGTAATCACACCACCAGCACCCATGGCAGCATAAGGCCCTGGTCCATAAGCCATTTGAGGGCCATTTCCATCTCTCATGATTCAGCTGAGACGCCACGCCAAAGCGTGCGTTTGCTGCAGCTTGCTAGAGAGGAAGACACACCAAAATCTTGCAAAGGTTTCCAGAATATTAGAGTGTGACAGACCACAGTGGTGCAGATCCATGCAGAACGCTGTCCCTGTCCCTAAGGACAAACGTTTGGGGCTTACCTGGAATGGGTCTTGTCCAGAGCGAGGTCGTGTCTGGGTGTTTCCCTGAGAGCACAGACATCAGTGCAAATGCCAGAATGGCCATCTCTCCTGGAAGGGGCCCTACAGCTTTGTAACCTCCTCCTGTTCCCGGTCATTAGCTGGAGGAGCTCCACAGCAGCAGAGGCAAATTCTGCGACGACCTGAGGAACAACCAGAGCGAGATAGCCGAGCTGAACCGGATGATCCAGAAGCTGCAGTGCGAGTCGGACAACGTGAAGAAACAGGTAGGATGAACAGCTCAAAGCTGCCCGGGCAGCTCCCCCCAGCTTCTCCAAAGGGCTCTATCCACACCATGTTTCACCTCGCTGAGTCTCAGCTGCAAACCCCCTCCAGACAAAGCTCCTCTTTGCACCTTCTCATTTGAAGGTGCAATGAGACACAAGCCCAAGGAGGTAGACTTACTTCTCACTTACCAAATAAGCAAGAGCCGCTTGGCTGGGCTACAACAGGGGTTTGCTGTGTGCTTCCTACAGCTGACACGCTGCCTTGCACCCTAAACATCTGGCCACTGCAAGTGCAGACTTCCAGTAAAAAACTGTGGCAGTTCTAGGAGAAAAAAACACATGAGAAATACGGGGGAGCATGAGCAACCTTGCAGAGATGCCTCTCCAACGCGAGGCTCACTGCTCCTTGCTGTCCCCAGATTGCAGCTCTGCAGACGGCCATCTGCGACGCAGAGCAGCGGGGCGACTGCGCCCTCAAGGATGCCCGGCAGAAGCTGATCGACCTGCAGACCGCCCTGCAGCAGGCCAAGGACAAAATGGCATGTTTGCTGAGGGACTACCAGGAGCTGCTCAACGTCAAGCTGGCTCTGGACATCGAGATAGCCACGTACAGGACACTGCTGGAGGGAGAAGAGAGCAGGTAGGATGCAGCTCCCCATGGCACAGAGGCACTGCCTCCCTTCTCCCCTAACCACCTGCAGAACAGGTAAAGGATGGGATATTAAGACAGTTATGGAGTTTAACGACCCGGTCATCAGTGGTTCAGGGGAATACTTGGACCAGCACCTCAGAAATGTGGGTGTTCCGTAGAGCCGAGGCACCTGCAGGGTTTCTAAGGAGGCAGTGCCTGGGCACCAGCTTTGTTTGCAGGCAGACTTGGGAACATCCCCTTAAATACCTGGCCGTGACACGACATCTCTTTTCCTTGCAGGATATGCACCGGCAACCCCGTGAGCGTAGGTAAGTCAGCAAAACCTTCCCCATGCTTCCCGATAAGGCTCAAAACCTGTCAAGTTCCCCCATAAGCTGAGCCTTGCAGCGATCCGCGAGCCTGTTGAGCAGCGAGCGAGCCTGTTTCTCTCCTGCAGCTGTGGTGAGCGGCGGCGGCACGGTCGGGGAATGCCGAAGCCTGTCTGGAATCGGGGGCAAATGCACGGTGAAGACCGGAGGGGCCAGCTCGGGCTTGGGACTAGTCTCCTCCTTCGGCGGCGCGGGATTCAGCGCCCGCAGCGTCGACTGCCTGCCCCGAGTAGGCGCCGGCTTTGGGGCGAGGAGCGCCGTGAGCTGCGTGGGGCGGGACGTGTTGTCCGGGGCTGACGCGGTGCAGTGCTCCCCCGGCGTGGCCACCCTGGGGAGCGTCGTGTGCGCCGGCGTGGAGCCGTGCAACCCGGGCAGCGTCCTCATTCCCGGCCCGGGGGTGTGTGCCGCGGGCAGCAGGTACAATACAGCCGTGCGCGTCGTCAGAACGACCCGGTAGAGGCTGGAGAGCGGTAGCACGCCACTTTTTAACAGAATCAGCATTTCCGCATTAAAAACAGTATTTCCCTACCTTCTGACAGCTATAGGAATCACACAACCATGTAGTGCCCATGCCAACACAAGAACTAGACTAGCAGCTCTGCCAAGAACTATTTGCATGACCCAAATCACCTTCTCCTGCCTAGTTGCTCTGGGGGAAAAAAATTCCCCCAAGGTCTCAGACCGGTGAGATTTTCATTTCAGAGAGCCCTATTGATGCATTTGCACATGATAGAGGCTCTTAATCGGTCTCCTCTGCTGGATCTCTTTTCACCAGGGATGTTCTTGCACGTTGTTCCTAGCGCAGCTATTGCAAAAGGACAAAAAGAAAAAATTGGCCCCAAAAAATTGCCTAATTTCAGAAAGAAAAGACGCATCTTAATTCTCCAAGATGGAGCTGGAGCTATTTTTTTTAGCTTCTTTAATGACAGTACAAAATGCAATTTTTCCTGTTAATGACAGGGTTGGTAAGGGTTATGCAAATTGTTCCAAGTTGCTACATCAAGTTTGTTAGAGCACATTTTAATTACAAACCGATGAGCACCTTATATTTCTGTAGTTAAATGCATGCGTTGTTTTTCCTGAGTGTGTACTAGTTAAACAGATTTGATGCTTTTAATGTATAAGCGAACAGAGTTGATTATCCTCCGCTTATTATCCACAACTCCAAACTTTCAGCTGTACTTTCAATAAACTACATGCATAATTCATGCTTTGTCTCTCCAGTTTTATTTCCTTCCACGGTATTAGACATTTTCTCAAGCCCAAAACCCCAAACGGGCGTGGTCTGCACCTAGCAAGAACCAGGGTTTAGGCAGAGGTTTTGAAGATTTCGTCTCCTTACTGATGTGCTTTTGCATACCTTTATTCCATCCAGAAATGAGCCCAGCCACAGGGAAGTCTGGAATTGCCGAGTTAACCAGGAAATGCAGCTGATCGTGGGATCCGCAGTTCACTTGAGATCTCGCTTGGTGTCTGGGATCTCTGGAGGCAGAACAAAAAAAAAAAAAGCAGCTTTTGTTTAAAGAAAACAGTGGGAAGCAGCTCAAGTAGTAGGAAAATATCCTCACCTCCGCCCCTGAGACGTCCTAACAAAAGCAGGCTCATTTTAAAAGAAAATAAGTAACTTTTCCAAAGCATAACACTGGGCTCTTCCTTCTTTAAAACTCTGTTTTAAACCACAATCTGGCTTTACCACCTGGAGAAGAAGTTAGACAACCCCATTGGGCTCGGTCTGTCCATGCTGGTGGGATGGGGATGGATCTGCTGCTGGTTGCCCTCGTGTGCCCATTGGGCTCCTCAGGTCTGCAGGGCTTTTCTGACAGAAAACAAGATGATTTAGTGCATATGATAATTATTTTTAATAAGCCACAAGTTTTAGCACCACTATCCAGGCTGAGGGACAATGAAACCCCCCGTAGATCAGCCCTGGTGGAGAAAGCCAAGCTTAGGCTTCCCCATTCTCCAGAGAGGCCATGGCTCTCTCCAGCTTTTCTGTCCCAACGCGTACGATTTCGACTGTCTCATTTGTATGTAAATAACGAGCAGAAAGAGACAGACATAAAAAAGCTCCTGGTGCCACAACAGCTCATTATTTATGTTGAACATCACCCAGCTATAGAGCAATAACCGCACGCTGGTAAGCGCCGGCTCCCCGGGGGACCAAAGCAGCCGAGCGGCTCTCATGCGTCGCTCTTTCTGGGAAAATACCTTTCATCCTCCCTGCCCTTCTCAACTCCCAACTATTGCAAAACTCCAAAACTCTTTTCTTCTTTTTGTGTGTGTGTCTGTCTGAAGAGGACCAGGTAGATCGAGCTACTTTGGAAAGAAAGGCCAGGAACAAGCTCTAGGCTGAGGAGCTTTTGGCGTAGTTGGAGCCCAAGCAGCCCCTGAGGGAAAACCCTGGGGGGCCTCACTCTGAATGGGCACTTGGGTGAGTTCTGAGTCTTGCAGAGCTGATCTGAGTGGCCAGAGGTGTGGAAAAGCCACGTCCGAGCACAACCCTGCAAACCCCAGCCCACCCTACCAGCCACTCACAGGCAATAAGCCAGACAGGTTCAGAAAATGTGAGTTTTCACCCCAGCCTTTGCATCGCTCACATACCTTGTGGGCAGCAGGCTGAAGGAAGAAGAGTGTGGGAGCCGAAAACGGCAATTCCCTCTGTCCTGTTGGCAACCGCACCCTTAATCCCATCAGCTTCACTCAGCTCGAATATCTGATCCGAACCCGTCTGTCAGCTTTGGGACAACCTGCCTTTTCTTGGGGTCACAAAAGCATAAAGACAATCTCATTTTCCCATCGCGCCCGGCTTTGCATTTTAGGCAAATACCCAAGGCCACGTACGCTCACGGATTGCAGATTTAGCTCCACATTTCCCAAAGAGCAGCAAGCCACTGGGTGCCACCTGGGAATCTGGCACCGCAGTGGGGAATTCAGTCCAAGTGGCCAACGCTCCTCGTTTGAATCCGACTGACAGCACTTCTGCAGGGCTAACCATATATTTGGGCTTCCATATTCAGCAGAACATGGAGCACCTCATTATTTTTTCTTCCAGAGATGCCAGCGAGACTTCAGCTCATACTTTATGTTTTTCCACCACTTGAGCACATGACTATATTTCAAGGAGCATGTAGATTCCTGCCCTGAAAATATGTGGGCATATATCGAGCTCCAGTCGTGTGCACAGAGCAGGCAATGCCACCAGGATGCATGAACGCTGACACTGAACTGAGACCTTAAATGCGAAGGGCAAAACTTTGCAAACGTTGCAACGCTGCAAAGTCTGGTGGGGGGGTCTTGCGTGTCCGCAGGGACACAAGGACAGAGCACTGCAGCTGGGCTCTCCTCCCAGAACCCAGGCGGTTAGATAACTCTTCTGGCTGAGCAGGCAAACACCAACAGGCATGTTGAGTGCAGCCAGTGTTTAACGAGCTCAATGAGACAGCTGGCCGCCCGGCACGTCAAAACCATGAAGGCACTAAATTGATCTCTTGACTTCCATGCAACCAAGCCCAGATCCCCAGGAGGATAAAAAGCCCATGCCATGCTCGGCACTGTCACAGAGAGGTCCTCTCCTAGCTTGTGGGTTCTTCTCTGTGCTGGGCTGTCATCTCCTGCCGCGATGAACCGTCAAACGTACAGCATGAGAGCCGGAGGAGGAGGCAAAAGTTTCAGCGCGGCCTCTGCTATTATTCCAAGCAGCAGCCGGGCGAGCTTTAGTTCCATGTCTATGGCACGATCCGGAGGAGGTGGCGGTGGTTTTGGAAGGCTCGTTGGAGGAGGTGGTGGCGGCAGCGGCGGCACTGGTTTTGGCAGCAGGAGTCTCTACAACCTTGGTGGCACCAAGAGGATTTCCATTGGTGTTGGAAGCAGCTACCGGGCTGCTTTTGGAGGTGGAGCTGGTGGCAGCTCTGGCCTGGGAAGCGGGCTTGGACTTGCTCTTGGTGGTGGAGGTGGTGCTGGTGGTGGCGGTGGAGGATACGGCTTTGGTGGGAGTGCTGGTGGGCTTGGTTTTGGTGGCGGGCATGGAGGTGGTGGAGGATACGGCTTTGGTGGAGTAGGTGGCCTGGGAGGCTTTGGCGGAGGGTTGGGTGGTGGCAGAAGCCCATCGGGATTTGGTGTTGGCCCAGCTGGGGTCGGTACAATCCAAGAAGTGACCATCAACCAGAGCCTCCTGGCACCTCTGAACCTGGAGATTGACCCAAACATCCAGCAGGTGCGGAAAGATGAGAAGGAGCAAATCAAGACCCTCAACAACAAGTTTGCTTCTTTCATTGACAAGGTGAGATTTCTGCCTAAATGTGATACAGAAAGAGAGCATGTCATCTACAAAAATACAGCTTCATAAATCGTCAGGCTGTTGTACATATTCTACCCTCATATCTCAAGAAATCGATAGAGAACCTACTTCTAAACAGCTACAGGACTAAACTGTTTTATTGTCTGTAAGTTACAGTCTTTTGCCCATTGAGTCATGTTAGATCCTTGCTTGGCTTTTAACCTGTAGTACTCAAATCTTAGCTTAAAGGAGGAGGAAAAACCATCACTTAAAAATAAGGGAATACTGCAAGCTACCGAAGAAATCAAAGGATGGTATAGCTGAACTCATTTCCTAGTAATTGCTTGTGAACTTGCTGGATTAAATCGCCTCTGAATAGAACTGCCCACTAATGTCAGGTTTGCTTAGCTAGGGATGGGATAGCATAGACCTAGATAATGGGGGGGACATATGGAGCTAGACTTACTGATCTCGGGTGGGGATCCCCTTGGCTTGTACCATCATCAGGCTCGTGTGCCGAATCTGTCCACACGCTCATAGGCATCTTCCACTAAACACCTTCTGCTTCCCGACGCTCAGGTTCGCTTCCTGGAGCAGCAGAACAAGGTGCTTGAGACCAAATGGACCCTCCTGCAGGAGCAGGGGCAAAAAAACAACACGGGCAAAAGCAGCATGGACCCCCTCTTTGAGGCTTACATCAACAACCTGAGACGGCAGCTGGCCAGCCTGCTCAGCGAGCGGGGGCGCATGGACGGGGAGCTGAAAAACATGCAGGACCTCGTGGAGGATTTCAAGAACAAGTGAGTGCCTTTCCAAGGGCACGTTTGGGCGCCCTAGGGTGAAATGAGACGCAAATATTTTAGCTTAGCACTATGCAGCGGGGTTAATCTCACTTAAATTTGGCTTTACCAATGTCAAATATCTAGTCTGACATATTCATCAACCTTCTAAGGTAGACAGTGGAAGGAGATACGTATCCCTAGCCCATCACAAGGCATCTCATTAACCACCATCTCAGATACCTTAAGGAAGCACCATAAGAGGCCCTGTCAACATTTTTCCAATCAGCCAAGGCAGTTTGATCCAGAACAAAACAATTCTGAGAGGGCATTTGCAAAGGAAAACCATTTACGCAGACTGCTTTACCTTCCTTATTCCATCTGCATTATGCTAGAACCGCTTGTTCCAACCCCTTGAGAAGAGATGCTCTCAACTTTGAGCAGGGCAGTCTCCAGGAGGCTGATTTGCAAATCCTATCCCCAGCCCAACCTCACAGTCCTACCTGTACTATTTTTCCCGTCTTTCCTTTCATCCCTGTAGATATGAAGAGGAAATCAACCGTCGCACAGCAGCAGAGAATGAATTTGTGGTCCTTAAAAAGGTGGGTAAGATGGAAGGTGGTACTGATGCAGAGCTAACCCTAAGGACTTCACAGCCAGCAGGAGTCTTAAGGTGAAGGGCTTCAAGAAGGCTGGAAGAAAATGGTTTTCCAAATCTTGACCCATAACTTACATAAACACTTGTCTGGGCAAGATGCAGAGATGGTCATCAGGGCCAGGAACCCCACGCCAAGTTGCCTGCACCCAATCCTCATCCCCTTACGAGGTTACTGACACCACTTCTTTTGGCCAAGTGTGGCACTCGTGGTGGTCTTTCAGGTGCATGTGCCAAGTACAGCTCCTCCAGTCAGGCAGCACAGCTGGGAAGGGGCAGCCCATTCCTGAGCTTTGCCAGGTCTTGGTCGAGGCCAACAAGAGATGCCGGTGCTGCAGATGTCATTGGAGTTGCTCTTTTCCAGGACGTGGACGCTGCCTACATGAATAAGGTGGAGCTTGAGGCCAAGGTGGATGCCCTGACTGATGAACTCAACTTCCTACGGGCTCTCTACGATGCGGTACAGATCTGCTCCCCTGGTCCTGCTGTCCCCGCGCAGAGCTTGCCATCGCTGGTGGCATTTCAAAAGGTACATGCAGTACCATGATCGTGTGCTTCCTTTCAGGAGCTGGCGCAGCTCAGTGCTCAGGTGTCCGACACTGCAGTCATTCTGTCGATGGACAACAACCGTGACCTGGACCTCAGCAGCATCATAGCCGAAGTCAAAGCTCAGTATGAAGATATTGCTAACAGGAGCCGGGCAGAGGCTGAGGCTTGGTATCAAACCAAGGTGAGCAGACCCATAGCTTGAACAGATGCGTTTCTGCAAAAACGAAACCCTGCTTCTGTCCCTCTGTGAAGCAATCTAGCTACCATCCGCTGTATGTAGACATCCTGGCTGGTTTACGCTTCTTTCCGAACTGCAGTTTGAAGAGCTGCAGGCCACTGCTGGGAAGCATGGAGATGACCTGCGCAACACGAAGGGGGAGATTTCTGAGCTCAGCCGGCTGATCCAGCGGATTCGGGCGGAGATAGAGAACACAAGGAACCAGGTAGGGCTGGCAAAACGGCCTGCAGAGCCAAACGCTGTGGTCTCTTCTGGTCCACAGCTCTGCTACCTGCTACTGCCTTGGCATTCATAGACTTGAGCTGCTCTAGACCACGACAGCTTCACTGGAGCATGCCGAATTCCTCCCAGAAAGGGTTTCTACTCTCTGTCCTCAGCCCATGTCTCACATCGCTCTTTCCAGGCCAGGGATCAATGCTCTCATTAATCACTACTGTTCATTAATACCAGGGCCAGGATGGTTTTATTCCTGGGGTGACTCTCGCCCACATAGAAAAGCAGCGACGAGAAGGTGCCCCCTTTCCTCCCCTTGCAGTGTGCCACCCTGCAGACGGCCATCGGCGACTCCGAGGAGCGCGGCGAGCTGGCCCTCAAGGACGCCAAGGCCAAGATGACCGAGTTGGAGGATGCGCTGCAGAAGGCCAAGGCCGACATGGCCCGGCAGCTCCGCGAGTACCAGGAGCTCATGAACGTCAAGCTGGCCCTGGACATCGAGATCGCGACCTACAGGAAGCTGCTGGAGGGGGAGGAGAGCAGGTGGGAAAGAAACCCCGGAGCAATAAGGAGAGAGAGTTGTGTTCTCCCTGCAAGCAGGTTGGACACGCCAAGTGGCTCTTGCATTTGCACTGACCTGCCCTTCTCTGCCCTCCGACAGGCTCAGCGGAGAAGGTCTGAACCCCATCAGCTACTGTAAGTATCACACACCTTGTCTTGTCCTGGGTTCGTTGGAGCAGAGTACGTCAGCAGCCCACGGAAAAGGGCAATTTGGGCCCTTTCACTCTATAAAAGGCTGGAAATTGCTCCACAGAAGATACTCAGAGCCTTTAGTGGTTTGCACAGAGAACAGAAGTCAGGTTAAATCCCTATGGATGCAGGACTATGTGATGCTTTCTAGAAGCAGGTGATGGCCGCAGCAGATGCCTAACTCCGTGGTTGTTCCTCTTGCAGCCGTGATCAGCTCCAGCTCAGGCCTGGCTGGCGGAGGAGGAGGATTTGGTGGACTGAGTCTAAGCGGAGGAGGCGGCGGGAGCGGATTTGGCCTCGGAGGAGGCGGCGGGAGCGGATTTGGCCTCGGAGGAGGCGGCGGGAGCGGATTTGGCCTCGGAGGAGGCGGCGGTGGAGGCTACAGCTTTGGAAGCGGAGGAGGACTCAGTCTCGGAGGCGGTGGCCTCGGGGGTGGATACGGAGGCGGCAGCGGTCTCGCCCTGGGAGGAGGCAGCAGCCTGGGCACCGGCAGCGCTCACAGCTTCGGCGGCGGCGGCAGCGGCTTGAGCACCAGCGGAGGCAACTTCAGCTCTGGCAGCGCAAAGGGCACCAACCCCGGCGTGAAAATCGTCTCCAAAACTTCCTCCAGCAAAAAGAGCATCAAAAGCCAAAGCCTGAAGAACGCCGTGCAGCCTGAATAGTCCTGACGGGAGACCCTCCACAAACCCAGCCTAAACCAGCCAAACCCTGCACCGCTCCCGCGCACCACCCGCCTCGCCACCCCGTTCCTGCTCCTCGCACCGTAGTCGTTACGCATTTGGGCCCCGAGTCAGGCAACGCAGCGGGGCACGCATTAAGCAGATTTCTCAAAGGACCCAGAAAAAGGCAAACACAAGCCCGGGCGAGTTTCCCAATGGGGAGCGGGAGGCTTTTGGGGCTGCTTTGTCCCTTTTCAGTGATGCTGAGCGGCTTGCCTGTAGTTGCAGCCAGCTGTCCACCACCAGGTAATGCAGATCAGACCAGAAGATGCCGTAGCGAAGGGTTTAGCTTCGGTTAGCGCTTGCAGTTCTGGCCCACAGAAGCCCAGAGATGGGCTGGGAACGTGGCTTCAATCCAACGTGCTTGGTCCTCACTGCTGGGATGGCCCAAGCTCATTCCTTCGAGCGAGGCAGCCCATCTTCATCACACGTTTCTGCTGTGTAGAAACAACTTGGGAGGTTGCTGAAAGAACCAAGGCAGCACTTGGCAAGCCCAGGGCCCCCTTTAAAGCATCCCTCATTGGATATATCCTTTGGGATCACCTCAAAGTGCCCCAGGGCTCATGGAAAATCCCTCTCTCCCAGATATAGTCAAGCTTCTAAAAACACCCCTCAACCGTGCTGAGCAATAGCAGCTATCCTTGAAGCCCATCAGGATTCAGCACCCTCATCCGTGTTTGGTGTTAGATGGGGTTGCTGTTGTCTCATGCTTAGTTTTGGTGCAAACAACTTAAAAAGCGCAAATATTGGCCAACAGGCTCAGTCTCATTGAATCCCCTTTACGCTGGTAGGAGCGATCAAGGCAAAAGGCCACCCTGGTGGAAATCACTCCAAAAAAAGGGAGTGAAGGGCCCTGTCCACCAGGATGCAGGGAGGATTCCAGCTTCTCCACCACCAGAGGGATTTCCTGCCAAAAGAAAAGCGGAGTCGCGTTTCGATCCCACACCTGGGACTGACGGCAAGCGGGAGCAGGAGCCCAGGGGCCCAGAAAGGCACCCAAAGCCGACGCTCCCCTTTCTAAATGCTGCACCTGCCCCTCTAGCACCCAACGAGCCCGTTTGGTTTTGTGAAAGCATCATTAAAACCCAGAATTGTGGCTTTTGGTACTTCAGTTGATACTGAAATGACGCTGTGTTGTCCTTCCTTTCTCTTTTTGGAGCCTGTTCCAGTAAAACCGGATTTTAATTTATTGGAGCCTGCCTCTTTTTTTTTCTGTAAGGGAGAGTCGGTAGCAGGAAATATTCCTCAGCAGAGGAGGGGGAGGCAAACCTGAGGAGACTTTGGAGGAAAGGTTTTCAAATTTTGAAAGGAAATAACGAAAAGCTCAAGATCTGCTGTGTGTCATCCCAGGGGAAATTGAAAAGGGAGGAGAAAGAGGAGGAGGAGGAGGAGGTGGGGAGGGTGAGGGGAGACGCAGCTTGTCTGCTTAAGCAGCAACAAAATTAAGCCCGGCTCAAGTCTTTGCATATTTTGTGGGCTGGTCCAAAAAGCCTTTCTTTCATGGCAGGGAAGGTTTTGGCCAGCTTTGTTAGCTAGGACAAAAAACAGTTTTTCTTAAACAGGCAAAGCCCAACCAAGCCTTAGCAGGGCTCAGGGGGGAGGATTTTATCTGCCCCACCTAAAGTTAGGCTGGGTTTCAGTGAGCCAGAGCATCTCCCAAACGCGGCAGCTACTTGGGGCAGCCCCCAGAGCCCCAAAACCTCCTCCCAAGCCCTCAGCCAGACACTCACAGCCCATCGCATTGCAAAGAGCCAGACGCTTCCCTCTTCCCTGACCTCACAGCATCCCAGCTTTACGTAACTGGGAGCAGCACGCGAGCACACGCCGAGCGAGCAGCTTTGCAAAGCCCGTCTGAAACCCAGCTGCAAAGACAAGCAGGAGTCATGGATCTGTCAAAGAAAGGAGCAGCAGGAGCAGAGAGCAAAGGGGCAGAAATGCCCCCATAGCCCCTGCTAGAGCCAAAAATAAGCGCTAGTTAAAACCGAGTCATCTCAAGCTCTCACGCTCGCCCTCACTAGTGCCGATTTAAATGGGTGGGAGGAATTAATATTCCAGCCCAATGCTAACCAGCCGTGCAGTTTTGAGTGTCCTTCTGCCAGACTCGGGTGAGGAAAGGCAAATGACAGGGCCCAAAAGGGGAGCGGAGGCGCTCGCAGCAGCCGGGAGCTCCTGCAAGAGCCTCCCTTGCTTTGGTGCCGTTGTCGGCTTCGCTCTTCAAAAACCCTTTGTACCCTTCCACTTAATCACCCCTGTCTGCAGCGAGCGCCGTTCCTGGAGGAGCCGAGGAGCGCCTGGACACGAGCCCCTTCTCGTGGCCGGAATCAAACCGCTCGGCCCCGTTCCCCCGGGCCGGGCACACAGGTGCCCATCCGCATGTGCCAAGGACGGAGAGGCCAAAACCCCCCCAAATCTCTGCCCGGGTGCAGTGCTTGTGACACAATTTACTTATTTCTCGTATTGGCACGAAGTCAGTAATATTTATGGCATTGTTCTGATGTGACGCTCTTATTGATGCCACTGCATATCAGACGTGAAATCAGGGCTTGCTGGCGGCCTCAGCAGCTCCCGGACCGGTCAGGCAAGCGCGGGTGCAATTTTCCTGTGAAACTCGGCGTTTCCAGCGCCTTGCAAAGGAGCCAGCACCTTCCCAGGGTGGCACCGGCGAGGCGAGAGCACCCCCTTGCTACAGCCGCAGCGAGGCGAGCGCGCCGCAACACGGCTCCCGCCGTGCGCTTCCCGGCAGCTCGGCCCCAACGCGCTTCGGGCGCCCGTGACTCACGTTACTGGCACCAAGCAGCGACGGGAATGCTGGAAGCGAAGGATATTTGCCCTTTGCAACGGCGGGGAGGGAAGGAACAGCTTCTGCTCACGTTCATTCAAGTTCCCAGACTCAAAAAAAAAAAAAGGAAAAACCCAAACCAAAAAAACTCAACGGTTGGAAAAACATCAAGAGAAACAAGCTGCGAGATGCTACAGATACCCTTAAGCCGCTAATTTTGGATTAAGTCCCTGCAGTGATTGCTCACGTATCCAAATGTGCAGGAATCTGTTTGATTTCTTGCTTGGGCTTTCATCTCACTGCCTCACCGTGCTGCCGTACCTGACAAGTGGCCTGCTGAAGTCAGGGGCCCTCGTCACCCAAGGATGCAACTGGGCAGAGTCCGGCAAAGAGTTTGCAGAGGTTCTGTGGTGCTTGGGAGGTGACCCCACCTCTTATAACCGGTGTCCAGCTCTTCGAGGACACGAGAGAAGCGGGTTGCAGCTCTTCGCCCTTTAGGCTGTCCTAAAACATTGCGTCAATCGAAGAGCCTAAGAGATGGCTCACCCAAAAGCTCAAGCCCAAGGGGCCAAAGTGACTCACCAAAACCTTGCCACTGCAATCTCAGGAGGGGTGGGATGATCCGAATGTAAACGTTGCCGAATTCCTCTGCACAAAACCCCTCAAAGAGCCAGAGACAATGCGAAAGCTGTGGGGGAAAGAGCGACAGAAACGGGATTTCTCATGGAGCACCTGATGCAATGACATCCTTTCAATCAACACTTCAATATTTTATAAGTCCCATAATACTACTTAAGGTAATTTAGAGTGATTTTGGAAAGGCGATTCCCGTGCTGTCGCTGAAAGACACACCAAGTAATTTCTCGGGTCCTGTTTCTCCCCCAACAAGGGGGGATCATTTTGGGGTGACATCTCAGAAAACGCGGCCCCAAGCGCGCCGCCACTCAGCTGAGGGCTGTCAGCCCACGCTGTGATCACTTAGGGTCCTTTTCCCAAAAAGGAATCCAGAGATGTGCTCTGGGAACTCATCGCCTTTGGCTTCAAGGCTTTCACAGCTGGTTAAAGCTCGTGCCCAACCCGCCAGCCCCAGCCCCTATTTCTGCAGATATCCTAAACTCTAGACAGAATTTCGCCGTGATTTTGGTGTTGGGATGTTAACACAACTGAAGGAGCCCACAAAAGAGCTTCTTCCTCATGCAAGGGAGAGCAGCTCTTGGGGGACTCGTGCTGCATCCCGCGCTGGAGCGAGCGCGCAGCCCGGCGGGTTGTCCCGTCCCGTCCCATCCCGTCCCATCCCATTCTCATTCGGTGACTCAGAGCAGCAGGGGGGAGCTCCGGCGCTCCGCTACTTCCCTGCCTGCAAACAATGCATTTTTCAACGCCTCACCATAGCCTAGGTGTGTTTGACAAGGCAAGTTGCTGCAAGGCACGTCAAGTTCTGAATTCCCGTGCCAAGTTTTCCAAGCAGATAAAAGAGGAGGCTCCCAAGCGCTCCCATCACAGGGGTTTCTCTCTCTGTTGCCCTCTGTTCTTCTCCTGCAGCTCCGCTTTTATTCGTCACTTTTTTTTTTTTTTTTATTCCTGCTCTTTGCATTTCCAGCTAAAGGAGCTACCATGAGCCGGATCTCTTTCAGATCATCTACTGGCGGGGGCATGAGGGGCTTTAGCTCAGGTTCTGCTATCGTAGGAGGTAGCGGTGGTGCCAGGAGCAGCTTTAGCTCTGTTTCTGTCTCTAGAGTTGGAGGAGGAAGAGCCGGAGGTGGAGGAGGCTTCGGAGCTGGCGGTGGCTTCGGCAGCAGAAGTCTCTATAACCTTGGTGGAAGCAGAAGAATTTCCTACAGCTCAGTCGGTGGAGGTCTACGGAGTGGAGCCGGTGGCGGATACGGCTTTGGTGGAGGATCAGGATTTGGTGTTGGCTATGGTGGTGGACCAGGCGCTGGCTTTGGCTTAGGAGGAGCTGGTGGTGGTGGCGCCTACGGGCTGGGCAGTGGATTTGGGCTGGGAGGTCCTGGATTCGGGGGTCGAGGTGGTGCTGGGTTCCCCGTTTGCCCGCCGGGAGGCATCCACGAAGTGACTGTCAACCAGAGCCTCTTGGCACCGCTCAAACTGGATATCGACCCCGAGATCCAGAAGGTGCGAACGCAGGAGCGAGAGCAGATCAAGACCCTCAACAACAAATTTGCTTCCTTCATCGACAAGGTGAGAGTTTGGCCTTATCCATCTGTGCATGTTTGCAGGTGCCACAGGAAAGAACAAAAGGAAGAAACTTGCTTTGGATTTGGGGACTTGTTTGAGCTAATCCCCGCATGTCTTGGCCTTAGAAATTCCTGTTGGCCAAAAGCTAAGAATTGTCTCAAGGAGGAGCTTTTCTAGCGTCTTGCTTATTGCGCTGATGTACCCCCCTTCAATCAGCCCCGGGGATGCACTGATCTTCTGCTGCTGCAAAATTGCCAATCCCACCAGTTTAAACCATTAAGGCGGGCAAGGGGACCACCTAAAGCTGCAAGTGCAGAGGCTGGGCCTGTTTAGCAGCCTCTGAAAGATCTCATTGAACATCTCAGGTGCTCTGGCATATCCGCTGCCCTAAAGTCCTGCAGGAAGAGCCCAGCCATTTCTGCCCAGCATCCTCAAGGTCTTTCTACCTCTCTCCTCTCCGTGTCCTCCTTTTCCTGGCCACGGGTCGTGTACCTTGCTCACGTGGTTTTCAAGCATTTGTCTGTTTTTGTCTCGACAGGTGAGGTTTCTGGAGCAGCAGAACAAAGTGCTAGAAACCAAGTGGTCCCTCCTGCAAGAGCAGGGTCACACGGTCACCAGAAAGTCCCTCGAGCCCCTTTTCGAAGCCTACATCAACAACCTGCGGCGGCAGCTGGACAGCCTCATGGGAGAGAGGGGCAGGCTGGACTCGGAGCTGCGAAACATGCAGGACATGGTGGAGGATTTTAAGAACAAGTAAGGAACTGGGCTCTGTCGTCGAGATTATTAAGAGCAGTGAAACAGGGGGCTGGCAATTCACGCGCCCAGGAACATGCCTGAGATCTGCACCAGATTCCCCACCCTGTTTGCAAAATGAATATTCAGAAGCGAAACCCGCTCTCAGAGGCAGCCCTTGCCAGGCCGGATTTCGTACGTGCTGGGTCGGCACTTAACACAGAATTCATTTGCCCACGGGGGGCTGCTCCAGCGCGACGGGGTTGCCGTCTGATCCCTTGGCTTTCCTGGGACTAAACACCTGGAGAAGGCAAATTGCACGGCATGAGGGGCGTGCAGAAGGGATGGAAACAGCCATAAAGCGCCGGTTGCCCAAATCTCCCAAAAGACCCTGTTTTTCTCTGTTTGCGGAGGAAATTCTAGCGGGATGCAGTCTTTTAAGGACATATAAGCTGCTTCCACCTCACCTTCCACTCACAGAGGGCTTTTAGGTATTTTTTGGGTGGTTTTTCTCTGTTTTACAGTAAGGCAACTGAGTTTTAAGTGGTCGAATTCTTGCAAGAAAAAATCTCTCCCTTAATTCAACCAGGTCTTTTATAAATACGATCAGGTCAAAAAAGACCAAGGAGATTGTCTGGATTTTGGAGCTACAACATGGGAAGTGACTGTATTTTATTTGAAGCCTGCAGTTAATCCCGAGTCAAATGGCATTTTTTTTTCTCTTCTATGTCCATTAGAGATCCATTTGTGGGATAATTATGCAAATTTTGTTTAGAGAACTGGCATAAACTTGCCTTTAAAATCTGGGTCTCTGCCTCTACAGCCTACATGTTTTGTCTGCTTTCTAGCTAAGCCCTGCCCAGATTATCTGATGAGAAGATATTGCTTAGAGCCATGAAAAGTTTTACAGAAGCAGTCTGAGCACCAGGACCTGCTCTTGCACAACCATGGCTCAAGAATCACAGACTTTTTTTCTTAATTAAATGGTTCAGCAGGTTATTCAGAGCCATTACCATCATTATAATATCAAATACCAAATTGTTGCATTATTATATATTTGCAGCTATTGCAATGCAGCTTCATTGAAAGGCTTTGCATAACTTCGCTTTGGGCAAAGGTCACCCAGAATACCACCTCCTGCTTTGCTTCTGAAATGGGCTCTAATTCTGCATGCATTTATGCATAAACTACATTTTAAGAGCAGTGATTACTATCTATTAATTTTACTGGGACTACTCACACCATGGAGTCCTTATAGGGTCAGAGTCACTAATCATTTGCTCTGCACCTACTCCGGATTGTAAACAACTGGATGTCTTAGGAATAAATCCACGAGCCACAATTAATAATATGGGACCGAAGTGGTTCCATGCCTTCCATGTTCTCTTTGCACTTCATTTCCAACAAAACCCTCTCATTTGTTTTTTTCCCTAACAGATACGAAGATGAGATAAATCGGCGCACTGGTGCAGAGAACGAGTTTGTGGTGCTCAAGAAGGTGAGTGAAACTGGAAGCTATGGGATGGACCCTGAAAGGACTTCAGCACACAGAGTCCAACCAAAGCAAATGGGAGCTGGGGTCCACCAAGCTCATGGTTGGGGCTTGTGTGAAGATGTGACACTGGGGTGGCAAGGAAGGGACCGGCTCCCATTCAGGTCACTGAATGGATGTGACCTTCTCCATGACGTGTTGGTCCTCTGCCTGTAGTTACAAAACATCTGACTTGTGGCTCAGTCCACTTCTGACTCCTGGTCACATCTGCAAGGGTCAGAGCTTTGCCCTTTAACCAAATACCTAGTTCTGGCTCACAAGCAACATACCCAATGTTACGCCTTGACCATAGTAGCATAAAAATAACAGACCTGGAAGCAGAAAGATGGTCCCCTGATGTCCTGAGGTCCCCCATGCTTTGTTGGATCACTGCAAGTTTCTGACTTTCTCTTCTTTAGGATGTGGATGGTGCTTTCATGAACAAGGTTGAGCTGCAGGCCAAGGCAGACTCACTGGCAGACGAAATCAACTTCCTGAGAGCTCTCTTCGAGGCGGTAAGCAGCCTGCAGCTCCCCAACACCCAGCTCTCCGTGTCCGGCCACTTCTTATATGGCAACGCAGAGCTCTGGCCACCAGACTAGGTGCCTGAGGAGGCTTTTTGGAGTTGTCCTACAGCTGTAAGACAGAATTGGACATACAGATGTCTGAATAGGGGCAAACATGAGAAAACCTCAGGAAAGATTGGCCAAGAGAACTCCGAGGACTTCTCTTGGCTACACTCCACATACCAAAAATCTGACTTCGTTTTTTGCACCTTCTGCAGGAACTGTCCCAGATGCAGCAGCAAGTATCTGACACCTCTGTGGTCCTGTCCATGGATAACAACCGCAACCTGGACCTCAACAGCATCATCGCGGAGGTCAAGGCACAGTATGAGGACATTGCCAACAGGAGCCGGGCAGAAGCTGAAGCCTGGTACCAAAACAAGGTGGGTAACCCACCACGCCAAACGGGGCTGGCAATAAGGTGATTTCTGGGGTTCATTGGCACCACATCAGCTGTCGGGGGGCAGGACAAACAGGGAGAGGAACCCAGTGCCACTCCAGAGATGAATTTATCTTGCTCACCCTTGCAATGGGCTGCTCACCCTCCCTGGCCTCAGAGCCCTGCAGTATCTAACCGGTGCTCTTCCTCTTCCCCCCCACACTCTTCCTCTTCCTGCACATCAGTACGAGGAGCTCCAGGTCTCTGCCGGGCGGCACGGTGATGATCTGCGCAACACCAAGATGGAAATTTCAGAGATCAACCGGATGATCCAGAGGCTGCGGAACGAGATCGAGAGCGTGAAGAAGCAGGTAGGATGGGGAAGCTCCAGCCTACAGCAGAGCAGCTGCTGGAGGTGAAGGGTTAAAACCCTAAATCCATGATCTCTAGAGGTCCCTTCCAACCTTGAATATTCTGTGATTCTGAGATTTCCCTTCCCTGCAGTGTGCCAGCCTTCAAGCAGCCATCGCCGAGGCAGAGGAACGTGGCGAGATGGCCCTCAAGGACGCCAAGGCCAAACTCACCGAGTTGGAAGATGCGCTGCAGAAGGCCAAGGCCGACCTGGCCCGGCAGCTCCGCGAGTACCAGGAGCTCATGAACGTCAAGCTGGCCCTGGACATCGAGATCGCGACCTACAGGAAGCTGCTGGAGGGAGAGGAGAGCAGGTGGGTGCGAGTGTTTGCTCCTGGTGGGCACTGCCCTTTTGATAGGGTCCCATCTCCCCGAGTCACCACTGCTCCTCACAGCGGACTGGAGCACCCGGCGATGTAACGCAACAACAGAAATCAAGGTGTTTTGAACCTGTGAGCTTTCTAGAAGACTGAGCTCGGCATCTCTTTTGCTAAGGAACCCCAGCATCAGCACCATCCCCCTTCATTTGGGATGTAGACATGTCCCAAGAGAAGATAGTCCCTCCTAAAGGCCACAGAAGTCCTTTGAGGTGGTCCTAGCAGCTAAGTTGTACCTTATCTGTGCTTGGGCGTTCTCACTGTTTCCCTTCCTCCTTTCCCAACAGGCTCGCAGGAGAAGGAGTCGGAGCAGTGAGCGTCTGTAAGTAACCCTACCTTCCACCCATGGTTGTCTATCTCCCCAGAGCACGGGGGACCACATGGGTGCTCTGGGGAGCCAGAAGGGTTCCTCATGGGCCGTGCTGTGTTTCCTTGCAGCCGTGGTGAGCACCTCCAGCGGAACGGGCTACGGCAGCAGCTCCATGGGCATGGGCGGAGGTCTCGGCATGGGCGGAGGTCTCGGCATGGGCGGAGGTCTCGGCATGGGCGGAGGTGGCAGCAGCTACAGCATGAGCAGCAGCAGCGGCTTCGGCGCGGGCAGTGGAGCGCTCGGCTACGGCGGAGGCAGCAGCTTCAGCTCCAGCAGCGGACGAGGCGTCAGCTCCAGCACGGGAGGCAGCGTGAGGATCGTGTCCAAGACCACCACCAGCAAAAAGACCATCAGATAAGGGCGGCGAGGCCGGGCCGCGAGCGACAGCGCGTCGCCTGCCTCCCGAAAGCGAGCGCTGCCCTGCGAATCGATGGTGTAAATAGCTCTGCTAGACCCTCTCCTTCGCGAAACCTTTGCCCTTGTCCCTAGGGGCATGGGGAGAGGCAAGGATCCAAGAATCTGGAGCACCTTTTGGTAAAGCACAGGTTGTAACCTCTGCCACCGGCAGGGCTTTGGAGAGCGGGACGGGCCCCTGCGGCAGCCCTCTTTCAGCACAGTCCTTGCTCTGCTGTTCCCCATTCACCTCCTCTCTGGAGCCACTCATGGAAAGGGAAGCAGAAGCACTTTGCTGAACGGGGACAGCCGACTCCTTCAGATTTTGGGAATTCCTGCAGTGGCTTTTCACTGCTACCTGCTGCCCAGGCACAGCTCTGCAGAGAACATCCTGGCGGCAGCCTTGGGAAATCACTGCCACGTCCTCAGCAGGGAAAACAGCTCCAAGCCCCTCTCCACCTGTTACAACCTCCAAACGTTTCATTTGCAGCTAAAGATATTTCTACCCCCTTCTGTTTTTCTGAGATATCTGCGGGAAAGGTTGTTGCTTTTGCATACGTGACTCACCACACCGATCTCTAACTCCTCGTCCTCGTGGCTCTAACCTCTTCACTTGCCATGCTGTATGTCCAATAAAGAGCATTTGTCATTTTTCAACCTCCTGCTTTCTGACTGCATTTACTCCCCCATAGACCCGGTCACTGGTGGCTGCTGTCCCTGGCTAGGGAAGACTCTGCAAATTGCTCATGAGAAAGGACTGTTGCCTCGGGGAAATCAAGCTCAGCTTTAGGACTCAGGCTTTGGGGTGGCCCTAAGACAGGCTGGGGTGGGTGGAAAGGAGGTTAAATGGATGGAGAACTGTGGCACAGGGAGTATAAGCTGCCCCAGGTGTGAGCCAAGAGCCGAATCACTGCAGGTAATGGAGAGAGAAGGCACAGGGGAGCGGGAAGGCAATTCCCAAAGGCATCAGCCAGGGGCTGGAGGTCTCCGTATCAGAGAGCTGAACACTGCCATGACTAAAAGGAGCCATCAAGAGGGAAGGCAGCGCTCGAAAGAGAGGCTGAAGCTCCAGATACCTCCAAGCTCCAAATGCACCTCACCCTTGGGTGCATTTGGGCACCCAAGCAGCCTTGACACACACAGGTCTCACTAGATACCTCCTATTGCTCCAGAGCTCTTCCAAGCTGCCCCGGCTCCCAACACCCAGCCGGCTCCCAGGGCGGTTCTATAGACCTTCACGGAGGAGTTCAAGCAGCTCCTCACGTTCCCAGGCTCCCTTCTGTGGCTCCCACCCCTGCAGCCCTTCCAGACCACGCACGAATCCTGCCAGCAGCCACGGGGACCAAGGCCCAAAGCAGGAACCCGGAGGCAGAGGCAGCAGCTGGAGCTGGCAGCGAGGCTGGGAAGGGGCTGGTGCTGCAGGGGAGGAGATGAGGATGGGATCCGCAGCGGTGGGAGAGCGGCCCCTCTCCCACGCTGGTCAATCCGCACGGCAAATTCTCAGCCCCTTCCAATTCCAACATCGGATGTACCCAGGGATATCCCTGGGGGAGAGGAGAGGGGATGTTGGACAAATGCACTTCACGCAGCGGAGAAGACGCTGTACACCTCAGCACAGGGAAACTCGGGTACCCATCGGACCCAGTGCATCCGAGCACAGAGGTCGGAGAACCCAGAGCCAGGTCTCCAGCAGGTGGGGACCCAGAGCAAGGGAAAAGCGCCGTAGGAGAGCTCCGAACCCCAAGAGGTTCTGCTGTGGGACTGGGGCTCCAACCCATGAGTGCCCCCTCCAGCACGTGGGAAAGGAGACCCGGTCTCGAGTCGATCATGACGCCCATCCATCATACTTGCATCCATCATACTGCTGAACCATAATGAGTGCAGCTCTAAATTAACAGTGAATTTACAAGCTGATGTGCCATGTCCTCACCCATCCTGTGGTACCTGGGTGTCTCTGCAGCCTCCTTCAGTCCGACGCCACTGTCCCTTGCCCGCAATCCAAGGGTGAGGATCCCATGTGGAAACTGGGAACCTGCAGTCAAATGCAAATCCCTCTTTACTCTGCAGCTGTAGGAACAAGAGAAAGAGAAACAAGAAAGCACTTTGATGGTGGCATTTCCCAAGGAAATATCTCCCTTCCACATGAAAGGGAGTCCGTAACTTTGGACTCGAATGCTGATTCTTCCATCAGGCAGCTCACACTCACAATTTTTTCCTTTTTAACGTTATTTTTTGCTTTAATTTCTAGATGGTTGACGTAGCCTGAAAATGAAACAAAAGCTGAAAACGGCTGCAGGGAAGGTGCACAAGACAGAGCAAAACCTCTTGCAGAGCAATATTCCCCAGTACACCCAGTACAATCTGCAGGCCACGTTGCAGGCCAAGCTGTTTCAACGGGGCTTGGTGCATGCAGCACAGCGCTCGGTGACATGTAGCAGTGCAAAGTAAATAAACGTGTGGCCCCTGGGACATATGGATAATTCTCAGCACCTCAGCAGCTGCACCAGTGGTGTTGGGTGGTTCTGGTTCATTTTAATATGGAGAAATTCGACTTCACACAGGACAGCAGTGGGACACGGCACGTGCGGGTGCAGAGCTGGTCTGAAACAGCTCTGCAGCAGCAAAGCATCTGGTGCTCTTCATCAGGAGCAAAGCCTCGCCCCGGGGCCATGAGAAAGGAGGAGACGTGACAAGAAGGCTGTGCCATCCTTCAGCCTTGAGAGACCTCGCTTTCCCCTGCAGCTCGTTGAAGATCTCGGGCCATCGGACCTGCTCCTGGGCTAAAGATGGGTTCACAAAGAGTTAACACAGAATTTCAGATATTTCTTTGGGTACCACCGCCACCTAAGAAAGAAAACTGGAGCAAGGTGCCAAACTGATGCCTACCAAAGGTCAGAGGCCCTTTTAATGCTGTATGAGCTGCAGGGGGAAACGGGACCTCCCCATTCTGCACGAAGCATCTGTCAACAACAGCAAAACTGCAGGTGAAATTATTGCAGAACCTTGGGCTGCATGGGTGCCTCTGTGCAAGCACAGAAAATAATTACCTGGAGAAAGCAGGTCACACCTACACTTCAAAGTCATCTAATGGTTATAGCTCACTGGCCTGCAGATACTGCTGGGAACGGGCTCAAAGGACTGCAACGCCCAGCACGGGGCAACACCTATGGGAAAGCTTCGGAGGACTGCATCCTAATTCATCCCTTCGGGAAACGAGATTCCTGAGCACTCGGCTCCCACTCGGGAGCTCTTGGAGGTTCCCGTCCCTGCAGCGCAGGAACACTGCAAGTCCTGTGGTCCCCCCTGCAGAAAAGCTCAGGGTGACCATCCTTGTTAGCTGGAGCTGAAATTGAATACTGGAGCCCGAATAAACAGGGCTTGAATTTAGGGTAGCAGCCCAAGTTTAACCCAACGGCTTTAATTTAAGCAATTAACCTAAATTACAGCCTTGACTTTGCTGATAATTAAACTGAGATTAGGTAGCACAGGTGAACCAGCCCAAGTAGGGAGGACACACTCTTATTTTATGAATATGTGTATTTTTTGCAAGGAAAACACACAGAGGCACTCTGAAACATCTCAGCCTGGTCTGAGAACGGATATCCACCAGCCAGACCCACGATTCCAGGGCAGACATGGGAAAAGAGCAGAGATGCCAAGAGAGGGCAGGGAGGAGGTACCACCTCATCACTCCCCAGCTACACAGAAAACAAGTCACATTTGGGAGTGATGGGTTTATGTTTGGACTTGATGACCTTAAAGGTCTTCTGCAACCATAACTCCAAACAAGATTTCTCACTCCAGGGGTCCGAGTTGCCTTCGTTGCCTTGGTATGGCTGGAATATACCTAAAGGAGTATTTATTACCTTGACATGAGCCTGCCCCTCTGCTCAGCCTGGGAAGGAAAAACAAAGAGCAGAAGAGAAGAAAGAGGTTTTAGAGCCTGCTTAACCTTGGCCACATCAAGGAGTTCTTACCTGGCCTAAACACAGTCTCCTTTTTATTTTATTTATTTATTTTTTTTTTTTTTATGAATTAGGAGAAAAAAAGGAAAAAAAAAAAGCTGCTTGAGGGAATGCAAATATTATCCTTGGATAAGGCTGGAAGGAATGATAGGGAGGATGAAAAGGCTGTATCAGAGCAGCTACCTGCGTTCAGAGAGCAAATCCATGAATGAGCCCGGAGCTGCAGAGCCCATGGGAGACACTCCCCGAGCAGCTCCTGGAAACCTGCGTGTTCCACCAGCAGAGCAAGGTGGGGACCCCAGTGCCGTCACCCCCAGACCTGCAGCTGCAGCTCCCGCTGCGCGCCGTCCTGCCTTCTCTAATTACCTCTCCTCTCAGATTCCTTCCAGATGAGTGACGACCGCATCACCTCCACCCTGGTGCCAATGCGAAATGGAAAAAAAAAAAAAAAATCTTAATTTCTTTTCACTTGGTTGGAGGAGCTGCCTTATTACTATTATTAACAATGGGCTCCGACGCAGCTGGTGTATTCTTGGGCCAAAAAAAGACAAGTTTCATATGCAAAAAGGAGCCCGAGGGGAAAAGGAAAGTCCTGACACATCACACACTAACCAGGGGGGGTTCAAGCGGCCTGACCTTGTTTGCCCTGAATCAGCCACCTGGTCTACCTGCACAGCGCTGGAGCTGGGAGGCAGGCCCTGGACATTGCTCTCCATCCCTCTTTTTGGGGAGAATCCATCATTTGATGGTGATCACCACTATGTCAAGCGCGGACATCCTTTTAGATGGGCGAAGTTATGCACGAGAGGACTTCCCAAAGGAGCTGTTGGCTTTAAGGAGAAGGCTGGCAGCTCGCCTCCACTTCCCAGTGCTTTCTATGGCTCCCATGAACCAAGAGTCATGGGGAGGTGGGCAGGAATGATCCACTGCATGCATGCAAGCCATCATCTGTGTCCATGGGTAGGCCAGGTCCTACCTTGACCCCAAATCCTTCCTTTTGTGCACAGATCCACTGGTTGCAATCCACTCGCTCCCAATTTTCCCATGGCCGTAGCAAGACAGCCCTGCTGGGCAAACACTGCAGGAGCGAGCCCTTGTTGACAGCAAAAGCTCACTCTCCTAATTGACACCAAAATAAATAATTGCTCCTTATTCCTCTCCTCCCTCCTTAAAAAGCAAATTGCAAATGCAACACATCTGAGGGAAGGCGCCCGTGAAAACAACAGGGATAGGGAGCATTTTGGGAGGGGGAGCTTAATTAAACAAGGCAGAGGCAGCTCAAAGCAAGCGCCCCTGCAAGCAGGTAATTCCTCGATACTACCCTATACCTGCATTGCAGCCAGCTCCTGCTCAGGCTTGCAGATAACACGGGAGGAAGCCCGTTGGGGGGAAGTGCTTGTAATTTCATCCCGCTTCTACAAACAAAGCATGCATGAATCATTCCTTCCTGAACTCCCCGAAACACAATGAGGACCAGAAAACGTGTGCCACCCCACACAATGAAGCCCTTTGTGCACATTTTCTACTTGATTTCTGACTTGATCTGCCTGCAATGTTAAAGGGAGAATCAAAGGCTGCACTGGTACCTGGTGATGGGAAAGGGAAGATCAATGGGCTCGCTGTGGCTCCAGGCGGGGAGGATCCTCCAAAGACCTTTCCTAGTGAATTCGGGTGCACGGGGTCCCGTTTTCAGACACGTGGTGCTCACCTCAAAGAGTCGATTCAATCTTGGGGAGTCGTGTTTATAAACAGTGGATTGGGACCAGCCTCGGAGCGCTCCCTTTCCATACAGCCATCGGATCCGCAGCACTTCCCATCCCCACAATCTTTCCTCCTGCTTTCCTGCTTTTTCTGTTCACTTCCATCCTCCTAAAACACCAAAGCTGAAGCCTCCAAAGCCCGGGCATCAGCACCACTATTTGCAGTAGTGCTGGACGGCGGCCCTGCACATCGCTGCCAACACCTGCACGTGGGCACTGGCCTTGCTCAAAACTTTCCATTTTAATCCTGGTATTTTTTAAGAAGAACAAGCATGCAGAGGCAGGACTTCCCGGAGAGCTCGGGATGCTGAGCCCATGCAGCCTTGGAAGATGGGCTGGTTTTTGCAGATCTCTTGATGCTGCATAGAGGGAACCCAGCAGCCCGTTTCACCCCAAACCCACAACAAAACAATTCATCCCGCTGCAGGGCACGCTGCAAGACACTGCTCTGCCTGGAACGGACTCCTTTGCATAAAATACACGGAATTGCAACAGTTTAAACCCAACTTGGGAATGAAAAAAAAGAGTGAAAGCAATCCTGAGGGAGAAAGCCTGCTGGTGAGGGGCAGGAATTTTGGAGGTTGTTTGCCTTCCCATGCCCAAAGTCACTCACTGCAGCTTTCACACCCTTCGGTAGGGCCAAGAGCCTACAGGGATGGCAGAAGGCGACAGTTATTTCCAAACAATCCCCTTGTTGCTTGGAACTTGGCTATATTATTTCAGAAGGGCGTGTGTGCGGGGTGAGTCCGCTCTCCAGAATGCTGTTGGACATGCCAAGCCTAATTAATCAGAAGGATGATCCACCTCATCAAACCCATCCCAGGCTCGTGAAGGCATAAAAGGGCTCTCCTGAGCCTGGGGAAAGCACAGGTTCATCTTTCCCCCCTCCTACTCCTTGCTCCAGGCCAGCACCGCTGCGTGTGTCTTCTCGCTGCAGCGTCCGCCCCAAGCCAAAGGGCAGCAATGTCTCGCCAGTCCACCGTGCGCATCCAGAGGGGACGGAGCGGCTTCAGCGCCGCTTCCGCTGCTGTCCCGACCAGCTGCCGCACCAGCTTCAGCTCGCGCTCCGTCACCCGCGTCGGGGGCTGCGGCGCTGGCAGCGGCTTCGCCAGGCTCGCTGGCGGCTTCGGAAGCAGGAGCCTCTACAACGTTGGCGGATGCAAGAGGATCTCCGTGGCTGGACGGGCTGGTGGCTTCTATGGAGCCGCAGGTTTTGGTGGTGGCGCTGGTAGCGTGTACGGTTGCGGTGGTGGCTTTGGCATGCCAGGTAGCGCTGGCTACGGATACGGTGCGTTTGGGGGTGGCATGGGTGGATTCCCAGCTGGGGGCATCCAGGAAGTCTCAGTCAACCAGAATCTCCTGAAGCCGCTCAACCTGGAGATTGACCCCAGCATCCAGAGGATCCGAAAGGAGGAGAAAGAACAAATTAAAACCCTTAACAACAAATTTGCTTCCTTCATTGACAAGGTGAGACTCTCTTTTAGGAGCTGTATGAGCCCATAAGCTGACCAGAAAGGACTTGGAAAGGAGGAATTGAACCAGAACCTGCCACAGTCTCCAGAAATTCCAGGGAATGGTACCCGCTACCTAGTGGTTGTTAGGAATTAATCATCTCGTATTCAAGGTCCTGCTCATTTGCTATTTGATGTTAGTAAGTAGCAGAGAAAGAGAGCTCTAGGAAACAATCCCATCCTTTTAGAGAAGTGGAGCTTTCTGCATTGAGCACTGTAGGAGCCTTCAAAACAGACTTTAGCAGCCCACCTAAAAGGGCTGAGAAAGCAATTAGATCTGGGGAGATGTTTCTCATTGAGTGAATTTTCCTCAAAGACATTCAAAGCCATCAGGGAACAGTGCCAATGTGTTCGGACTGTTAGTTCAAAAGAGCAAATCCAACCTGACACTGTCTGCCTCGTTTCCTCTTGGTAGGAGAGTCACCAGGTTTATTTCTGGTCCAGCTCCTCTTTGCTTTCAAGGATCGCGCTGCCTTATTTTGGAAATCTGTAGTGGGGAGAAGGGGAACTGTCACTCTACTGTTCTTTTCTGATTAAGAATGCAAACCCTGGTTTGATCCTTATTGATTCTGCATGCAGCATTCGGGTAAAATATTTGCAACTTGTACTGTCTTAGCAAAAGGAAAAAATGTAGTCAGGGTTGGTTTGCAATACTGAGCAGCGTTGCTGTAATCAAATAGCAAATCTCTTCTCCTAGGTAAGAATTTGGAGATGAAGACTTGCTGGAAAGGGCGCTTCTGCACCTCAGCAAGCACCAACACACACAATTTGTAGGGAATGTCCTCCAAAGTCATTGCTATTTCAAAACACTTCAGGACATTTCTGCTTGCAGGTCCGATTCCTTGAGCAACAGAATAAAGTGCTGGAGACAAAGTGGAGCCTCCTTCAGGAGCAGGGAATGAAAACAGTTAAAAACAACATTGAGCCACTCTTTGAGACTTACATCAACAACCTGAGGATGCAGCTGAACAGCTTGCTGAGCGACAAGGGCCGGCTGGAGGGGGAGCTGGTCAACACACAGTACCTGGTTGAGGATTTCAAGAAGAAGTAAGTCTACGGAGGTAGTGATCTACCTACCCGTGTGGGTGCTGTCCTTCTCCATGCCTCATCATTAAGCCATTCGGGGAAGCCATTCGGGGAAGCCAGACGTACAAAATCCTAATAGCAAACAGTGTGCCGTTTTCTCAAGTTTTACAGCTATGGAGCTCCAAACACACAAAAGGTTTGGGGAGTAATCTGGAGCATGATCAAAGACTTATTAACTAAATTACTTACCGAGAAAAAAATTACATGCCAGGTCTGAGTTTCAGTATAGCATCCTTAATTTGCTTAAGAAGGGCAGGAGGAGTATGACTAATGGCCAGGAGTAGGAAAAAGTGAATAACAGATTCTTTAGAAAGTGATGTACTTGGTTTAACTAAATTAGCCCAGGAACTTTGGTTCAGAAGCTTTGCAGGAGAGCATTGTAAGCAAAATGTTCTTAAGGAAGTTCATTCCAACAAAGTCAAGTCACCTCCATCTGCTACTTGCCTAAACAAATGCTCCTTCTGCCTCCCTCTATTAGGTATGAAGATGAAATCAACAGGCGCACAGTGGCAGAGAACGAATTTGTGACACTTAAGAAGGTGAGAGGAAATGGCAGAATACAATTTAACGGCTCCTTGTAGAGCTCTAATCATCTGTTCATGTACAAATGTGGTCATTCATATTCCAAAAACCTTTGTAGGGTTACTATAATAGCCTTTGTAGGGCTATTAGAGCAAAGATAATCATGCTCCTCACTTAATAAGAGTGTTTAGATTGCATTACCTAAGTATCGCATCTTCCAGGATGTGGATGCTGCCTATATGAACAAGGTGGAACTACAAGCCAGGGCAGATGCACTGTCTGAAGAAATTAATTTCCTGAGAGCCCTCTACGAAGCAGTGAGTACAAGCATCTCCCCAGCCATTTACCCCTAGGAGTTAAGAGCTTCCCTCCCGTCCTTCCTCTGCAACTTCTCCCCTCGGGAGATGCTAAATCCTCTCCCTCTTCAGAGTTACATCAACTGCCTCGGCTTAGATAACAATCTGTAGCCTCTCCCAGATCTGTGCGCTCGTCTGTAGACATGAGAAGCTCTCCAAAGGCAGTTAGCTCATCCTATCTGCTGCTCACTTCACAGGAACTGTCTCAGATGCAGACACAAATCTCCGACACCTCTGTTGTTCTCACCATGGACAACAACCGAAACCTGGACCTGGACAGCATCATCTTGGAAGTCAAAGCGCAATACGAAGACATTGCCAACAGGAGTCGGGCTGAAGCCGAGTCCTGGTACCAAACCAAGGTGAAGGAACTGGGGGTTTCCATTCCGTTACCTTCATCTCTTTTTCCTGAACTGCTAAGGAATAACTCTTTCCAAAAAAAAGAATACAACCGTTGGGGTGGTTTATCACACAGCAACATTCCCATCCCAAACATTGCTGGTCTGAGCTCAAGGATAGATCTCCCCACTCCATACACTGGGTCCCTCCCAAGCCTTGGGATTCCCTTGACCTTGACTGGGTCTTCTTCTCCCATTGGCAGTACGAAGAGCTGCAGGCTACGGCTGGCAGACACGGGGACGACCTCCGCAACACCAAGCAGGAGATCACCGAGCTCAACCGCCACGTCCAGCGCCTGCGCTCCGAGATCGACAGCGTGAAGAAACAGGTAAATGGGCAGCAGAAAACACACGGAAATTTTTGCCTCTGTTTAAAGAAGACCCTGTGATTCCAGGCAGAAAACAGAAAACAAATCTAGGTCCTGCATGGAGAACTTGACCACTGGTTTCTCTTCTCCAGTGCGCGAACCTGAAAGCGGCCATCGCGGATGCTGAGGAACGTGGCGAGATGGCCCTCAAGGACGCCAGGGCCAAACTGGCCGAGCTGGAGGATGCTCTGCAACAGGCCAAGGCCGACCTGGCCCGGCAGCTCCGCGAGTACCAGGAGCTCATGAACGTCAAGCTGGCCCTGGACATCGAGATCGCGACCTACAGGAAGCTGCTGGAGGGAGAGGAGTGCAGGTGGGTGGCAAATGCATCCCTCCGAATCCCAGTGATGCTGGAGGCAAGTGATTCAAGCGCTGATCACATCAGCAGTTCCAAAAGGCATGGGCTAAAGGCAGCATCCTTAGTGCCGAGGGTATCCTGGTGGGGGAAAGGATGGGATTGGAATAATATTGCAGGAAGCATCCCAGAGTTATGCCCAGTTTTTAGTTTTCTCCTGAGAAGCCCCTAAGGAGCAGCCTGTGTCACTGGCTGATCCCATCGAAGCTTCTCCTCTCTCACCTTGCTGCATTTTGTCCCCTCGCAGGCTGGCTGGAGAAGGCGTGCCGGTGAATATCTGTAAGTCTCTTAAACACACGAACTTCCCCAATCCCACCAGTCACCTCTGAGCCCATCCCTGCCCCGGGGAGGCCCAAACTCCACGAGCCTGAGAGCTCTGCCCATCCCTTTCTTGCAGCGGTGACCAGAACAACTATCGGAGCGGGGTACGGAGGAGGGAGCAACCTGAGCGTGGCCGGCGGGGTCTGCAGCATGGGCAACGGCTTCAGCTGCGGCAGCGCTCCTGGAGTCAGCAGCCACGTCCTGGCAGGGGGCAGCGGCTCCAGCGTGAAGTTTGTCTCAACCTCCTCGTCCAGAAGAAGCTACCGGAGCTAAAGATTGCACCCGAGACGCCTTCAGTCGCCAGAAAACACCTTAACGGCGGTCCTTTATTGAAGCGTAGTTGGGGTCGAGAGCCTAGCGTTAGCCTCCTAAGCCCTGTGTCTTGTTGCACAAGGGCCTCATTTTGGGGACTCTCGGTGGTGTCGTCTAGCACGTGCCATGGAGGGCCCTGCTACTGAACACGAGTCCAGCTTTCACATCTGCAACCCGCTTGTTACAGCTCAGCATTTTTTTTTTTGCCCAGATTTTGTATATAAACTACGTCCCATGACTGTTTGTCTCTCTTCACTTTCTGCTGTTTGTCTAATAAAATTGCATATGTAATTTATTCTATTGCGTGGATCTCTTAATTAAAAGACGGGGCACAGCAAATGCAAATGCAGATAACAGGCGCTTTTCCCAGGGCCCTGCCCAGTTAAAGGCACGGAGTTTTGCGCCCCATTCACATTGCCTGAATCTCCCCATTGGCAGCCAAAGCGCACAGGTAGCGTGCAGCACCAAGGAGATTCTTGCCATCGATTTCCATGCACCAGGTCTTTGAGGTGCTTAGGGGCATGGTTTAACAGCAATAGTGCTGAAAGGCTTAAGGTTGGGCTTGATCTCAAAGGTCTTTTCCGACCCTATGACTTGTGTTGTGCAAGTAGGACACCTGGAAGCTAAATGCAAGGTGATCCACCAGGGCAGGAGCCAGGCACGGGGGGAAAGGAGGGCTGAGATTCATTTATCCTGTAGCTTCCAACCACCCTACAGCCAACAGCCTGGCTCCCAAGGGGCATACAGGGCACTGCCAAGCAAGTAACGGGTTAACGGTTGGACTCAGAGATCTTGAAGGTCTTTCCAACCATAATTCTATGATTCTACATACCTGCACAGACACACACCAAGAGGGAACTAACTCCAGGGGCATCAAAGCAACCACTCGACTTGTTCAGGATTATCAGTCCACCTAGAAACTCTGTTTACTGGGAGCTTTCTCACCTGAACCTAGGCACCAGCAGCACCAACGTCTTCCCGAGCAGGTTGCTGGGACAGATGCCAGTCTAAGGATGGGCTGAACTAAATACAGGAGACTTCGGTGACCTGGATGCCCATCAGGAAGAGAAAGTTTTCACCATCCAAATGTTTCTTCACTTTCCTAGAGTGCACTGGAGACAAGATCTCTTTCAGAGAAGGTGGAGAAATCCAGGAGGTGTAGCGATTTTAGAGGTGCTTCTGAGTAACGTGGAGAAATTGAGAAGTAAAAGCAGAGCATCGTTTGGCTGAGAGCTACAAAAAAGTGATGGGCTTCTCTGCCCCTGGCAGAGGATGAAGAGTCAAAAAACCAGAGAGAATTACAAAAAAATGCAGCTCCCCATGTGAGGGGAGGGAACAGGTTGAATAGCATTCTTAGGAAATCGCTTGAAGAGATGGGTGAGTGGAAGGGAACTGGACAGAGAAGCTGTACCCAGGATTGCCTTTGAGACCAGCAGCTCCCAAGGATTTCCTCGGTGCTCTGAACTCTGCACGTTCCCCTCCACATCCCTCGGGAACTCTCCCTCTCCACAAAAGCCTGCAGGCCGGGCTCTCGCTCCGCTGCGGCTCTCCTCTCCTGCTCCGCTGTCTCTCCAGGCAATTCTCCGTGTTGAGGATACAGTGACTTGGTGGGGAGGAGCGAGCTCGCTCCTTCCTCCAAACATCACCCGGAGCAAGGCTAAGGAATGGTCTTCCTCACTGCCCAAGCACACGCTCTGAGCAAACAGGTCGTGCTGCACGCAGCCACAGGCAAGGTGAAGGGATGGCATCCCTTGCATCAACATCTGGATTACAGAGAGCACAAAACCCCTTATTCAGCCTACGAAAGAGGGAGGCCAAGACTCCAATAAGTCCTGAGCATCACATTTTAAGCAAGAAAAAGCAATTTCCCAGAAAAAAAAGCTTTTTCCCAGAAAAAGCAATAAGCGTGGTTTGGCATCTCTGGTGATGTGGACAAGGGACAGCCTGTCCCTGCTCTGCAGCAGGGCTCTGGTCAGCACGTCCCTTGTCCCGTGGCACTCCTGCTCGACCAGTTCAGCAGAGCCACGGTCATGTCCCGGGGCTTGCATTCCAGCAGGAGAGAACAGCCCACGTTGATGGCAGCAGAGCTCAAGAGAAGACCTTAGCCACGGCAATACGACTGCTGCTTGCACTCAGGGGCTTGCGGCGTGCAGAGGGAAATGCTCCTCCAACCCCCTGCTCACTGATTGCGACCTGCAGCATTTTCACAGAGCTCTCCAGGACACAGACTTGGTCACGAAAGCTCCTCTCCTCTCAGGAACTGCTGCGTGTTGCAATTCCAAATAGCCCAAACGCTCCCAGAACAGTGATTTCAGCTTCATTGCAGGGTGTGCAGGGAAAACATTAGAAGAATAGAAAGGATAAAGAGGGGGGGGGGGAAAATGTCTGAGAGGCAAAGAGAGAGATCATAGAGGTAAAAAAAGAGATCTCAGACATCTGCAAATTACCCTTCAGGGACCTTCTGGCCAAAGTCAATTGAGAACCTCCAAGCATGAAACGACAAGCACAAACATGAACTTGGAAGGTGCTTCTGCAAACTCCTGCTCCAGATCCCAGAGGCAGCATGTGTCTCTTCACTGACAGCTTCCCAACAACCGCTCTGCACTGCTAACACCTTGGACAAGCAGGTGCTCAGGTTATGCACAGACACCGATAAGACTCGGACCTGGCACAGCGCAAGCCCAAAGGGCTGCAGGGACCCATTTTGGTCCATCACCAAAGTTATGGGCTCCCAAACAAGCTACTGGGAGAGACTTTTGAGCATCTGACCTGCTTGGAGACCAGTGCCTGTGAGCACGGTGTTTTTGCACTTTGTGCATCTGACAATTCCAGATAGCATCTGTGGCTGGAAAAAAACCACTACTGCACATTTCTTGGGAAGGATGCAAGGTGTTGTCCGAACAGCACTGCAAGAGCCAGACCTAGATTTCCTTGTGAGTAGGAGATACCGGAGAAGGAAGACACTAGACTGGTGCGAGGAGGGCAGCCTGGGAACAGGCTTCACACCATGTGGAGACAAAGTCACCCAATGAGTAAGGAGATGGCACAAAATTGGCGAAGGTGAAGCTGGCACAAACGACCAAGTCAGGTTTTGTGTTGTAACAGCCAACGGAAGTTCCTTCATGGGGCACGTTCTGGAATTTCGTCATCCATCAGTCTGAATCAGAATGAAACACAGACACTTAGTGCAGAAAGAAAAGGTCTGAATGACATTCCTAAAACTACTGTTGGTGTCTTTCCCACTGCCCGGCTGGTTTGTGAGAGCTGATGGTCCAAAACCCATATTAATGTCCCATCACGAGCTTGGCGGTCCCTCCATCACTTCCTTCCTTCTGCATCTGCTCTGGTTCAAAGGTCTCCTGACTGATTCTGAAAACAAGTGTCCAGAATCCCCAACAAGCTGAGACCTGCTGAGAATTCCCAACAAGCGGAGACCTGAGATGCTGCTGCTCTGCTGGGGCTTACTCAGAAACACAACATCAGGAAAACAAAGACCCGCATTAACAAAGACCTCACATCTGGGGCTGTGAGAATGTGCCCTTACACAAGAAAGGGACTGATTCACCCTGAAACACTGACGAGCGAGCACTTGCTTAACACGGGGAGCCATCTGATGGCAGCGGTCAGAGGAAGAGCAATGCTGTGAACAAGCATTGAGCAGGCAGCTTTTTGTGTTTTCGGCGGTATTTCAACAGGCAGCCCATGACTGTCACGGAAAAATGCAATTCTTGCACTTCCCAAGTGCTTCGGAGGTGCTCGGGGTGAACTCACCGTCCGCGACGCTGCCGGGCGCGCCGAGCCCTGCTCATCAGGACGAGGAGCATCGCACCAGACCCAGCCCCAGCTCGCAGGGGTATAAAAAGGGGCCGGTCGCAGGCTGGGGCAGCAGAGCACCGAGTTCCTGCCCTCGGCCACCTCCTCCCTGCTTTGTTCCCTCTGCGGCTCTCGCCCTGCTCGGATCGGCTGCCATGTCTCGCCAGTGTGCTGTTCGGAACCGGAGCAGAACCGGCTTCAGCGCTGCCTCTGCCTTCATCCCCAGCCCCTGCGCCAGCTTCTGCTCCCGTTCCGTGGCCCAAGGTGGAGGCTGTGGCACTGCCGCTGGGTTGGGAAGATTTGGCGGAGCTTTTGGAAGCAGGAGCCTCTACAGCCTTGGCGGGTGCAGGAGAATCTCTGTGGCTGCTGCTGGTGGTGGCTTCTATGGACCTGCAGGCTTCAGCGCTGGCTCTGGTGGTTTTGGTGGTACCTGTGGTTTTGGTGGTGGCATGGGAGGCCCTGGATTCCCTGCTCTCCCAACCGGGGGCATCCATGAAGTCTCCGTCAACCAGAACCTCCTGAAGCCGCTCAACCTGGAGATCGACCCCAACATCCAGATTATTCGTAAGGATGAGAAGGAGCAGATCCAGACCCTCAACAACAAATTTGCCTCCTTCATCGACAAGGTGAGACTGTTTTTTACTGTTTTGTGCTGATTTTGCAATGGGAAAGTGCAAATAAAAGCAGCGTAGGCTTTTATCAGAAATTGTGCTCTTCGTGCCCTGCCATTTCTAACATTCGCAGCCTGGGAGTAAAACCTGAAAGATGCCCAGTTTGAGGCCATTCATCCCCTTCATTAATGCTGAGATAAGCCCTGCACACAGAGCGTTTTAGTTCAATCCTGATATTATCAGACCAGCTAACAGAGGAGCGATATTGACAGGGACGTAAGGAGGAAAATTAACAATAAATTTGCAACATCCGTTTCCAGATAAATTCTCAGAAATGTCCTGAGTGCTCCTACGTCCCAGCAATGGCTCTGTACCTTGCAGGATGGCAGTCTGCTTCTCCACAGTATGGTCCCCTGAAATTACTGCCTTTCTGAAATTCTTATGTCCACTTTGCAGGTCCGGTTCCTTGAGCAAGAAAACAAGGTCTTGGAGACCAAGTGGGCCCTTCTGCAAGAACAAGGGAACAAAACTGTCAAGAACAGCATCGAGCCCCTCTTTGAGACCTATATCAACAACCTCAGGAGGCAGCTGGACGGCTTGCTTGGAAACAAGGAGAACTTGGCAGGAGAGCTCAACAAGGTGCAAGCTCTTGCTGAAGACTTCAAGAACAAGTAAGTCCCTTCCCCTGTGTCCTGCATTGGGCGCAAGGTGGGCTGTGACCGGCAGCTCCCCACTGCGTCTGTGCAACCAAGAAGCAAAGGATGCCCTTTCTCTGATATCATCTTCTGAGTAATGCCCAGGACTAGTTTTGCATGAGACACACACAACATCTTCACTTTGCCATGGTCAAAAGCAGCAGGCAGAAAGTCACGGGGCAAAACGCAGGAAGTCAGAGCTCAGGCTTGAGAATGTTTTTGAACAAAACAACTTCTTTGCAAGCCTGGACAACCCCTCCATTTCCACCCCCAGGTATGGAGACGAGCTCAACAAGCGTGCAGCTGTGGAGAACGACTTTGTGATCCTGAAGAAGGTGGGTGGACGTTCCCTCTCCTGGCCCTGCTTGCAGCCTGCGTGGCCATAGCAGGAAACATTCCCTCTACCTTTTCCTCAGCTCCCGAGAAAACGACTTGATTTCTGTGATGCGTTTTCTCTTCCAGGAGGTAGATGCTGCCTACATGAATAAGACAGAGCTGCAAGCCAGGCTGGACTCCCTCTTAGAGGAGATGGATTTCCTCCGGGCCCTCTATGAGGCAGTAAGCATCATCTTCCTCACAGTTTATGTGCTCTTGCCTTCATCTTTCCCCTTCGTTTCATTCTGGCACAGAATACCACTTGCTTCCTTAAAGTTTCTTGGAAAACATCCCTTTGTGTATTCAGCTTTACCTCCCTCTGAGCAGAAGCCATCCCCACCGCCGCAACTCACCTCCAAAACCGCCGCTCTTGCAGGAACTGTCCCAGCTGCAGAGCCAGATCTCCGACACCTCCGTGGTGCTGACCATGGACAACAGCCGCAGCCTGGACCTGGACGGCATCGTCGCGGAGGTCAAAGCGCAGTACGAGGACATCGCCCGGCGGAGCCGCGCCGAGGCCGAGTCCTGGTACCAGTGCAAGGCAGGTGCCCAGCAAGGGCCAAATCACGCTCCCTCCCCCAAATCCCTGCTGGAATTTGGCAGGCAGGTCTCACTGCGGTTTTATAGCCAGGTGTTTCCAAACTGAAGAGCTCAGAAGGGCTAATTTGGGGTCAAGGGATCCAATGAGTGCAACCCCCTGCAACCCACGCTCCGCCATAAAAATCCATTAAAAAAAGCCATAAAAAAATCCCCCAAATCCATAAAAAAACTCAAAATCCATAAAAAATCCCCCAAAATCCCCCCAAAATTCCCCCAAAAACCCCAAAAAATCCCCAAATCCCCAAAAAATCCCCCCCAAAATCCCCCCCCAAAAAATCCCAAAAAAATCCCCAAAAAGTCCCCAAAAAATCCAAAAACACCCCCCACAACCCCCCGCACAAAAACACCCCCCCCCCCCACAAAAACCCATGGATTTCACCTTGACCAGTTGTTCATCTCTCGTCAACAGTACGAAGAGCTGCAGGCCACAGCAGGCCGGCATGGGGACGACCTCCGCAACACCAAGCAGGAGATCTCCGAGCTCAACCGCCACGTCCAGCGCCTGCGCTCCGAGATCGACAGCGTGAAGAAACAGGTAAAGGGCAGCAGAGACGGCCATAAATCTCGCGTGGTGAACTTAGACTGAATCCAGGCCGTGACCAAGCCTGGGACACAGATCAGGTCTAGGCCACGCAATAATCCAAATTTTTGCATCTCGACCAGCCTGTGTTCCAGGTGGAGGACTCAAGCCCTGTTTTTCCTCCCACAGTGTGCCAGCTTGCAGGCTGCCATTGCAGATGCTGAGGAACGTGGCGAGCTGGCCCTCAAGGACGCCAGGGCCAAACTGGCCGAGCTGGAATCAGCCCTGCAACAGGCCAAGGCCAACCTGGCCCGGCAGCTCCGCGAGTACCAGGAGCTCATGAACGTCAAGCTGGCCCTGGACATCGAGATCGCGACCTACAGGAAGCTGCTGGAGGGGGAGGAGAGCAGGTGGGTGCAATTAAAGGTCCTAATTTGCAGGGCTGCAAAGGAGCTGCAGGCTCTTGTCAGCCTTAAAGGACACCGCTGGGCTTCTCACCTTCAGAAAGAACTAAAGCTTGCTCAGAGGCCAGCAATCTCTTATGGAGATGAGCTTTCCTGGAAAACAGCAGCCTTTCATGCAAACTTTCCATCTTTTACCGGAAATATTCCATGGGAATTCTCCTGCATTTTCAATTAGTTTGTGTCTGTGATCTCCCCTTCAATTCCATCTTTTTGTTCCTAACAGGTTGTCTGCAGAAGGTGCCAGTGAGGTGAATATCTGTAAGTCCCTTTTAAAGACAGATTCGTGGCCCTTGCATTCGTGTCTCTGCCGCTCAGTGGTCCATGCTCGTGGCCATCTACAAAGACGATGTCTTTCCCTTTGCAGCTGTGACCACAACAGGCTACGGAAGTGGAAACTGTCTCGCCCTTGGAGGCAGCGGTGGCCTCGGTGCTGGAGGAATCGCCTTCAGCTCTGGAAGTGGCCAGGGAATGGCTGGGTCCTGCGCGGCAGGTGGAAGCAGCTCCAGCGTGAAATACGTCTCTACCACCTCCTCAACCAAAAGCTGCTATTAAAGCCAGAGCTCAGCCCTGTTAGCTCCCGTGTGCCAGCTTTCATCTTGCATTGCGTCTAATTCTTACCCTACTACTCGCAAAAGCTTTAGAAGGCAGTTGTCTCTTCCTATTTATACAAATCACGTCGTGCTCCTGTTTGTTATTTTACTACAAGGGCCTCATTTCCTGGTGTTTGACTAATAAAAGCCATGTGGAATTCATTCTGCCGCATCCTCTTTTAACTCCAACTAAGTTACAGAGCAGTGGGGAAAATAAACGTGGTAGATGCAGCAGAACAGAGCCGAAGGCAAGCACAAAAGCTGAGACCTTTTCCTCCTTCCTCTACACTCACTGCAATTCCAGAGGCACCTCCCATATCGAGGAAGAAAGTGCAGGGAAGTCCTCTTCCTGCCAGGCTAAGAAAAGGAAAGCATCCTTCTAGCTTACTTGCTCCATTATAGCATCTCAGCATCTCCATTGCGCCTCAGTCACAGCCCAAACCCTGAAACCTTTCCAGATGTTATGAGTCATGGAGGGCAAAGCCTAGCTTTGCCCAAGCACAGAGGTAATTCAGATCGGGCTGTTCCATACATGCATTAGCTGCAGAGGCTAGTAAAACCCCGTCAGCGGCATCACCATAATTGGAAGAGACCTATTAAATCCCTACCTTCACCCTCTTTTGGAAGAAGAGCGGACTGCCCGTTATCATCATCATCATCATCATCACAAGTGTCTCTGAGCAGTTGAGGCACTGCCTGCAAAGGTGACAAGCACAGATTGAGACATCTAAGAACAACTTGCCTGGGTCTGGAATATCTGCAGTATCAGTCTTGGCTTCAGCAGAGACGGCAAAGGGACATTTTTGGCATCTCCAGCTTCCTCCTTGTAGCAACATCAGTACCACCAGCTTCAAACTAAACTGTCATTGACACCAAGCTAAAAACAAGCCCTAAGGGAACCTCCACGTAGTTTTTTCCCTGGGTAATCACTGCTAAGAGAAGTACAGATTGGAAAACGTTGCCTCGTTTTACGAGCCTGAAGGTTGCCAGCCGGTTGCATTAGGTGAGCCTGGTGATTAACGGGTTGGGAACAGCCAGGCGCCCCGCATACCAAACCAATGAGCTCAGTCCAAAATGGTGAGACCTCCAGAAGAACAAACATGACTTGGTACCAAAGGCTTTCACCGTAGCACTCTACCTGCTGAGACCAGAGACATTTATTTCCATGGAAATTTTCAAGTGTTGCACAGAGAAGGTTGAACTTCCACCATTCAGGAGAAGATTCTTGACAGCTCCGTGTATCCTGATGAGACTTTTCAAACAGCTTCAGGTCCCTGCAACCATTTTAATAAGGGCCAGGATGAGTCCTCTGAAAGCTGAATCTTAGCAAGACTCTTGAGCACTCTGAACACTCACATTGCTAACTGATGTGAGGAGAGACATGCTGTGCAAAAAGAAAGGTTAATTTTAAGTGTACTCATGTGTTCCCATCCCCTCCTTATTTACTTATTTATTACAACAAAGCCCCCTAGCATTGACATGTCGGGTGGTTTCAGCATTTCTGAAAATCGGGATTTATTTTCCACCCCGTTGAAGTCACTGAGGTCTCAGCTAAGGGTCTCAACACAACTCAGTAACTCCTTAGGCTGCTCCCTCTCATCCCTTCCTTGCTCTCTGGAAAAACAGCTATAGCTGTTTTTAAAGTCCAGCTATAGCATCTGCCACCGTACCCACAAGGGATATGCAGCTTAATGGATGTGAACAAGGAGCTGAAATTGTCCATCTTGAAGCAGAAAAGCAAGAGATGAGAGCCAGGAGCAGGTTGCAATTCAACGCAAGGGCACGTGCATCCTGCCAAAATCCCTGGGCCCTCCCTTTCTTGGGAGATGGTGTGTCTATCACCTCCTGCCACCTTCACCAACAGCCCTGGAAGAGACCTGCCTGCCTCGAGGCACAGAAATCATCCTCCACTTCCCACTCCTGGACTTACTTGTGGCGAAGAGCTTAGATAGCTATGAATCTACGCACAGCTAGGACTTAAGCATGACTTTAAGGATCGGATATTCCTGATGCAAGGAAATCTGAAGCTCTTTCCCCCTGTGGAAGGGTCTCGCCAGCACAACATGCCTTACTAGCCACAATGACTCCTTCCTTGGAGCTCCTGTCTTTCATCTCCACCATTTAGCTTGTTCCATCACACTGGGCATCTGCCCATAGTTGGGACGGTTTTGATCCATTCCCAGGAGCAAGGCTGCTCACTGGGAGTCCTCTCCTTGGCCCTCCCTCCTCTCCTGCCATCCCCAAGGCTCCGGTGACTAATCCAGGTGTGGCGGCAATGAGCTCAGCCCGGCTCCACCTTGCCCTCCCGGCCTGAGAAAAGCGGCGCGAGGCTCCCGCCTGCACCGAAAACTGCTGGGGAGATAAAAGGTGCCTTTAACGAGGGCCCGCGGCTCTCCCAGGCGGCCTCTTCCCCTGCCTACCCCCAGGGCTCCCTTTGCGTGGCAGCTGGCAATACATCTACAACACACACCGGTAGAGCAAGGATGCAGAGCAAGGATGGAGCTTGGGCTTAGCTTTTCTTCCTGCTTCCTTCTCACCTCTGTGCTGCAGCGCTCACTGTCTCCTTCCCACCACACTCTGCACTATCCATGCACGGAGCAGCGATTCCCACGTGTCCGTGCTGGTTGCAGGATGCGGGCTCTATCGGGATGCTCACCTCCGCTTCCCAGCAGGTACGAGAAGAACCACCAGAGCAGGACTGGAGACAAAGAGTTTGGGCCGTTGGAGAAGGTGAGGCGCCAATAACAAAGAACGAACAGAGTTTTTGAAGGCAAGATGCATTTGGATGCAAACGACCCTTTTCAAGCAGCAGTGCCAAGCTGGGCAAAGCACTTAGCAGACAGGTAGTCATTCCTCCTGAAGGAGGAACACCCAGATGTGCCAGCGCTGCCTCGGCTCCCTTGCGGGCAATAGCTCCCTCTTGCTCCAAGTCCCTCATCCAGAGCTCACCTAAGTCCCGATCTCTTGGATCCAGGTATGATCCAGGTTAGCCAGACCAGTCACCCCACTGGATGCTCTGGGTGATATTCAGCCCTTCTTTGTTAATTCCCTCCCTCCACAGGCCCTCAAGAATAACAAAACCTACCAAAACCTGGACAACGTTGGTGCAGAAACCTAAGACACCAGCAGCCTGAGCTGGGCAGAGGCTGAATCCTGGTGCCAGAACAAGGTGAGGATGTGAAAATCAACCCAGTGCACCAGGAAATTTTTGTCTAGCCTTTCCCAGCAAGCCCAAACCTGCTCCTATCCACCAAATACTCCTGTTCACCTGCTACTCTGCAGCAGGTGCAGCTCCCTGCACTGCAAGCAAAACTCGACCCAAGCCAGGTGGTAGCTGGACATTCATTAGCGTGCGGTTTGAGGCCTGGATGGTGGCTAAACCTTTAACTCTAATTAACTGTTTTCTTAGAAATGAGTATCACCCTTTAGGTCAGATCTCTGCCAGGATCTCTGTGTCGGTTCAGATCCGTTCATTGGGCTGTGCTGTTTCGTGTCGCTGAGAATGAATCCCCTAAAATCACCAGGAACAGAATACACACTCCATCCTACAAACTCATCAGTTTTATTTCAATCCCTGTCCTTCCTGTCAGAGACTCAACTTCATTTAGACTTCATTTAAATGTAAGACACCCCAAAACATTTGATTATGGAGTGTCACCATCACTGGGGGCAAACTGTTACTGGAAACCATCCTAAATAACAGGGGAAAACACATTCCCTTGGCTATCTCCTGGCTTTGGAGAGACGTCTCTTCAAGACTCGTTCATTCTGGGGCACAAAATCCGTGAGCAGATACCGCCAGCAGAGCTTAGCTCCTCCGTTCCCAGGGCTCCCTCTTGCTTCGGTGCGCTAGTGCAAATCTGGAGCAGATACAGGATTCACTCGGGTTTACACCAGCATCTGCAAAAGCAGAACCAGCCCAGGAAAAAGGAGGAAAAGCAGCTTTGGTAACATCAATCTAATGTAACCCGGAAAAAAGAATCTCCATTTGAGTGCCTTCCTTCTTAGCTTTTTTTCCTAAGAAAAGGGAAAGGAGGAAAAGAGGCTGGAGAATTATGTGCCAAACCAAAACTAGCCTGCTGAACCTCATCTGCTGCTCAACTGATTTGACAGTGTTATCAGACCTCTGCGATAGACTGCAGCCAATGGAGCTGCATGGCACGGGACCTGAACGCCACGGGACCTGAACGGGTGAAACCCGCCTCTAGGGAAAACTTCTCAAAACAAGGTTTTAAATAAGCAAAATTTGGAAACACTAAGTGTAGCAGAAAGCCTTTGCCAGAAAGGGGCCACAGAACAGGAACACTCAAATGTTTGGGGAGGTTTTCCATGTCAAACCAAGCCAGACCAGAAAACGCGGCAGGTTTCGCCTGGCCAAACGCCTACACGAGATCCAGTAGAGAGATCCACGAGACCTACGTGAGATCCAAAATTACCGAAACAGGTAATTTGGGGTAAAATGAACCTTTCCCCACCAACACCTCCCTCTCTGCACAGGCCCAACAGGGCTCCAGGCAGTTGGCTGGAGATGCCTGCTTGGGAGCATCCCGAGCTGTCGGGTCAGCACATGGGAGCTGGGCTGGCTCAGGCAAGCTGAGCTCTGCTCAGCTCTGTAATTAAAAACCCGAGCAAGAGGAAGGCAGAGAAGCCAACGTGCCCCTTGCACCTCGCAAGCTGCCAACCATCACACGTAGCAGCTCTTCCCCAGCACCCAGGGCCCAACCATGAAAGATGCTGAGTTCTCTGAAGTCCTCTGAGACTGGCTCCAAAAAAAAGTGCTTAGCACATACAACTCCCACACAGTCTTACCTTAAAACGCTGCCCAGCTAAACCAAGCCGGGCAGCTTTCAGGCTTGCACGCGGGAGCTTCTCTCTGATCCTCTTCATGGGGCAGAACGTGTTCTCAGACCATCGGGAACGCCAAGAAACGGGGATGAGAGCAAATATGCTTCTAAGAGTGCGCTGAGTTTTTCAGGTCCTCAGTGTTATTCTATTTGGGGAGTAAAGGAAGGCTCCAGACCTCCTTTTGGGGATTCCTGCAGTGGGGGCGAGGTGGCAATGCCCACAGATCATGTTTTCTTGTCTCCAAACAGTGGAAACGAGCAGGAAAAGCCCTGGTGGAACGGGCTAACCATTTGGATGCCTCTCCTAGGAAATGGCTTCAAGGAGCCATGTCGGACACCTCTGTTATTGTGAAAATGGACCACAGCCGAGGCCTAAGCACAGATGACATCATTGCTGACATCAAAGCTCAGCACGAGGACATGGCCAAGAGGAGCCGGGCTGACGCAGAGCGCTGGTGCTACAGCAAGGCGAGTCACCATGAGTGCTTCGAAAGACATTTCCTCCTTCATGCACCGTTTTTGTGAAGCACCTGCTGCTTCGGATTTCTGTATTTGGATTGAAAAGTCCATTTTTGTGCTATTTGTGCCCTCCTGGTGTATGATACATCCTAACGGCCTGCACACAGAGCGGCTCCAGCCTGAGTCATCCCTCTCCCTCTAGTGCCATCGATCTGTGGCAAAGATGGAGACCCAGGATTGAGCACCCAGGATCAGACGGCTTTTGCTCCTGACTCATCATCTTGGTCTGATTGTTTGTTTTCTTTGCGTTTTCTCCCTCCTCGGCATGAGGAACTGAGAGAAACCGCTGGCAAACATGACGACAGCTTGCGCAACACGAAGGACGAAATTAGGGAGCTGGATCGGATGATTCAGAGACTCAATGGCCAACGTGAAAGCACCAGAGCCCAGGTAAGGATGACTCAGGGACAAGGCATCAATGCCAGTTCTCAGGCTAGGGACTCCAAACCCCTCTATTACAGCCAAGGAGCAACAGAGCCAGTTCTGAGGAAAAACACATCCGCTGCTCAACTCTGGAGCATAGAATATGGACAGAGACGAACAGTTTAGAACCACAAGTAGCTCCTACCCCTTTGCTACCACTAGAACATAGAGCAAAGCCAAGCAGGAACATCCTCGAGTCAGGGGTTGAGCTACAGAGGCCAGACAGAGCAAAGCGGGATGGTCCAACGCAGCGGCTGGATGAGACCGTGAACAGGCAGCAGCTCTGAGCTGTTCAAAGAGCAAGCAGATAAGCAGTGATAACGAGTCTCCAGAGATGCAAACTGGAAGGAGCCATTGCTGAAGCAGAGGAGCAGGGGGAAGTGGTCAGCAAGGATGCAAAGCTCTCTGAGCTGGAGGTGGCGCTGCAGGAAGCGAAGCAGGACTTGGCCTGGCAGCTCCATGAGGACCAGGAGCTCATGAACGTCAAGCTGGCCCTGGACATGGACATCACAACCTACAGCAGCTGCTGGAGGGAGAGCAGAGCAGGGGAGAGCTTGCACATCCCTGAAAAACGCTTGGATTTGCAATGCATTTCCCACCACCGCCCTTCACAAGCTGCCTGAGAAGTCATCACCCTCTTTGGGCACTGAGAACCAGTGTCCTAGGAGGTGATGCTTTGCAAAACACTTGCGGGATTTACGGGCCCCAAACCCTTGCGCAGTCAAAAGCTCCTCCTGAACTAGGGCGTTTCTCCCAAGGGGAAGACCTGGCAGGACCAAGGACGATGCCTTGTGCAGCCACAGGTCTTACCAGGGCAATGGGAAAGCTCTCGCCTGCGCTGGCACCACGCTGCTCTCGGGAAAACCTCCTCACGGGCACGAGCGGAGACTGTGGCAGGTCCGAACCCCTCCCTGGACCGGCCAGCAGCTCTCTGCGTGCCCAGAGCACCCCGTTAGAGCCAGGGATAGGGGAACAGAGCACACGTGGACTTCGGGTTTAACCCTCCTTCATTTTCCCATCTGCCCAGGCTGTACGTAGACGCTGGCTGCCCTGTGGATATTTGTCAGCACTAAACATTCTTGTTTTGTTATCTTATTATCTCCCCTCTGTCTCTATTACCCAGACTCTGCAGGATCTCGTCCTGCAGGACTGAAATGCTGAGCCGAAATGCTTCTTTGCAGCCCCGTGCCGCTCTCGGGGAGGAACGGCCAGCGATGCCACCCCGGGTGCTGGCAGCCTCCTACCCATCCTCAGCACAAAGGGCTTCTCTTGGCGACCACAAAGGCTCCAGGCGGCCGTCGCCCCAGCGGCTCCAGCAAGGGCTCACTCCAGGTCTGCCCCATGGGTCTTCCTGCTGCTTGGGCTAGCAGCCCCAAAGCACAAGCCCTTCTCACCTGCCATGGCCACATTCGGTGCTTGAATGAACTGGTCCCCTGTGGCCACAAACAAGGACTCAGAGCAAACCAGGCAGGTCGAACTCACCCAGAAGGTGAAAGGCTCAATGAAGCAAAGCCCAGAGCTCCCAACTCCCAATCTGCAGCTCTGCCCCTGGCTCCAGGAGAGGCTGCGGGCTCAGGAGGAACCTGGAAGCAGGAGGAAGATGATAACGGCTGATGATGCTCCAAGCTCCTGAGCATCCCAGGTCACAAAGCAGCACAAACAAGGACCTCTCATCCGGGATCAAAGAAGGATGCAACAAGGAATCTTTATTAGCAGCCCTGTGACAACTCTCAGACCAAAAGGCAGGAAACTTCAGCCAGAGATACGATGCGCGGAAGGGGCTGAGCTTGCACCACAACAATTCCGTGCAGCTTCGAGTCGTTTATTTCCTATTTCTTTCCTCCTACTGCAGTAGCAAAGTACTGCCCTGGCATGTGTAAGTTGAAGAAATATTCTGGCAGGAACGAGTAGTTATTGCAATGATGCATCAACAAAACCTGCTTTTTCCTGGCTGTAGTAGAGACATCAAATATCACTAGTTATGCTTTGAAATACAGGGTGGTAAAGAGAGGTCCAAGAATGGGCTATGTTCTCTCGCAGGTTACTGTGTTATTTATAGTTTTCAGCAAATTTTTATCCCTTCAACTTTAGGCTTCTTTTGAGGGGAGGGAAGAACTAGAACTTGTTTATGAGTTATGGGGTTACAAAGAGTCTGAAAGATAGAAATGAGCTTCACTCGGAGGAGACTTCTTGAATTCCATCTCCGGGCCAATTTCCAAAGAAAACAAGGAAAAGAAAATCCAAAACAGTTTCACTGCTTTCTTCCTGGTGTATTTTAAGAAAACAAATCCAGATTGAAAGTCATAACAAGGGCTGGCATTTTCCAAGGACCCCAAGGGCATAAGGTATTCCAGATCACAGGCAGAGGAAGATAATTCTTCTGGTCTCTTTTGCAAAACCTCAGCAGAAATGCAGAGAAGTTTGCCATTCAAATGATTGCTCTGCCCTTCAAAGGGTGCAATTCAGCTCTGAGCAGGGGGTACCAGGCACATAAGTAACATATAAGCGTCACCCCACCTGCGTCACTGGGGCAATTTCACCCTCCAGGCTTGAACCTGCTCTTGGTGGGATGATTTTCCACCAAGGACAACACTGCAGGATCAAGCCTTGAGCATGATGTGGCAGGGCCAGGTCTCCTGGTATGTCTTACTCCAATTCATTCATCACTGCAGAAATTTTGCAGCCAATTTGTTCTATAAAAGGCACCACAACTTTTCTTTCTATGGTCTCCCTCCCCCCCCATGTGTTTGGGTACTGATGGCTTCGGAGTTTACTTCCTGATGCTTCTCCGGGTGGACGAGGTCGTGGTCACGGTGTAGGACTTGGAGCCACCTCCAGAGGAGAAGCCCAGGGCCCCGCTGCCCATGCCGGCTCCCAGGCTAAGGCCTCCTCCAAGCAATCCACTGGAGCTGGAATAGCCACCTCCGCCACTGGAGCTGACCACAGCTAGGAGACCACACAAAGAAGCAAGCCAAGCATGAGCACCAGGGAACTTCAAAGCTAGCACGGCACCCTCACAAAGAAACACCCCCAAAATCCCAACCCTCCGCTCCATCCATCATATCTGGCAGGGGGTCAACGAGAGGGATAAAAAGCAGAGCAACGGGCCCAGGGAGCTGCAGATGGTGTCCGAGACACCAGCATCTGGTCAGCGTTCAGGCAAGACAAGTGCTCAGTGCTTCCCAAGCCAGGCAGACCCTCTAAACCCTATCCTAGACCCCAGACTTTTCTACTTCCCTCAATTCCAAGGGCCTTTTTCCATGAGCACGCCTTTTCCCCCAAATAAAAATGGGAGGAAAGAAACCAAAGGATCATCCTGCCCCTCCAAGTTAGGATTCATACAGAAAATGTAGGGCTGGAGTCTGCCATAGAGTCAACAGCCCACCAAGGTCCAACCCAGGGGCTCTCATGTAAGAGCAGGGTTAACTCTGCACAAACCGAGGGCACCGCAAGGCACTATTATAAATTATTAAAAGAAAAAGTCAACTCACAGATGTTGACGTTGCCAACTCCATCGCCCGCCAGCCTGGTGGAGAAGGAAAACAGAGGCAGAAAAAGGGAGAGCACAGGTTAGGTTCCATATTACTCAGTGTTCCCTTAGGGCCTCGCTTCTCAGGATGAGCACAATGGAGGCAAATTATTGTTATTGCTGCTGTAAATAATTCAGACAAGATAAGTGTGCCATCCAGCGCTTTGTTCCGGCCCTACATTTACCAGCTCTGTTATCACGGAAGGGGAAGAAGGGGGGGATGACAGAGCAAGAACAGCCCTGGCCTGACTCCGGGGGGATCTGATCCACTTGGGAGTTTTCTGTCCCCGGACTGGAGCGCACTGGTGAACAGCTCCTTTGGTTTTTGCTTGAACACCTTCAGAAGTATCCAAGAGGAACACCCACCTGCTCTCCTCCCCCTCCAGCAGCTTCCTGTAGGTCGCGATCTCGATGTCCAGGGCCAGCTTGACGTTCATGAGCTCCTGGTACTCGCGGAGCTGCCGGGCCATGTCGGCCTTGGCCTTCTGCAGCGCCGCCTCCAGCTCCTCCAGCTTGGCCTTGGCGTCCTCGACGGCCATCTTGCCACGCTCCTCAGCCTCGGTGATGGAAGCCTCCAGCTTGGCACGCTGGGGAACAGAGCGGGAGATGTCAGCGGGCACCTTGTCTTTGCAGGGGAGGTTTCTCCTGCCTATGAACTTCCAGCATCTACAGAACATCTCCAGGGTTCTGCAGCGCACTGCAGTCACCTGCCCTAACCTAGACCACAAGGAGTTCATGCCCACATCACTGCAGTTCACCACGCCAGAGGGAAAGCAGCTCGCAAAGCGAGGCTCATCTCATCCCAAGGCATCTTCTTCCACGAGGTGATCCATCTGATCCTGTTTCTCTCTCCTGGCTCAGACCCCCAGGTGCCCCTTATTGCTCCTCAGCCCACCTGCACACAGCACATGGGGTTAACATGGGCTTGGGTTCTCCCTGCTACTGTTGGGTTCCAGTAAGCTCCAAGACAAGCATGGACTCGAGCAGACCTGCACTTACCCAACCCAGGCCTAACCCCAGAACATCCCTGGGGGCCACATCACGGCAGCAGACTAAGATACCCCCAGCAGTGCCCCTACACCTCCAGATAGAGCTAGTTCTTGGCAGGAAGGGATCACAACGAACATAAGCAGATGTGCTCTGTGCTCTCATTCATTATTGAAGGCAGCAGCACTGGGTCTGCTATTTGCTTGTCAATGTGTGTTGAAGCCTCCCTGCCCTGCAACCAAATAAACAACTGGATGAGTCACAAAGGTTTATCTCCAGCTCCACGTAGACTCCTTAGTCACAGGCAGGATCCAGCCCCTGAACAGAATCAGTACCACTCTCCAGGCTTTCACCATCCCTTTGATAAAGCAGTAACCTCTCCTGGAGAAAGCAAACAGAACTCCCCTAGCGGTAAAAATCCCGTTACGTGCCCAGACACGGGGCTTCCTTCTGCAAAAAGGGAGCGGACAGAGATTCGAGAAGTGAGAGGGCCCAAGGAACGTGGGTGCAGGGTAGGATGCTGCACGGGCTGCCCTTTGGGAATGGTTTTGCAGCACCCTTCTGCCCTCCCAGCCCCTTATGGGTTCATTCTGTGCAACTCAGCTACCTCTCAGCACCGACCTTCAAGGAAACAGGGAAAAACGATCCCCAACTGCTTCTAACGAGACGCATGCTCAAAGCCTCGACTCCTCACAAGCCTCGACTCCTCACAAACTGTTTTTCCAACTCGCTGTTGGGCGGCAGCAAAGCGAGGGCGGCTCCTCACCTGGGCTTTGGCGTTCTCGATCTCCCCCTGCAGCCGCTGGATCATGCGGTTTATCTCCGAGATCTCGTTCTTGGTGTTGCGCAGGTCGTCCCCGTGCTTGCCAGCGGTGACCTGCAGCGCCTCGTACTGCAACAGGCAACGGTGTGAGTGGCGAGCAGAGCCGGGCGCGCGGCCACGAGCTGGCTGCAATCCCCCACGCTCCTCACGTGCAGGATGCATCTAGTACCATAAGCTGTTGCTGCCCTTCTCTCCACGTGAACTTACCTTGCTCTGGTACCAGGACTCGGCCTCTGCTCGGCTCCTGTTTGCAATCTCCTCGTACTGCGCTTTAACCTCCGCAATGATGCTGTCCAGGTCCAGGTTGCGGCTGTTGTCCATGGACAGGACCACAGAGGTGTCCGAGATCTGGGCCTGCAGCTCACGAATTTCCTGCCAGTTGCATCAAAAGTAATAACGTTAACCACTGACTTTTGAGGGTCTCCCTTTTGGAGGTCAATTAAGAGAGACTCAGAAGAAAAGGAAAGGGAGGCAAACCAGAATTCATCAAAGTAAGGATTAGTTAGAAGAAAACCTACTGCATCCTCAACTCACAGAGCACAGAGGAACAAACAGCAGCTGGAGCTAGTTCTTATTCTCAGATTCATCTGCTGCTTGGCCGCAAGGTTCATTTACCCCCCATATTGACTTTACATGGCACCGTTGGCCACTCTGCACCCACGGGTGCAGAAAGGACCTTACCGCTTCGTAGAGACCCCTCAGGAAGTTAATCTCATCTGTCAGCGCATCCACCTTGGCCTCCAGCTCCACTTTGTTCATGTAGGCAGCGTCCACATCCTAAATAAATAAATAAAAATTAAAAAAAAATGATAAAAAAGTGATAATCCACAGCAATGGCAGTAGCTTGGATAGATAAGCCCACACTGCCTTAGATGATTTCAAAATCAACGAGCCCATCAAGTTCTACTCCCCCTGTCCCTATGCCCAAGGCACCACCATGACTTAGGAACATCTGCTGAAGGAGGAAATTGCCGGTAGGAAGCTGGGAGGAAGGTTTCTACGTGGTCTGGAGGCTCACACACCGAGCTGGGCTTGTAAATCCATGCCAGTTTGGATAACAAGACCAGGGGGCAGCTGCAAGGCCGCGGGATTGCAGCACAGGGGAACACCCACCTTCTTGAGCACGACAAACTCGTTCTCTGCTGTTGTGCGCTTGTTGATCTCATCTTCATATCTGCCAAGAAACAAAGACAGCGCCTTGTGATGACCTGGAGAACTGTAGTTATGGCCTGAAGCTTTTGTCTTTTGTACTGGCCAACCCCCTAAAGGGAGCAAATACAAATCCAGGAGAGATGCAAACACATTTAAGAGACTCCTTTATGAGGATCAAAGCATTTGTTAGGGTTGTTGTCACACTGCACGCCCATATTCCAGACATTTAAGGGTATTTTGCAGCTGGTGGTCACGTGCTGGTAAGAGCTAAGCGCAATTACTCTCATTCTGCACAAAGTGGTTTCACTTCAAAGCCCCATTTACGTCTCATTTAGGCTACAGCCATTCTTGGGACGATCACCTTTAGGTGCTAGGAACTGAAGCAGGTTTAAACCACATCCCTCTGCACTCACTGGAGCCTCTCTGATCTAGACCTCTGAGATCCAGGCTCTGGATCTCAGAAAGAAAAGGAATTAGAAAGGAAACACTCTCTTTCTCCGGCTGTTTCGGAATTGCTGTTCTCACAGCTCCAACCCAGCTCAGTTTATTTATACACTCCCTGCACGACTAGCTCTGTAATTTCTTGCTTTCTGTGCAGCTACTTCTGTTTTAGCTGCCTTCAGCTAAGCTCTCCCTCTGCTCTACCCTGGCAATCAGAAAGGGGTCTTGTCCCTCTGGGGTCAATGCACCTATTGCTATTATTGCAGTAATGCAGTACAGTAGCAATTATTGCAACTGCAGGGTAATGCATGTCCTGGAAAGCTGCATGACTCTACTGCAGTCTGCAGCACAGCGTAAATGGCATTAAGAGTCTATTCCCCAGCACGGATATCTAGAGGCCGGTGAAAAGCTGGAATGGCTCTGGAATGGTTTGCCAAGCTCATTTCCTGAGGGAGCCCCCGCTGAACTGGCCAACCCACGGGCAAACGGCTCGATATTCTCCATTAACGGGGCAGGTGCCCCAGGAAGCCCAGGGCACTATCGCACTTTGGCGTGCCTGGCACCGACACGGAGCATTCCCACCCTTTGCTTACTTTGAACCACACCCTTAGCCAACCTAGGTACAAAACCATGGACTGAATGATCCCTCAGAGCCTTGTGCAAATACAGAGCAATTCTCCCCCTTGCTCTGGAAGTCAATAAGGAATTACTTCGTAGAATGAGGATATGCAAGAGGAGCAACAGACCCATGAACTGCTCACCATGATTTTGGCATTCAGCTCAAGAGACTGGATTTTCCTCTTAGGGACGAGAAGCAGGTTCCAAAATCCTGTTCCTGAACTCCTGCTGCTTCACTAGGATCTCAGGCTCCTAAATCCTACCAGCCTTCCCTCCCCTCACTAAATACGGGATTTAACTTTCTAGGATAGTCCAAAGCTAGAGAAATAAATCTGTCCCAGGACATCTTTCCTCGTATTCACCTGACATAGGGCCATGACTTCCCTGGGTGCAAAGCAGCCCCTTGCTGTGGCTTTACAGAGCACAAAGGTGCATTTACACCAGCTGCAGATGAGCACAGGACGGAGCTGGACTGGGGGAAACATCATTCCCAGGCACCTACTTGGGAATTACTGAGTATTGACTTTCCCTCAACACGCCCCGGGGATTATCAGATCTATTTGTTTCCAGTTCCTGTCCGATCCAGTCTGCCAGCTCTTTTTTCTTTAGGCATTCCTCTGTGCAGGTGGGTTGGGCACAGGCAGGGACAAAGGCTACTTTCTTCACGGGACTCCTCCCAACCGACACAATTCAGATAGAAAAGCCATGATTTGGGCAGAAAATCCCCTTAAATATTGCAAGTCACCTGCTCCGCTACCTGCTCATTGAACAAGCTCCAACCTGCAGAGCTCCCAAGTTGTCCCTCCAGACCTGAGCGGACACCCCAAAGCACAGGGCTGTCCACGAGGAAGCTTCAGTGCAAAGTCAAGAGGATGGAGCCACTGAAAACCACTGGGGAAGCAGGTGCCAGGCACAACGGGCAACTCCTGCACCACCTGCAGCTTCCTCCCCTGCCAAGGGTGGCTATAACCACATCCCTCACCTGGGGTGAGGTTCACCTCTCCTGAAGGGCCACCTAAATGTTGGATGGGCCACTTTGAGTGAGGCGACCCAATGATGAAACGTGAGCCCCACAGTGATTAAATTAGCCTTTTGATGCCTAGAAGAACCTAGGCAGCTTCCCTGGCATGTACATCTAACTGGCAAAGGTCTCCCTCGCTAGCTGGAAAGTTGGGGACATCTTTGTCAAGCTATCGACCAACTTGCCAGCTCACGGTACCGTTAGATGAGAAGCTTATACATTACTTGCTCTTGAAATCCTCCACAAGATCCTGCATGTTCTTCAGTTCGCCCTCCAGACGCCCTTTGTCATTCAACAGCCCGTCCAGCTGACGCCGCAGGTTGTTGATGTACGCCTCAAACATGGGAGCAATGTTACTCCGGGCGGTCTTCTGGTCCTGGAGGAGGCTCCACTTGGTCTCCAGCATTTTATTTTGCTGCTCCAAGAACCGGACCTGAAAACCAAGCAAGGGGTCATTTGTGAAAGCGCAAGGAAGGGGAACTGGCACAGACCCCTGGAGAACGTGAATTAGGAGCTTGGATCCTGGGGAAGGTATCTGAGGAATTCAGTTTGCTCAGAAGCAGCTCCTAGATACCCTAAGGGTGATAAAGACCATGTGGGGCCATCGTGAGCTACTCAGGGGCTCGGTTTCTGACAGGTGAGGCTTTGTATTTAATTAAAAGATAAGCAAATCCTGCTTGCCCAACACTTGAGCAAAGCCATGCAAGGACTTCAAAGCCAGCCAATTACATGAACTCCAGGGCCAGATTCCTGGCATTTCGAGGATGCCTGAGCTCAAATTTGCAGCACAGGACATAAGATGAATTGGTTGCAAAGAGCAAAGCTACAGAGATAAAGGTCTGGGGAAACAAACACCAGATCTGTATCAAGGTCTGTTCTGCTGGGTCAATTCCTCTCTCAAATCCCCGCCACATATCCTGCAGTTGTCCCTGGGCTCAGGTTTAAAGCCTGCACCCATTTTATGAGCAACAAATGCCGAACACCACAGGGGCAAAATTGGCCCAAAAAGGGGCAAAATCCCTTGTGGAAGGCAACACAAGCAAGGCTTTAATAAAGAGCTCTCAGACTGGAACAGGTAAAACACACCCTAGTGGACCTAATCCTGAGCCCATCTGTGTCACTGTGAACCTCCCCACTGCCAAGCTCTGGGTTAGGCCTGCCTTAAAGAAGGACCCCCCGGGCCAGCAGCTTTTCTGACACCTCACCTTGTCGATGAAGGAGGCGAACTTGTTGTTGAGGGTCTTGATCTGCTCCTTCTCCTCCTTGCGCACCCGCTGGATGTTGGGGTCGATCTCCAGGTTGAGGGGCGCCAGGAGGCTCTGGTTGATGGAGACCTCCTGAATGCCCCCGGAGCCGATGCCCATGCCGAGCCCGCCGCCGTAGCCGTATCCCGAGCGGACGCTGTAGGAGCTGCCACCTCCTCCCAGGGAGATGCGCTTGCTGGCAGAGCCCAGGTTGTAGAGGCTGGAGCCCGGCCTGCCGAAGCCGGCACCCGCTCCCCCGCGGCTCGAGGACACGGTGCTGACCCGCACTTGGCTGATCCCCGGGACGGCCGCTGAGCGGGAGCTGAAGCTCACGGAGCGGGACATGGCTGCTCCAAGGACGCTCTCCTTACAAAGCCTGAGACAGCTGCGCCGGAGACCCGGAGAAGGAGCGAGTTCTCCGTCTGCCGCCTCCTTTTATCCGTTAGGAGAGCTGGGCTTGCCCGGAGGGCAGGAGAAGGAGAGGTTTTACAGCCTCGGCTGGGCGTGCCTTGGAGCCTCCCCCTCCGGCAACCTGGGAAGGGCGGCGGAAAGGGGACACCTGGCGTCCCCGCGCTCAGACCTGGCTTTGTTCCGCGTCCGGGGTGCTTCGAGCTGCCGCTCTCACCTGCGCCGGGATCCCCAGGCAGAGCATCCGAACGGGACGGGTCTCATCCCTCCTCGTGGCCTCTCCGCTCCCTGCTGCTCAAGTAAAAGGAGGTTATATAGAAAGAGGAGGGAACAGGCACCGATTTTTAGGGCTTCCCTGCTGAGCTCCCCCTTGCAATAGCAGAAAAGAGATAAGAGGCCCCAGCTTCTCGCCCAACCTGTAATCCAAACCAGATGCATCCTCAGACAAACTACACCAGCAGCTACGAGCCCAGCGTCGCTCTAGTTTTTGCTTTCTGTTTGCTGCTAGCACTGAAGCAAAGGTATTTCAGGTGGGTTGTGACCAGGGTGCCAGTCTGAACTAGAAAGGGGACAGGTCAGTTTGCAGCCTACATTTCTGGGCATCTATCCAGCAGAGGCATAGAAAAGAGTTGTGAGAGCTTGCTGCATTTCTGAATAGCTGCATAGGGATGGTTCCCTTCACTATCGGGTCATAAATCTCGCCACAAGATTTCAAAGTCTGGCCTGGAATCAGGCGATCCCTCCAAGGAAAATACAGTCCTGCTGTCAGATAAAGCACCATAAAGGCAGCGCTGCTCTCGGCAGCCTTGCAGGGAACAGCAGCTCAGCAGGAAGAGAACTCAACCTCACCCTGGTTTGCACCATCAAGAGTCCTATCCACAAAAACACATTTTATAATCTTAATTGCTGCCAATTCTAGGGGAGGATGAGTCCACCTTGCATTCAGAGTTGGATTTTTTGGGCAGTATCAGTAGCAACTTAGTCAATGCAGCAGGGCCTGGAAAAATCTAATTCACCCTGCGCAGCCAGTGCAGTGCTGCAAGCTGCAGCCTCTACGCTGATAACGTTTAAATCCAGTTCCCAATCAGGTTAAGTCAGGATTCAGCAATTCCAAGATGCCCCAGGTCGAGTTTCCTTGTGCTGCGGAGCTGCCATGGTAACAGCACGTTGTTGCACAAGCAGACGGACAAACAACTGCCCCCGAACCCTTGTGAATGTCCCCTTGGGCTTCAGGTTGGGCTAACAGGGGCGACAACGTGAACCGGTTCCACACCTCGGGGAGGAGAGTGCTTTGCCCCTGTGAATGCTGCGCTGGGTGTCACGCCAGCCAGCCCTGCGTACCTGCAACCAGCCCAGCGCTGCCCACTGGAACACTCTCCACAGGGAAATCACTCCATAGCGTCTCCAGGATGCGCGGGGTCCTCAACTCCGGGCTAAAAATCATCACATACAGCCACATTCTCGTGGAAGATGAAGAAAACTGCAGGCAAGCAAGGTTATATGTTAAGAACGTGTTATTACGCTGGTTAAAACATCCCGGTGTTTCCTCACCCTCCCGTCCGTGCCCCCTGGGCTCTCTCTCTTGCTTGTGTTTAGTTTGCAGTGTTTGGTTTGAAAGCTTGCTCGGCCAGGGAGTGCCCTGAAGGGTTTGCGTTTGTACAGCACAGCCCTGGCTGCAGATTAACGAGCCAAAGAGCTTCGTTAGTGAGGCATTAAAACCGGGGTCTCGACCACAAGCAGCGTCACGGTGGGCTCACGAGCCAGGTAGCCCACGAGTGCTGTGTGTTGGAGTCCGTGGGACCTTCCACCTGGAGCTCCACCTCCATGTGAGGAGGAACTTCTTCACTGTGAGCCCTGGCACAGGCTGCTCAGGGAGGTTGTGGAGTCTCCTTCTCTGGAGGTCTCCCAAACCCACCTGGATGCCACCCTGTGCTCTGGGCGTCCCTGCTGGAGCAGGAAGGTTGGACTAGATGATCTCGAGAGGTCCCTTCCAACCTCAACCATTCTGTGATTCCGAGGGTGACACCGTCGAGCTGGTGCTCTCAGGGATAACCCCCCGTGCAGCACTTCACCCAGCACCAGCAGACACGACCCTGCCATTCCCAAGGTTTTTCCTGTGCCGTGATGACAGCTCCACGGTTTTTAGGCTCTGGCTGATCTAAGTGACATTATAAAATTATAATTCCCATGACCACAGGAAGACAGGTATTTCCATGCCTCAGTGAGGGCGAACACGCGCTCCTGCTGTCCCCAGTGCCAGGCCACATGTCCCTGACGTGCTCTAGGCAGGCCCAACGGGAGCTGCATCCAGGCAGCGCTGTTATTTCGCGCAGGGGATTAGCGACGCGCTCAGCCCGACCTCCTGCGCCGCTCGGGCTATAAAACTCAACGTGGTGACGCATCCTTCCAGCCTCGTAACACTATTTACAGGGAAGCGATTTTTCTAGAAAGGCAACAGCCAGCGACTCAAAGGACGCTGGAAAATGACAAAATCCTCCTTTTTTGTCACGTTTTCTTCCAAGGGTTGGCCATCCTCCCTGCTATGATAGCCCTTAAGCCCGCTAAGAGCTTGCAAAGGTCTCTTGGACCCGGTGCAACTCCTCTGAATTCATCGCCACCGCGGCTGACCACGTTGAACCAACAGGTTGAACGAACTGAACACTCGACACTCCGCACAGTCATCACGAGGCGGCTTTTCCAGGAGCCTCCAACCACCTCGGTGGCCTCTCTGCACCAACAGCCTCGCGGGAGCAACAGCCGCACGTTGCCCCGGGTGCTGCAAAACTGTTTGCTGGCTCCGAGCCGGCCGACAGGTCCCGCCGTCCTGGTTACTCCTCGACCTGCTGCAAGGAAGCGGAGAGCGAAGGAGCGGCGGCGCCCGCGGCACCTCCCGGCGCCACCGCCGGCTCAGCCCGCGCCGTGACGCCCGGGGCCGGTTTACGCCCCGGCCTCGGGAACCTTTGCACGTTGCCATAAGCGACGGGGCAAACAAGCAGACCCAGCCCAGGCGGGCGGGCTGGCGGGGATCCCGCTCGGCATGAGTCCGGCCTGCCCCTCGCACCAGCCCGCTTCCCACTTACTGAAAACTCTCTTCATCTTCCCCTCCTCTGCTCCCAATTACAAGAGACTACAATTGCAAGAAACCAGGCAGGAATAACTATAAATAGTTATAATTATGCATAATCATAATTAGATGGGTAATTTTTTTTTACATGAAAGCTGAGAGTTGTTCCTGCAGCTAAAGTCTTTGGGAGAAAAAAACAAACAAACAAACAAATTAAAATACTCCAATTTGGGGACTGGGATGAAGCCTAGAGCTCTGTTGATACAGGGCTTAGTTTTTAGGGAAACTGCAAGTCTCAGGATGAGAAAGGAACAACCCAAGTAACCAAACCTGGAGCCTGTGCCTCTCCCGGTGCCTGGACGCACCTCTCCCGGTGATTCACTCGCTCCAGCCCACGATTAGAGCCGTAAGATTAAGACTAAGGCTCTAAGATTAGAGCCATAGGGAGAAGATATTCCCGCATTCCTCTTTTAATTACTTGCATTGCAAGCTAATGCACCCCATCGGGAGCAGATGACAGCCGTGGGAGCGTTTCACTGCCGCTCGATTTTAGGAGCTGGGCTAAAGCCAGGGCACTTACAGGGGGGATTCTGCAGGCCTGATTCAGGCCCACGTTAAGGAGCAATTCCTGCGAAGCACACAGGGCGACAAGGGACGTTATCTTACACGCTCATCGGCCAGAAATGCTCTTAAGAAAACTTCTTATCTTGCAGAGGCAACGACAGAGGCTGCTCCACCAGCCCAGGTTGGATTTGGAGGTCTTCCTGCTCCCAAAATCCCAAGCAGCCAATGCAGCAGCCACCCAGAACCACCCGTTTGCAATTGTATTGAGCCAGGGGCTGTGCAAACAGCGGTAATTTTGGGTGGCTGCCGTGCTGGCTGCTTACTGTTTTGGGTTTCTCAATAGCTCCCACAATAGAAAACTATTTTCATCCCAGTGCCTACATAGGAATGAAGCTGCTCTGCAACTTCTGGCCCTGAGTGCAAATCCCAAGAGTTTGTGCAAAATCCAAAGTCTCCAAGACATTTTGTTGCTTCATAAATGCTCCTAAGGGAGATAAACAGCAGTGGAGACAGAGGCCGAGCTGCATGCAGCACATTTCCCTGGCCTTGGGGAGATAAAAACTGTCTCGACGACAGGAAGAAGATGGGAGAGGCTGGAGTAAATTCCACATCGCCCAACTCCACTCCCTAAACACAAAGCTACGTGTTGCCCAGTGGGTGCTGCAAATATTCGCCCGAATTTTTAGGCCTTTTGTCCGCAAAATCTCCAGCATTAAGTGCCTATCTCCTGTGGACCAGGCTTTGGAGCAGCGAGGGATGTGGTTTCCAGAGACAGCGACTCGCAGATAAGCACGGAGAGATCCCCAGCAAGCCCGTCCCCATGTGGAATTCCAGGAATTTAACAAATCCAAAGGGGGTATGTTCCAAAAGCCCTGGTGGTCCCAGGGGTCTGCTCTAAACAGCTCAACCTCTGAACATCCAAACAACTCGGGAAAGGCCGAGAAGCAGCGATTATTCAAACAGGATAAACTGGGAAGAGCTACGAGCTCCCCCCAGCACATCACAGCCAGGGGACGAGCGGGAGGCAGAAAGTAGATGATTAATTTATTACGACTGTTTCCTTATGGCTCTGATAACCAAACTCAGATGACAATCTCTGTTCCCGGGGGGGCAAGACAGCTCCCAGAGACACACGATTTTCTTGCAAACCTGGGAACAGAGGAATGAGCAGAGAGCAGTTCCCTTGATTTGGGCTCTGGCATTTCCAGGTGCCTGCTGTCAGTGCAAACAGGTCTCTTATCCTACCGGGTGCACACCCCAACACTGCCTGCTTGAATGCAGCATCCAGCTTTTAACCCAGACGTTCCCGAAGCTGGAAGCAAGGTGCAACCCCCATTTCCTCTGCTCCTTTCCCAGCCCAACAACTGGCGCCAGGTTTTATGCAAGGGCAAAGGGCAGGATTGCAGCCTTGGACCTGCTGGGGAGACAACCCCGGGGTGCTGATGGAAGTTAAGGGAGTGGTTGGGCTGGGGCAGACCCCGCCACAATCAATACATTCAGCGATGACAATAATAATTACTATAATGAACTTGCTCCTACTCACGCTGCCTGTGACACGACTGAGTCCTCGCAGGGCTCCGGCTCCTCCCTGGGGCAGGTTTCCTTCTTGAACAAGGACAACGTGGAAGAGCTCGGGCTGCAGGGGGGAAAAGAGAAGGGAAAACGTGGGTGTTGGGGGGTTTGGCGCGGGGCTCCATGATGCCGATGATGCTCCCGCGCCCACTGGAAGCGGAGACCCTTCGAGTCAGAGCCCGATTCCCAGCTTGCCACTTTGCTGGGCATGCAGCTGGCATGAATCAGGAGCACCGGGTTTGACCTGGGGACTCGAAATCTGGATGAATCAACCCGGGCGGCAGATTAAGCGTGGATTAAGGACTTGCCTGCTCCCGGGATTAGGGCTGATCCCAGCACATGCAGTGACCCAGCAGGCAGGTGTGTCGTGCCTGGCACCTCCAAAGGGCCAGGCTGCATCTTTTACAACGCACATTGGCGTGCAAGCAACACAAAAACCTGCCCCAAGTCTCGGTGCTTTGGGTTGTTTTCCCTCCCCGCAAGAGAATCTACCCCTTGTGGAAGAGCCACGAGGCCTCCCAAATATCCAGGCGGCCTCCCCGGGAGGCCGGGCTCGCAGCGCCCGCGGAAGCGACGCCGCGGCACGGGCGCCACAAACCTCGGGCAGGTGACGCAGCACGGAAACAAAAAGCCCAATTAGAAGCGGCCCGAGAGCGCGGGGCAGATTGCAATCGGGGCGGCGGGCGCTGCACGGGGTGAAGTCACAGGCTCGAGTCCACATTGAGAAATGTGCAGCAGCAAACCTGTGCAGCCCGCGTCCTCGCTGGCAGCGAGGAAGGAGACGCCTCTTAACCCCTGGGAGCCTGAGGGATCCTTGCAAAGGCAATTTGGAGCCCTCAAATTCCCAGCACGGCTCCAAAGAGCTGCAAAAAGGTGCTAAAAGGTTCCTCTGTAGCAGGGCACCGAATGGAGCAGGGGGTGGGCGCCTGGCTGGGAAATGGGGCTGCCATGGGGACAAGGGAGATGGATGGGCTGTGGAGCAGTTTGCAGGCTCCGGGACAGCCTTCGAGCAACCAAAAGTGGCTTTTCAAACCCAAGCAGCCCCTTGCATTGGGGAGGTGACGGGATGTGGCTGCTGGGGAGGCATCCAGCCCCGCGAGGCTGCAGCACCGCGTCACTGTTTTGCTCAATACCTGAGGTTTCCTGGAAGCAACGTGAGCTCACGGATAGGCTGGAAACCTCCGCGAGCGCGAGGCAGAAGCGGGCAGGTCCCAGCCTGCCTCCCAGAGCCTCCGGTGCATTCCTTGCGAGTGATGCTTGTTTTGGGGCAGAACAAATGATTCTGGCTGCAGCCAGAGCCAGGCAGAGCTGAGGAGCCTCCACGCGGACCAAGGCCTCTCCAAAGTGGAGCCCCTCATCACAGTCCCAGAAAACCCACCCGTCTCCCCCAGCACATCACGGAGCCTGGCAGCATCCCTGCTGTCACAGCACGAGGGTGACGAGCTGCATTAAACACAAGCCAGCGGGGCCCCTCTTCCCTTTTCCAACTCGAGAGGAGCCTCGCGAGCTCAGCCTGGCTCTGCGCAAGCGGGACCCCGGAGCCGCCCGGCCTCCTGCCCATGCGGCCGCAGCATCGGCCGTTCCCCTGCGATGCGTCACGCTGCACTCGCCCTCCAGCCGCTCCTCGCGTGCCCGGAGAGGCTCAAACGAGCCCTGCTCGTTAGCGCCGCAGCCCTGGGCCCCGGCTCCGGCTTGCCTAAGCTGCATCATTCCAATTCCTCGGCTCTGGGCTCTGGCTCCGGCTTGCCTAAGCTGCATCGCTCCGATTCCTCGGGGCCAGCTGCCCATTTGTTGTTTGGGCTTCGTGCATCACCCATGTTTAATAAACAGCAATTAGGGAACTCGGACAAATAAACTGTTCTCTTCTGGGAGAGCATACTGAGCTGGTAAGATCATCTTCCAGAGGGCCAGGATAAAAGTCCCTGGACTTTGGGCAGGGTCTCCTTTATCCGAGCAGATCAGGAGACGAGGCACACCTGGCTGCACAGACACAGGGCGCAGCAGGATGCAGCAGGCGATGGAGAGGGCTGAAACCCTCCGTCGTGTCCCCCAAAGCCTGCCCCATCTCATTGCCACCTTTGACTTCTCTGTGCATTTCCCTTCCACTCATCTGGCTTGGCCGGGCAGCCAAGCCTGGCACCAAATCTCAAAGCCAGATTTTGGAGGCCAGCCCGTTCCAAACGGAACCAAATATCTGGCTGAGGAGGAGTATGGAGAGCAGCAGCAGGAAGGGAAGCAGCAGCCTGACTCAGCGCTGCCTCTCCCATGGTGCAGACACAACAGCAAAACCCACAGCCAGGCTCTGGCCACGGCTTCCCTGCTCCATCCTGGGAAAAGCGGCAGGGAATCACGGCTCCCGCATCGCCAGGTGCGGCTCCAGGAGCAGAGAGCCCGTCTTGGTGATCGGTGCCATGCAGCAACGCCCTGGTTGCACTGAAATGAGAGTCCCCAGGAGCCAGCACCACCAGCAGCAGTGTCCCCTGCCTGGAAAGGAGCCGCTAGAAAGCGGCTTCATCCTCTCTCCGCAAGTTCTTCCCACCCATCCTCACTTGCCAGCGGACACCACCACTTGCAAACAGTCTTCTTAAAAACATCCACGCTTTGCCAGAGGAAAGAGGAACAGGGAGGGATGCTCGCACCGATGTGGTTGCAGATGCACCCACTGCCAGCGATGCATCCTAGGATCTTGCAAGACGGAATTGCTCTTGGATCCAGTCTGGCTCCATAAGGAACACGGCTCCCAGCCTCCCAGTCAAGCTGCTATTAAACTGAACCGGCCTAATTTCACCTCTATCTCCTTCCCTCGGAGGGATCTTTCCTTGGTGCCCTCAGTACCAGATGAAGCACAAAAGCTGCCAGGTGACCCCATGACCCGATGCTATCAGGAACGGAGATGTGCCTGCAACCACAAAGCCACAAACAAGCAGCCCACGATGAGACAGATAATCTCACCTCACCAGAGCCATGAGCTTTGTCATCTCCCAGCCATAAATTGTGCTTTAATCCTTAAGCTAAACAGGCCAGATTAAACCGAGGAGTCCTGACCAGGAGCTGGTGAGTGAGAGACTTGATATTCAGATGTCAGACAAAAGCAAGCTGCTCTTGACAAAATATTGAGGCTTCACCTCAAAGAAAGGGCGACTCTACTGGAAGGGAACAGCTCTGTGTCCTCCTTGGGACAGAAAACACAGCTCCCTCAAAAGGGCTTCATACTGGAGCAGGTCTATGCCAGACCACATTCTGCTTGACGTCTGCTGGCTGGAAAATACCCATTTTGCTTTCCAACGTGGGGCTGAACCAGACCACCAAACAGCAGGTTTCCTGCAAAACAAATTCCAGATTTGGATTGCAGAATACTACCCCTTTTTGCAACACAAACAGACAAAAGGAGGCCAAAAATCAGTGCTTTTCTGTCCCAAATCCTTGCTGAGAAACTGAGTGAAAGCTGGGAAAGGCTTTCAAAGGAGCTGTGCCCAACACTGATTTATGGCTAGGTCCAAATAGGTATTTAAGGGTGTGCCAACCTAGCAACCTAGAATTCATTAAAAGACAGTGGGTTTTGGTGTCTCCAACACCAGGTTGTAAAGGGTTTTTGGGAACGAGAGGTCAAGGACAGGCACAGACACTGCAGAGATCTGGTCTGATGTGGAGAGGTTTTGAAGATCTCTCTTGCTGCCAACTCACAACTTCAGCAACCCAAGAGCCTCTGGAATCAGCCACCACCAGATCTTCTCAAACTGGACTGACGCATCCACAGGCCCTAAGACATTCAGTGCAACACAGCTCTGCATGATGGCCCTTCATGGGCTGAGGAAGGCCAGGAGATCCACTAGTTACGATTAGCTGGAGATATTTTCCCAACTCCTACCTGTGGCAAAGTCAAGCTTTATGATTTTTTCCTCAGTCAAATACTCTCGAAAAGAAAAGAAAAGAAAAGAAAAGAAAAGAAAAGAAAAGAAAAGAAAAGAAAAGAAAAGAAAAGAAAAGAAAAGAAAAGGAGAAAAATACAGATCCTTCCTTCAGCCTTTATCTGAAACCCTAAGGCAGGGCTAGGGACTGAATCCAAGCTCCATGAGCCAAGTGCTCCTGCCGTAGCCGCGCTCAGACCTTCCTCCCCAAGCGTGTCAGAGGATGCCGGCTCCGTCGGCTGTTTTCTTCACCATTTAAGGCTACGGAAAGCAGCTGCTCGAGGCCCAGCGAATTACCTGGGAGTGATTTGTTTTTGCTGCGAGTGCCTGTGCCCTCACCGCACAAACAAGCTCCTGCAGAAAGGAGGGTACAGAGAGAGGAGGAAAGGAGAAAAAAAAACAAAAAGCCAACAGGTTGATCTGGATTACATCAACGGTTCCACCCTCCTCCGTTTAATGAACATAGGAGAACAGGTGCTTGCAATTCATTAGCCAACCCACGAGCCGAGGAGCCGGGAATTAAGCCGACCAAACTCCCCGCCGTGCCACTGCTCTCCTTCCCTTGGAGGCAGCAGCAAGAGAAGTTCATCTCTTCTTCGCCCTCCTCTCCTTCCCTCCCTTCTCCTCCCCTGGCTGAGCATGACTAACCCTTGCAGAGCGTTCAGCGGCGGATCCCTCTGCTCCTGGGAGGTGGCGGGGAGGATGAGCCGAGGAAGAGCAGCCGGCACGTCCCCGGAGCGCCGCGGCTGCGGCAGCCCCACGGCGATGCTGAGCGGCGCCTACGACTCCCTGGGCCTCTCCGGAGCCGGCGGATACCGACGCTCTTCTTACCCCTCCTTCTCCATTGATGGGAGGCTCCTGCTCCCTGTGCACCTGGATATCGACCCTGACTTCCAAGCCATGAGAGAGCAGGAGAAGGAGGACATCAAGCTGCTCAACAACCAGTTCGTGTCCCTCATTGGGAAGGTAAGATGAGGACCGTGGTGGGCAATGAGGATGGTGGTGGGGGGAAAGGGGATGGCAAGTAGGCCCTCAGGAGCCTCTGCAAGGCCTTCCTAAGCTAATTATTGCCAGGCTCTAAGTATTAGGCCAATTAACCAATTAGTTGCTCCTTCAGTGCTATCTGCTTGAACAAGGGCTACTATCAGCATTAGGTGATGATGGGCCACATCTGTGGTCAACAGTAGCCAGTGCTTCACGCAGCAGGTCCCTTGGGTGGGTGACAGTGATGCCACATGGGGACATCATCCCACCTGAGCAGGGGAGCTGGGCACACGAGGCCTTGGGTAGATCCACAGGGGACACAGGGCTGGTGGAACCACCACGAGCAGTGAAGCTGCTCGGGGGATGTGGAAGGTGACAGCTGCGGGGGACAAGGGAGACCCCGCGTACCCGTGTCTCCCTCCTTGGTGCTTTTTATTCTGTGGGGCTGCAAAACGCAGCCAAGAAAGTGTCGCTTTCATCTCTTCAGATCCCTGAGAAGGCAGGAGGTTTTCTCAAAGCAAAACAATTCATCTAGCTGAGGCAGGTCGCTGCAAAGCCCTGGTGCTCTGTAAACAGATGGTAATCTCTCAGGATTGCTTCACTGCATCCACAATACCGGCTGCCCGTGCCAAGCTACTACGGCTTTGGGTTTTTGTTGGTTTAATTCAAGCTTTAAGAGAACCTGAATTCACTGGGAAGAAGGGTGGGGGGCAACCATCACTCATAGCATCTAGCCAGGGTGAACAGTCGGGTGCCAACTGCACCTATGTGGCTGTGCCAAGGGCTCATCCCGGGTGGAAGAGCACAGCAGCCTCTGTGCCTGGCCTTCTCCAAGCAAGAACTTGGCAGGATGAGGTCGGAGAAGGCCTGGTTTGGAAAGTCCTACAAGGGTAGGTTTGGTGGTGTGTGCTGCAGGCCTGGTGCCTTGGCTGTTAGGACAGGGACAGGGGACATGAGCACAGAGCAGCACAATAAATTGCTGCCCTGCACGCGAGCGAGACCACAAGCACTGCTCTGTTCCGTGCAAATGGAGATGGAAGAAGTGACAGACCCTACAGGTTTTCGGATAAAGCCAACCCTGGAATCGGCTGATAAGCATGCACTGCAGGGCCAGACGGACAGAGATACACTTCAGCTCACTAGTCTGGAGTTTAAAGATGGAAGCTGCTGCCTTTAGCTGTGAAGGTTGCAAATCCAAGTGATACCTTGGTCAAGTGGCCAACTTCAGCCATCTGCCTCAGGCCACAGGAGAGTAATGACACTTCTTGGTCACAGAGAACTTGTCTTTTTAATCAGGAATTCAGAAGGCCTCAAGTCCAGGCAGCTAATTCCTCAGATAATTGACCACAATCAACCTAATGGTTTGCTGCTGATGTATCTCCAGCAGGCTCTTCCAGACCTGCTAGTATTCCCTTTCCATTTGATCTAGATATGGCTCATCCCTGTCTGCCACCTGGACAATGATGGAGCCTCCATTCTGAAGCCTAACTTCAGGACCAGACTTTAGCTGTTTCATTTGTATTCAGGAATGGTTTTCCAGGAAACAAGGCTAGATTAGGGTGGCTCCTCTGCCACAAAGCTGAGGTTAAGAGACTTTGTAAGAAGGAATTCGTGCTAAAGATGGAGCCTGATCAAGAATCAAAAGTGTAAGATTAGAGTTCAGTGGTGGGCTTGGGATCTGGAAAGTTTGGAGTTTCTGCAGCATCACACTCTAGTTCTGAGCCTTATGCAGGTGCAGAGTGTAGCAGTGTCTCCAAGCCAGGACACAGGAGCCAGTCATCCGGCTGGGTTGCTGACTTAGGGTCAATGGCCACACAGTAAGATGTTGGGAAGAAAGCCAGCATGAGGTCTCTAACAGCAAGACATGAGATCCTATCACGCAAACCTCTTTTGCTAATGACTAACTGTGAGTGTCTGACCACGCTGCTGCTCTCTGTATCCCATTCCCCTCTGTTCAGATGACCTCCTCTTGGGCAAAGATGCCATCTCTCACCACTTTTATCTGCAGATGTCTCACCCCTTGTATCTGCAGACTGAAGGAATTTGTCTTTGTTCAATGCAGTGGCAGAGAGACAGCAATTAATTAATTGAAATTAGGCAAGAGCTTAGAAGATGAAGAGTGTTACCCGGGCAGCAAGGTCTCCAGGCGAGAGCCTCTCGCACTGTGCGGGGTGGTCAGCTTTGGTTCTGGCTGACACTGGTACTAACATCTCCAAAACCTCCTCTGCAGGTCCAGAGCTTGGAGCAGCAGAACAAGATCCTGACAACAAGGTGGAACTTCCTGAAAGATCAAGACAATTCCCACTCTGAGTCAGACATCAAGGCCATCTACGACCAGTACATGAGCAAAATGAATCAGGAGATGAAGGCCCTCAGCTACGAGCGGGAAAACCTAGAGCTGGAGCTGACAAAGGTGCTGGATACCATGGATAACTTCCGAAGCAAGTAAGTCCTAGCAGAGCTGGCTATGTAAGGGGGGAGATGAGGAGAAACACGTGGGATGAGAAATGCCAGAGAGCACCGAGTATCTGAGACATGCCTGGGGGAGAAGAGCAGCTCTGGGGAATATTATTAGGAATGACAGCCACTAAAACAAAGGATTACTTGTTCTCCCCACCGCTCTCACAAACCAGACCTTGCTACCAAACCCAAAAATGTTTTAAACAAACATTTCCTTCTCTCCCCACCTCACAGAGTTTCATGCAAAATCTTCTGCTTTGGCAAAAACGTCAAACTACAATCCAGAAAACTGAAGTTTCTGGAGGAAACTCTCAGTTTGAGAGGATGTTTTCAGGCAGCTGAGACCTGAAGGCAGGATTGGCTGCCTGGTGCTTATCACTGCTTTTGCCAATAGCCTGGAGATCTTCTGATAAGCGCATTCAGAGATGTCCCGGCTCATTCAATAGCACAATGCTTCTCTTATTATTGGTGTCATTAGCATACCACACTGATGAATCCACAATTAGAGACTTTCCCTTCCAGTTACACCCATCTGCCTACACAAGATCTCCCTCCCGCGCCTTCCATGTTGATGTGTAGGAAAGACCCACGCAGGGAGCAATGCAGACACCCCTGCAGCAATTCCCAAACCTGTTCCTGATGTACGACGTGATGCACAAACAACAACGGTGCCCTTCTCTAGCGAGCTTAGCTTAGGATCTCAGAGCTCTTTGCAGGCATTGATTAAAGAGGCTACTCTGCATGTCTGCAAGTTAGGGGAGGGACCAATAACTCCACTTGATGGGGGATTAACAGAGACCCAGCCATTCATTGACACAGCCAAGCTCACAGGGTGAGCTGGTGGCACAAGAGGCATCACTTCTTGATCTTACACTAAGGACACAACTTTTGGTTCCTCCCAGGAATGAATCACTTGTATGCAACCACACAGCAGTCCCCAAATTCAAGATGGGAGGTGGGTGTCTCTCCATCTACACTTGATTTGGATGTTGATATTTGCAGCCCAAAACTCAGGATCATGGTAAACGATACTTTAAATATTGCTCTGCTGACATGTAAAGACCCTAAGCTTGGATCAAGACCACTGAGGGGAAGGTGCCATCCCCTCCCTGCCCTAAAGAGCAGGTTTCTTAAGGACAGAGATGCTTATACGAGTCAGCTGGGCATCTCCCTAACACTTGAAACTCCTGGACAGTTCTGTGCACTTGGTCAACAGGATAGACATCTGAGGCTGCTAAAACCCTCAGAACTCCAGGATGAGCTGTGAGACACCCCTACCCAAATACACATATACAGGGCAAGACTACATGTGCTAGCACCTTATTAGACAGCAGAGAATCCACAATGAGCAGCAGCTTATGATTCGCAGCCTTGACAAGAGCTCCTGCTCCGTTAGACACGGACAGGACACAAAGCCACAGGAAAAGAGCCGCCACAAAGTACTCTGCCCCTAGACCATCCTCTCTTCTTCCATTTGTGGCATCTTCTCCTTGCATTTTCTCCCATCCAGGAGGTACAAACCCTGCTGGGGTGACTTCAGCAGCAATCCAGCAACACCCACCCTGTCACTGGGCTGCTGCTGACACCCAAAGCCAGCGTGGGTGCGCGTGCTTGGGCTGGTGACAAGCCACTGTGCTGCTCCCAGCGATTCACAGGCAGGGAACCGTGGCTTCTGCTGCACCTTCTCCGGGCAGCAGTGCAACCCAGGCCAAGCCAAGGGTCTGCCTAAACCCACGCCCAGGTTTTGTACACTTCCTGTTCCTCTGAGGACCTCTTTTCCCAAGGGAATTCTGGGGAGGGGTGTAGGGGGGTGGAACGGAGATGGAGTCGCTCTCTCAAGATGCGACACATGGAGCACACAGGGCTTGGGGTGGGGACTGGTGCAGGGTCTCACAAGCTGCTGCTTCAGGAACCCGAGCTCAAAGCTCAGCCCTGACCCAGGCCAGCGCCAGGAGGAATGCCCAGAAGGGCACGTCTGCACAAGTGCTCACTTGAGTTCCCCAGTCCTGTGATTTGCACATGCAAAGGTCCATTTGAATGGGACGCACGGGGCTTTTGCATGTATCCTGGGACAGGATTGATAGGATGCTGCAGGAAAAAAACAAACAAAAAAGAAACAGCATCTCTAGCCTTTTGAGGGCCATACGAGACCCAATGATTGCAATAGTCAAATCTTTTCACCTGAAGCTTGGGTAGTCAACAACCCTTAACCACCACCCTCTGCAGTGTGGTGTCAGCTCCTCCTCACCCCACTTGGTTACTTCACAAGAACAAGGCTGACGTAAGCCCGGGCCACCAGGCTGAGACCCAGCCCACCTCTACGCTTGCACCTTAAGTTAGACTGGAGGCCCATCTAGAACAGAACGTAGCCTGCCCGAGATTCGGTTTGCCTCTGAACACCAGTTTGCTTCTCTCTGGAAGAGGCCCAGGGCTACCAGACGCCTTAAGAGCCCCGAGCAAGGTGGGATGGACGGAGGCCTAAACGCACGAGTGCCTGGGGATTATCTGGGAGCAGATAGTGCCGTAATGTGCCTGTGGAATGCTCCAGCCCAGTGAGTCATGCCGGGCGCCAGGAGCCGTGCGGCGAGCGTGTCGGGCTGGCTCGGCCGGCTCCCTCGCAGGCGGCAGGGCTGGTGGCTCCACGCGCCGGGTTAGGTCAGCGCCTCGCGACGCACGGAGGTGCTCCGGCAGGCCGGGACACCCCGGCAGGCCGGGACACCCCGGCACGGGGCTGAGGCGCAAAGGGGATGAAGGGAAGGAGCGACAGGCTGTAATTAAGCGCACTGCACAGCGGCTGGTTGGCAGCAGGGCTTATAGTCCAACTAAAGAGCAAAAAGACGAGCCAGGGAAAACCGCATCAGCTCCATCTGGCCTTAGGAGAGCAGGCGAGAAGAGACTTTAACAGTCCGGGAATCCACAGGGGACCTTGCGATTGCCTTCCTGCAGTGCCCAGGACAGGCATTTAGCTTCTGCCTCCTTCCCAAGGGGCTCAGCCTTACCCTCAGCCTTACCCTCACCAGCGTGATGCTCATAAGCAGCACGGAAAGGCTTCACACACAGCGAGGAGATGCTGTGAGCGCATTAGGTCAAGACAAGCCTGAGGAATTAGGGAAAAGCAGTAAAAAATGGGACCTTGACGGGGAATGGGAGCTGTTGTGGTCTCGGTGGGAGCCGGTGCTGCAGGACCATTGCTGGTCAGACACCAGAAGCCACCAGACCTGGTGGCATCCAGGCCACGTTCCTGCTTTCGGGGACAGCAGGGCTAGCCACATACCTGCCTCAAGAGCCAGCAAGGGCTGGGTATTCCCTAAGCTCCTCTCCCATGTGTGCTCCTTCAAGACACATTGTTTGTCCCCGGACAAAACCTTTGTCAACCTGGTCCTGCCTTATCAAGCCTGTTTTTAAATACTCGCAGGGGTGGTTCCTCTCCTGGATATTTAGCCCTCTGCATCCCACCTCATCCCACTGTTTTCTGTTACCTTCTGCTCTGGGGGATCCATTTCCACTTCGCTCTCTTGTGTCCCTTCAACAAATCACCCAAGCCAAAGCTTTCTCCCTCAAAACTGCTCGCAGGCTCTGGAAATTAAACACTGACGAGACCTGAAAGAAACAGGAGGGATTGGGTTGAAAGCCTGGCAAAGTTTAGGGCATGCAGCTGGGTTTCACAGAGAACCGCGGCCACACCCCACTTCTCAGGGCCTGCTTTGTCTTTCGGTGGCAAACACAGGGTAAATGAGGTTGCCGAGCCCTCAAATTAAATTAAAATTAATAGTAAAGTTACCTCCTGCTTATGCTGGGCTTCTTGAAAGCGCGTGCATGGCGCTCCTGCCAAGCACTCGGTGTGCGGTGACTTCTCCTCACGCTTGCTCAGGTGCCTATATTCAAGAGACATTTCTGCTGCCTAGGGGAGAGTAAATCCAGGGTCAGAGCCACCAAGGAGGTGGCACATTGCAGTAAAAGCAAAAAGCCAATGTGCCAGTGTTCCCTGGCCAAACAGCCCCAAGCATCCCCCATGGGTAACATCTCCGGGACTTCCTCTTGCTGTTTTTCCCCCATTCTCCCTAGATATGAGGATGAAATCCGCCTCTGCAGCGGCATGGAATACACCTTCACGGAGCTCAAGAAGGTTAGTGACAACAGGAGTCGTGCACAGGGACACCCGCAGAACCACTGCCAGCTCTGCAGACACAGAGCGGCTGAAGCAGCGGTTGGAGCAACCAAGATGGTCCAGGGCTAGCAAGGACCATAAGTGCCCTCGCACCGCTGAGGTTTGGTGGGGTAATGAGGAGTTTTGTGGGGTAATGAGGCCTTGAGAAGGTCAGTGCAGGCCTGGAAACGGGACCCATTTCAATAGGAGAAGCACAAGTAAGTCCAGAGCACTTCTGGTTAGGGAGAAGTGCCTGCGGTTGGATGGTGCCTGTGTCCAACCACTCCCCAACTGCACCAAAGAGACTCAACTCAAGGAGGTCCGAGACGCCCAGGACCCTCCGCGGCCCCACCTTTCCTGCACACCACCTTTGTCACCTGCAGGATGATCTCACAGGTTGGGAAAGGCTGGAAATTGATAACCGTGTTTGCCTTTGCTTCCTGCCTCGCCACCCCACCCTGTTTAACCAGCGACCGCAGCCGCCCCAGATGCAGCTGCATTTGAATGGCAGCCGAAAGGGGCGGCTTTGTGCACTGCTTTTGCATCAAAAAAATAGCCGAGGTGTAGGAATGCAAGGTATTATTAAACAGAGGAAATGTTCTCTGCAAACGATCATTATAGCTAATTGCATGTTTCCCCCCCGCGACACACTCATCAACCAGGAAGGGCAGCTCTGGTGACTTGCGTGGACCGCACCGAGTTCTCAATAACCGCCGTTCTCTGCGGTGAACAAAAGATGAGTGGGGACAGACCAGCCCTGCTTGCTTCCTTCTCCACCCTGGCTTGCTGGAGACTTCCACCGAAGCAGGCTCCAAAAAAACAAACAGTGGAGGAGAAATGTCTGCAAAGGAACCTCCCTCCTTGCAGCACGGGAGAAAAATTGCACAAGCTCCCATCAATATACAGGCAGGAGGAGAGGCTGCTGAGGGGGAAAGACCTCTGGCTGTAAATTCAAACTGTTTATTAAAACACTTGCCATCTCCTGCAGGATTTAGACGTGAGCTCGTTGCACAGAACTGAGCTGGAGGTAAAGCTACACGGGCTGCAAGACCTGATGGACTTGAAGAAAACCATCTACGAGCAGGTAGAGATGTACTACAGATGTAGTGGGTAGACTTGCCTCTAGACACACACACACACGCTATCATACAAGAGATGGCCTTTTTTGAGTAAAGTTCCACTAAAAAGATGGGTTTGTTCACAGTTTAGACCAAAATGAGATCAGAATCCTCCCCTCGTGCATGGATCAGATCATGCAACTGGACTTCTAGTTAGATTAATGGTTTAAGGCAGGGTCTCACCCCGAATCCCCTCTATTTTAAATCCATTTTAAAGCCACCTCACTTTGGACAGGTCCCCTCCCTACCAGAACATGTTCTGCTTGAAATGATTTGCTCCACGTCCCCTTTGGAACAGGATGCATTTTTTCCTCCATCCTTCATGCCAAGAAACCACCATCCATCTCTCTGCTCTCTCCTCCCTGCAGCTTGCTCTAGCACTAGTCACCAGCCTGCTGGAACCTGTTGATTTACAAGTCGTTATCTTATAGACACATAGATCCACTGGAGAGGCAAATGAGGGAAGTTTGGGGGGTGGTTTTGCTCGCAGGATGTTGGGGTGAATCAGAAGAAGCCCCCAGCCTTAGTCCTGCAGGTCTCATGGGCTCTCTGCACTGCAGCAAGTGGCTTTGGCTTGGCTAAGCCCAGCAGATCTGCAAGGGCTCCCTCCTGGCTTGTAGCTTTGTTTAATATTTGCTCTCTTCAAGCTATTCTCTTTGCTCTGCAGGAACTTGAGGAGCTGCTGACAGAAATTAAAGATGTTTCTGTTGTCCTGGGAATCGACAACACATGCAAACTGGACCTCAGCAAAATTGTGGAAGAAGTAAGGGCCCAGTATGAAGCCCTTGCTCTCCGGAGCTGGGAGGAGGCTGAAGCACTCACCAGGAGGAAGGTATTTGCCTCCTTATCTGACTGATACTGGGAAGAGGCAGGGAAAGAAGATGCGAAGATTCGCCTAGAAACTACAAGGAGCAGCAAGATGCGGAGGGACAGGGAATAGAGGGAGGGACAGGGAGCCAGCCCAAGCCCAACTCCTTAAAGAGTGGGATGCTTAAATTAAAGATGCTTAAGTGAGGAGTTTCATTGCTCTAGGCTCTCTGCATGGTCAGTAGAGAAGCGCAATGACATTTGCCAGTGACAACACAGCTGACCAAAGACATAAGTGACTTTCTACTAGTGCATCCTCCAAACAGAGCAGGAAGGAACGTGATAAAACTGACTGCGTGCGCTGCACGTGGCACAGCCACAGCCAGGAGACGATTTGGGAGCCCTAAATCCTTCAACACACCTAACTATTTTGTTTCCCCAGTGAGGTGTTCTTCCCCCCAAGGGCGGTGGAAATGCTCACAGATTCTTTTGCCAGAGCAGAGGAGGAGCAGATAATCCACTCGTCCCTCTCTCCTGCAGCTGAATGAAGGAAACACCCAGGCAGCCACCTATGGGAGCCACCTCCTTGACAGCCGACGGGAAATTGCAGACATGAACATACAGATCCAGAAGCTGCGGTCCTGCATCGTGTCCCAGAAGAGCCAGGTAGGTCCCTGGGGTGGGTGACAAGTCTGTAGCACTCAGGACCAGTAAACTACAACACACCTAACACCTCCGCTATTTCTTTTTCCCATTGCAACAACAGTGCCTGTACTTGGAGGAGAACATCAAGGAGGCAGGGGAGCACGGCGAGACGGCCCTCAAGGATGCCAAAGCCAAGCTGGTGAGGCTAGAAGAAGCCCTACAGAAGAGCAAGGAGAATATGGCTCACCTGGTAAAAGACTACCAGGAACTGATGAACATCAAGCTGGCCCTGGATGTGGAGATCCTCACTTATAGGAAGCTGATGGAAGGCGAGGAGAGCAGGTGAGCTGGGCTTCCTCACACCTGGACAGGGGAAGAAGGGAGGTGTAAAGACCAGGAAAAACGGAGACATCCCAAGCTTGGAGCCTTGTGTAGAGGGCTTCAAAGGAGGAGCGAAGCCCAGCACTTCCCACACAGCTCAGTGCAGCCTCTTATTCTGACATTTCCCTTGCTTTCCCAAATTGAGGGGTACCAGCACTTCCCTAGCGTGCTTTACCCCCATGGTCCTGAGTTACCCTTCACCCCTTGGCCATGCAACTCTACCCGCATAACCCAGCTCACGAGGACCAAGCTCGTCCTCCTCTCTGGCCCTGCATCAACTTGGCGACCTTCAAAGAATAACAGGCACCTTCGTATCTTGTCCTTGTCTCCACAGCATGGAGTCACCGATACCCACCGTCATCAGCGCCATCCTCTCCAGCCCCAAGTACTGTAAGTGCTTTTACTCATACAGCTCGCTGGAGCACAACGCAAAGGAAGCGTTTCTTGTGCCTCTAAGCCGCTCACTTCTCTCCCTCCATCTCCAGCCTCCTCCGGCGCTTTGAGGAGCTCCACGGCGTTTGCAAGAGAAAGGGGCAGCAGCGAGGGGAGCACGAGGGCAGGCGGCGCGAGGCTGCAGGCCCCCCGAAGCCCCAGCAGCAGCTCGGCGGGGCCCCAAGCTGGGGGCTTCGCCAGCGGAGCCCGGCCTAAGCGCAACTCCCTGCCCGCCGCAGACTGCTCCTAGGAAGGGCAGAGCCCCGCGGCGCAAGCACAGCCCACGGTGGCATCCCCAGCCAAACGAGGCCAAAGCCCTTTCTCCCAAACTCAAGCCATTTGAGGGACCAAGGACAAGAGTCTCTGTCTTTTTAAGTCTGTCTTTGCAGCGTCCCAGTTAATGTCTGTTACGAGCAGAAACCAAGCCAGGGTTTTAGAGCCTTTCCCGCTCGGCACTCGCACTAACTCCTGCTTCCACTCTGGGTCTGTTTCCACACAGAATTTGCACTCCTAACCTTTGAGATCTACCTATAAAAAGCTTGGCAAGAGGGGAAAGTGGGACTACATGAGCTTTTAACATGGCAACGTGAAGCCCAGGCATTTTAGCAGTATTACAAACCCTTGCTGTGTGCTGGCTCAACGCTGGGGTGCCCGCGAGAGGTGGCTTTCAAAGGCAGGCAGAGCTCGCCAAGCTGAGCTGATGCAGGGATGCAGGCAAACGACCCGGGCCAGGCGCATTGGTGACATCTCTATTTGCATGTCTGCTGGCAAACGCTCTGGCTCTCCCGGGGAATCCGTCGGGACTCCACAGTTTTCAGCTAATTCTCCTGTGCCCTCGGGGTGGTCCCTCACTCCCTCCCGAGCTAGAAGCTGTTTAAACTTACCTCTTTATAAAGCAGCTCTCTCTAGCAGAGAGCACCCACCTCCCTTACGGGCACTCCACACTCTGCCAGCAGTGGTGCTACGTCCAGCGTGACCTGGGACATTCCCCGGCTCCCACTTCACCGCAACGGGCAGGACTCGTCTGTGTATTTATTGAGCTTGCAGAGCAGCTCTTACCTTCGTGGAGGAGCTCGGCCGACGCAAGGCCGCTCCAACGGCGCGAGGGGCCGGGCTCCGAGCTCGGCCTTGGCCACATGAACCCGCTGGGCTTCCCGTGCGCGTGGATGAGGAGCCGGGGCCGGGCTCTTGAGCGCGTCGCAGCGTTTCCACGTTTCTGTAAAACAGTCAGCTGCCGTACTGTCTCCGTAACCTGCTCTCCAGTGTTATGGCCACTATAATAAAGCATTGAGATGCACAGAGAGCTGAGTACAGTTGCTTTTCTTCTGATTTCTTACCAGTATCTACCTGAAACAGATGCTCTCTCCCCAGCTGCTAACAGGCCTCAGCTGAGGACTCCATCCATCCCCCAGGGGCTGAATGAAGGCAAAATTTCTTTTCAGAAAGAGAGAAGAGCCTCTGCTTGGCTTGATGCAGAGCAAAGCTTCCCCCTTACCCCTGTGCAGAGTGGGCTTTCGGGCTCCCGAAATGAGGAGGTGGAGGAACCCGCGGGGTTCCTGGTGCTCGAGCAAGGCAGGGCAGGGCTGAGGCACCGCGAGGAAGAGGAGGGAGACGCAGAGCGAACGGCTGCCAGCCTGAAACCTGGATGGGAAGGGAGGCCTCGGGCACCCTGAAGGCCCAGTCGGGCTGAGCACAAGGACAGGGTTCACAGCCTAGCTGGGAATTCAGCACAGCAGAAATTCCTGCTCATGGCCCAGGATAGGTCCCTGGCTTGGGCAGCCCTGCCTGGGTGCCAGTCACCCCCTGCTCCATGATCCTACCGTGCAAGCACCGAGTTCACCAGTCACTTCCTTAGGGCTAATCCCTGTCCTTTCACGCCGATCAAACAGCTGGTCCTAAACTCAGCTGCAAAAATTCACTGTGGAAGTTCTGCATTTCTCCTCCTTATCGCAGAAACATCAGGTCCTCTCATGGTGTCAGCAGCCCCCTCAGGGGGACAGGGGACAGGCCTAGGAGGGCAGGGATGCTGAGCCAGGAGGCCAGCAAGGAGAGCTGCCACCAACGGGATTTTGGTGGGGAGAAGGGCAGGTTTCTCCACGTTATCGGGCAGGCTGTGCAACCCGAAGCACGGCTGTCTCCGGGTAATGCTGTACCATTGCCAGCGACTTCCCAAAGACGATCTCAAATCCCAGCTGGAGCCAGAGATCGGAGATTCATCTGTCCCGGCGCGGGGAAAGGAGACATCAGATGTCCGGGAGCTGCGAGACGAGGCCCAAGGGCAAAACCCAGGGACAGATAAGCGCGCGGCGCTGAAAGCAAGGGGCAGAGCTGATCTAGACGGGGCAGATGGCAAAAATGAGGGAAGATCAGCAGGGAAAATATCCAGGTGTGCACAACAGCCGCCGGGCCCCGGTCCAGGAGACGTGCCGGAGCACAGAGGGACCGGCCGGGCTCCGCTCCTGCTTTCCGAGCAGGGAGCGTGGCCCAGACCACATCCCAGCGCCGCAGCGTTGGCGGCGCCGCCTGCCCAGGTGCCCAGCACCCAAGCGCGGGCTCCAGGCTCCCTCTCCTGGGCACACCACGCCATGCAGAGGCGCCCAAAGACGCTGCTTGGGTGCCTGGGTGCTCTGCAGACCTGCGAACCCACCTCTTCCTCGCAGCAAGGCCAGGAGAAAAGCTACTCCCACCAAAGTGCAGCCAAAGGCTCCTCCGGGGGTGCTGCACGAGGGAGCATGGAAGGAAAACGGAGCTGCCGAGGTTTGCCCCATCCCAAAGCAGCCTCCCCGCCGGCCAAGGGCTCCCGCCTGGCCGGCCCCGATGCTCTTCACGCAGCCCCAGCTCTCCTTCATGCACAAACACACCTCAAATCAGGCCGGGCACCCGCATGGGAAGGCAAATCCAATCTCAGCAGGATTCCAACAGCCAGAAACATCTGGCTCGGGCAGATGCCACCACAATGAAGCAGTGACCATCCCTTCCCTGGCATTTGGCAGAGGCTTTGGTGGCTAACTGAACACCAAAAGTTCCGGCCAACATCAACCAGTCCAAGGACCCTCGGTGGCCTGAGCAGAGGAAAGGTCCCGCCTAACATGGCCTAGGGTCTGGTCCCAACGCAGGCAGCCTAAATCCCAGTCCTGCCCAGGGCACCCAAAGAGCTTGGCTCCCAGAAATAACTTGGTCTGGCCCAGGGAAACACAGGCCAAGCTGAATTCATGCTCTCCAGAGCAGGCCAAAGCCCTCTGCTACACGATCTCAGACACAAATCATGCCTCGGTTTCCCCTGCTAACCATGTAATCCCCTAAGGCCAGATCAAGCTGGGTCGGGGGGTGTTTGAACTCAGTTTTCCTATCTAAGCACTCCAGGACACGCAGAGCAAGAGGAGGGAGGCTCCGCGTCAGCGGCTGTCACCGTTTTCCCAGGCACCGGCAGGTTTCCAGCCGGGATCACAGGCCTCCTTCGCCGCCCACCTCCGTGGCGCTCGGCACCCACAAAGCCAGCCCCGTTTTCCAAGGGGGAAACAAGCCCCAGGGCTCAGCCGTGTTGGAGCCAACGCTGCAAATGCCTCCGGGCACCGGCACAAGGGAGGGGAGAAGCAGGGAAGGGTGGAGGAAAACACGCCCGACCCCATCAGCCCATGCACACCTCTCACACACATCCATCAGAGGGAGGAGGAAGCGTCGGCGCCGGCTTTTTTTGCCCGTATAAGGGCAGGTTTCTCTCTCGGGGCCAATCCGGGCAGGAATGCGGGCGCAGGAGCCCAGCCCGGCCTCCCCGGCCAGGTGCGGCCGGCTCCGCGCCAGCGAGGCGACGCTGGCTCAGCGCGAGCCCAGGGGAACCGGGGGGACCCCGCAGCAGCGCAAGGGGCAGCAGCCCCGGGGCTCCCTGCTTCTCCATGCGATCCTCTGGATACCCCCGGGGCTGAGCAAAGTGCGGGGCAGCTGCCGCAAGGCTGGGCAGCGGCGGCTGCGAACACACAGGCTTTCCTCTCGCCAGCCCCTGCCTTCCCTTCCGCTCTTTCCAGCCTTTCCCCATCCCGGCCATGCAATAAACCTTGGCCTCGTCCCGCAGCCGCCCCTGTCGCTCCGTTTCCACCTCCGTTAAGCTAAGGGAGCTTCCTCAGCGGTTCGGCTTGGCGGTTCAGCCCAGCCTGGCTTGGGCTCCGGGAGCCAGGAAGGGTGTCCCTGCATCACGCCGTCCCCACAGGACTCCTTACGCCCCCAAAACCAGGGCGAGACAGAGCCAGTGGCCTCAGTCCTGGCTCAGCACCCGGCCTCAGTCCAGGGAGGAACCAAGGATGAGGCCAGACTGTGGCTTGGTCCTCCCCAGTCTATGGTAACCCGCTTTCCATGGATATGGCCAAGGGCCAGGATGGAATGAGAGCCCCCGAGCCACCTTGGGCAGTCCCTGGGGTGCAGAGCCCCTCGACAGCGCTGCCGCCGAGTGCCAGCGTGCCATGGAGCCCGGGGACTTGGGAGGAACCAGCGCCGGCCGCCTGGAGCGGGAGCTCCGAGCTGGAAATGCCCCAGCATGGGGACTGCTTTGTTCCTTGCAGGAATGTCGCTGGGACTTCGTTCCTCATAGGGTGGGAGCCCAGCTGCCCAGGATGCCAAAGACATGGGTGAGAGTGGGTGCCCACCTCAAAGGAGGAGGAGGAGAAAGATGCTCATGTCAACTCACTAGTGATCAAGACCAAGACACTTACAGTCCAGACCAGGGTCCGTCTCCACCAGGAGCTGCCCCAAGTGCCACACAGCCTGAGCTGAGCTCTGGCTACCAGAGACTCATCCCCTAGACCCCAGCAAGCATCTGGAACCAGAGCTCCTACCTGGGGCCAGGGCAAGCTTGTTCTCTGCTGCATCGCCCAAGCTGAAGGCTCAGCTCCAGCACCTGCTCTGCTAGCTTTACGTGTACTTTTACTTAAGCACTAATACAGAGCATCCTCAGTGAGGACCCTCAGAGCTCATGGCACGTCCAAGGAGATGGAAGGGACCCGGAACCCCCATTAAAAAGCAGCCGGTCGGGGCCCAGGGCACCCAGCCCTGCTCCTTCACAGCACAAGCAGCCTCTGCAAGGCCCAGGGACAGCGGCAGCCTCCAGACCCCATGCAGCACACGGGGGCGAGATGCACGGGGGGCCTGGGCGAGCCGGGGCAGCGCCCGCAGGGCAGGGGCAGCAGAAACAGCCGGGCTTGCGATTTGGCTGGGCTGAGTCACGGCCGAGGCGGCCGCTCCAGCTCTCCACCCCTGCCGGCACAGCAGGCTGGGAACGCTCGAACCGTGGGAACGCGGAGCGCGCGGCGCGCCACACGAGCGCGGACACATGGCAGCTGCTGAGAACAGATTAAAACCGTCCACCTGGGCACAGCAGCGACTCGGGGTGAGCGGCAAAAGCCCCGAGCTCAGCAGCTCGCGGCGCCGCGGATTGGCTGGCGGCGGCCCCGCGGCACCGCGCCAGGGATTCATCATGGAACGGGAACGCGCTCAGCCGCTCCTGCCGGGGCCTGCGCCTGCTGGCGAGGTTTCCGACACACCCTTCATTCAATGCGAGGCTTTGCAAGAAAAAAAAAATAAAAATACATATATAGTAGGGTGCCAGGAGGGGAGCGGGGACGGGATGGTGGTGGGAAGGAAGGGGAGGATTCCCGGCCCGTCTTGCTGGGGGGCTGAGGAGCAGGAGGCGAGCGGAGGGCTGGGGAGGGGGTCGGGCAGGTGGCGAGGGGCAGAGCCCTCCCTGCCCCAGGGGCTTGGCCGCCCTCCAGCCTTGCTCGAGCAAGGGGCGCCTGCTGCCCGGGGGTCTGGGCTGCCCCAGCAGGGAAAGGGGCCTGTTCTCCAGCACCACCCAACCTGGCCGCACGTTTCCCAGCTCCCTGGTGCCCACATGCCCCCGTTGTGCTGATGCTGCCCCCAAGGGTGCCCCAAACACCCTTGGTGACAAACGTGCCCCACACTGGTGACACTGCCGCAAGAGCAAGACCTTCCCTCGGCAGCAAGGGCTCCCAAGGCCAGCAACCCAGCACCCCTTGGAGCCCCCCGGCCAACACACAAAGGAAAAGGTTTGGACTTTAGCGAACAGCAGAACACAAAATATCCCCCTTTTTTTTTTTCCAGCTCTCCCAGGGCCTCAACATGTACCCAGCGACAAGCTGGCATCACAGAAGCTCTTTGCTTTGACCAACGCATTCCCCTCCAGCTTGCGCACGCCTGCGCTTTCTCCAAGCCGTGTTTAAAAGCGCCAAGCTGGAAGGGACCCCAACACCTCTGTTCACCCCGACGCTGTCAGGAAAGACCCCACACATCTGTGCAACGTTGGCAGCTTTCGGGCCAGGCGGCTCATACAGCAACAAACACCCACAGGGCAGGTCCCAACGTGAGCGCCCAAGCCTGCTCTCCCCGGGGATTCGCCCACGCGCGTTTCTGGAGCGCGCCTTGCGGATTATGCAACGCGCCTTATGTAGGGCAGCAATGCCAAGAGCATCCTGGAAAAAGCCCCTGGTTTTGCAAGGCCCTGGGAGAGCCCCGCTGGACCAGAGCGGGATTCAGTGGCTTGCAGGCTGAAACTCAATAGAGAAGCCCAGGAATGTCCAGCACCCTGCAAGCTTCTCGGTTCTTGATGTGGCGTTAAGCAGAGCAAGAAGCAACTCGGGGCCCTATGGTGACTATATAAACCTGTCCTCGATCTCAGCAAAGCCTCAGCCCTCTGCTTGGGGAAAGAGCCTGGCCGACAACCAGAAATAACCAAAAATATCGGTTCCAACCACAGTGTCACCCCAGCTGGGAGGCCCCCAGTCCTCATTCACGCAAGTAAAACACCCCAGGGCAGCCCAGCTGTCCTTCTCCATCCACATCTTCCAGCTGCACGAGGCACGGAGATGCAGTGGGGCGCAGGAAGAGCCATGGCCCCTTTGAGCCCTTGAAAACTCTGCTGTCCCACGAGCTCTGATCCAGATTAGCTCCAGGTTCGCACCTGAGAGCACTAGCAGGACAACAGCACTGCAAAGAGCAAGACAGTCAGCAGGAGCAGCCTGCCACGTACTTGGGCTGTTGCTATCTACAAGCAGCAGCGACAGTGAATTAAGAGCAACTCCAGGCTGCCTGTTCTCAGAACCACATTGTCACTTTACTCCTAATTTACCCTGCAGCGAGAGGCAGTGGCATTTGTGCCTTCCCCGAAAACCAGGGTGATCTGGCTAGCTTAAGCTCAAGAGGAATCAGGAAAGCTCCACTGCGCCTCAACTCCAGTGGGACAGCAGGACTAGAGTCCCTGGGGGCTTCACGGAGATGGATGGGGCCGCTTTTAGAGCTACTTTTGTACCCATTTCCCTGCAGTTTATTGAGAAGCCTGGGCTTTGTGCAAACCATCCCAACTACGCAAGGAATGGGGTGGGGATGTTTTGACAGAGAGCCTTGGATCATTTACAGCTCCCACCCGGCTCCCTCTGCGCTCACCTTTTAACGCTCTTCACAGCATGTGCCCATTTCTCAATAGCACCAAGGGAAATGCAGAGAGCCCCAAACTGCTCCCGAAAGCCACGCAGAGCTGCTGCAGAACCACCAGTTCCCACCACAGAGCCAGGGATTGCAAAGAAAACTGGAAGGGAAGATGCAGCCCCCACAGGGGTCTTGTCTCTTCAGCACTGTAGAGTTTAAAAAACACATTGCAGAGAGCAAATACCGCCTAGATATATCCACAGGACTAAGGGCTCACAAATGTAGGAGCTGAGGCTACACCTGCACCTGGTAAGATGTGCAAATACTCTCTTGCACACAGAGGCCTTTGCTGAAGAAGTGCTGAAAGCCACAACCTGTCTGCATGGCTTAGCAAGACCACCTCCAACCAAGGCTTCCTCCGCAGCTTGGTTCCAGGGCCAGATCCTACGCTGTAAAGAAATGAAGATCTTTCTGCCTTTTACAGCAAAAACAGAATTGCCAGGGCTAATCCACAGGGTTAAGACTTGCCCATTCTCAGTATTTATCATCTAAGGAGCCTTGCAGAGTCGCATTTGTTTAGTCTGGGCCGAGATTCAAATCGAGCCTTAGATGGGGATCTGCATTTCAAAAGGAGCCTTTGCTCCTGCAATGCACTGGCCCAGTCTCTCCAAACGAGCTCCAAACCCACCAAAGCTCTGGAGCCCGAGCACTGCATGGACACAGCACCTGCTGAAGGTATCAGAGAGCTCAGGAGTGCCCTTCCTTCAGCTCCGACACCCATGGGAGCATTCCTGAACTCACAGGACTGCACTAGCAAGTGGCAGAGCCAAATTACATCCTACGAGACATGACCAGGAAGGACAAAAAGGCCAAGAGCACCTAGGAGAGTGCAAATGGATTCACCAAAGGTAGAAGACCCCTTGCAGGATCTGGACGGGCCCCTTGGGCTGGGGGACACAGGGGACAGGGCCTCCTCTTTCCACCCGGTGGGAAAGGAGAGCGGGGAGGCCGGAGGCCGCCGTCAGCACCGCGTGGGGCAGCGGCCGCCCCGCCTGGCGCGGCCCTTTGTGCAGCTGCCGAGCTCTGGTCTCGGGCGTCCCAGGGAGGGACCCGCTCGCACCGGGGCGGGTGGCACCCGCAGACCTCCCCATTCCACGCGCAGGGCAAATCCCACAGGCTCCAACGCCTCCGTGTCAGCAAATCGCCCGGCAAGCGGCTTCTCCGCCGAGGCGAGGGACAGGCAGGGCTGCTTTCGCGCAGCACGGAGCTCGGCCACCACTGCGTGTGCACGAGCTGCCCCTTCCCCTTGCCAGCCCGACCTGCCTTCTGCCAGCTCCCTGCTTTGCCATCGTGGCACCTCAGCACGGGTGCCCGTCCCACGGCCGGGACATATGCAGAGGGGCTCCTACACCACAGGAAGAAGGGGCCATTCTCCCATCTTATCAGCAACCAAGCTGGGATTAGTTGTATTTGGTACTGTAATTGGTAGGTAGCAACCAAATTAGTGTATTTCTGTTAAGCAAGGGCCACATTACAGGGAGCGGATGAGGCCAGGATGCTCTCCATGACTTCCAAGAGATTTGGTGGCCCAAAGCTGAGCATCTCTGCTCTTTAAGAGCTTCAGGCTTTCAGATGGCCTTTCAATGACGTGAACTGCAGCAGCTCACAGCCCCAAGGGACCCACCTGCACCCGAGAGCAGCGAGCAAGTTGGGGAGAACTGGGTTCTGCACAGTGTGTTGCTCTGTTGACGACAACAGTGACCGTCACCAACCTACTCCCGGAGGGAACACAGGGCCCCCTGCACATACCTCCCAGTAGAAGTGTTCTCCCTGTCTCTCTGTGCACACCTGCACAAACACATTAACAGCTTTACTAGCAGCTTTATTAGTACTTAACACTTCTATAAAGCCTTCTTCTGCCTCGCAGTTACGGCAGTTCACAACGACTCCTTCCTACATTTCCTTTTGAACCTGGAAGGGAACCAGGCCTCCTCCACCAGCACTGCCCACCGTGGCTTGCAGCTCTTTTAAAGACTTCGCTGCTCCCCTTTTCCCCCCCAGCTCCAACCTCTCCCCTTCTGAGTCACACTCCACACAACGCCCCGAGTCAGCACTTCACAGAAACCAGATGGAGCTGGTCTGTAGGGAAGGGAAAAAAAGAATTAAAGAAAAAAAAGACTGACATTGAGAGCTGAGAACATCTACCAGCCAGGACCTGCCGCCTTGGCAAGCTGCAGTGCGGGTTTGCTGGTGACAGCACTAGCTAGAAATGCATATCAAGAAAGAACATGGAGCAGCAGGGCAGCTCTCCACCCGCCGCGGGCAAGGCGCCGTGTTTGGGACACTACCCCGTCACCTGGGAAACTTGTGGCGGGGAGAAAGGCCCGGCGGGAGCCTCTTCTGCCTCCGCAGCACTTACCAGTTTGAAAGCCACAGCTCAGGGAAATGGTCTTACACAGCCCAGGCTGGGAATCCCTGAAATTCCTTCTGTGCTGATGCTATTTAAGGTGAGGTGGGATGGAGCCGCTGGCCTCGCCGCTTCCAGCCTCAACAGCACAGCACTCAGGGGCCACAGGATGAGTGCCAGGGCTGCCCTGCAAAGAGAAGAGAAGGGAAGACCTTGGAAGGGGTCTAGGACAAGCAGCAAGTACTGCTGTTCTCAGGTGTTTGCCCCAAATAACGACCGTTGATGTTTCGAGGGAAACCACAAGCAACACTCGTGTAAGGAGAAGTTGAGACTCTCAGATCCTGCCCTGCTCCTTCGCAGCCGGCGCACGCTGTGACCATCAGCCCTGGTGACACCCGGGGGCAGCGACCGCCTCGCGGAGCGGGGTTCTCACCGGGGCTGCAGGGGGACGCTGGTGTCCCCCACCAGGCCCCCAACGTGGCAGCTCGTGCCCAGCTTCCCCGGGCACCTCCAAGCACCCATCAAAGGTGGGGTCTGAAAAACGAAGGGTTTTGCCTGTGTTAGGACACGTCAACCCCTTTGCTCACCCCCAAACGAGCAGTGTCACAGGTGGACCTTTCCCACCACCGCCTCCCATGCCCCAAACGCTCTTCTAGGAGGGAACCGAGATTAAAGGGAGCCAGAGAGCGAGGCGAGCGGCGCGGAGGGCCAGCCGGGAGGAGCTGCCCTGCTTACGCTTCCTTGTGATGCTGCCGGGAACGCCGCAGCGCTGCCCGTCTCCTTTGATGTGTCACCCTGCAGCCTGTTCCCTCTCGCAGGGCAGGCCTGTTGCGGCACGCTCGCCCCTGTGCTGCAGCTCCGCAGCCTCCCGAGCCGCTGCCCTGAGCCCAGGGGGCAGGGGAGCCCAGAGGGGACCCCAGCCTCAGCTCCAGCTAAATCCCTGTCGCTCCCGGGGGAGCGCAAGGAAAGGAATGACCCATTCCAGGAGCAGGGAGCGCTCCGTGCCAGCCCCTGCAGGGGAAAGACTCCCAAGAAGTTCTGCTGCTTGGGCAGCAAGGGAAGGAAAGGGATGCGCATTCCTGTCCCAGAACCCAGCTCTTGGATCAGAAGGCAAAGGGAAAGGGCAGCCGCTCCTCTCCTCCTGCTTTAAGGCCTGAACACCTCTAATTCTCATTAGAGGGTTATACTTGCACGTAGCGCTGACCCAAGGCATGACCCCAACTTTCCTTCTTCGATCTCCAGACCCCTTTGGGCTCCAAACTGTGTGGGTGACCTAGCTCAAACGTAACAAGGACCTTCTCACTGAATTCAGTCCAAGGAAGTCAAGGCTGAGCTGATATAAGGCTTCATTCATGTCAGGGTTTCTTCCCTTAACAGTGCAAGGGAGATGTGGGAAGGCCTGTGGGAAACCCAATCCCCTGCCCACATGAACCCAAGGGAACCTAAGGAGAACCCGAGGTGCCTGGAACGAAACCCTGACGCCCAGGGGCGAGTGCAGAGGCAGGACAAGCTTCCCACATGCTACCTAAAAGCCTCCCCACCAGGTCCACAGAGACCACACCTGGACCCTGGAGATGCCCAGAGTCCCCTCTAGCCTAAGCACTGAACTTGCAGCCTAGCCTATGTGAACACGGCTAAGTCACAGCCATTTTCAGAACCAAGAGCACACAGAAGCAAGCACCTATTCTTCATCCCGACCTCCCCGGCCAGGCATTCCTCGTATACAAAGCCAAACAGAACCAGCCTGCAGCACAAGACCAGAGCAAAGCTCAGCCTCACATCTTGGTTTTGCAGCTCCTCTCCCTACCAACCTCCTTCAACCCCACCAAGGAGAAGCCATTTCCTTGTGCCACCAGCTCACCCCACGAGCCAATGACCTCTAAACTTTGCAATGAAACCAGTTTCCACCTGGTAGTGGGCCAGAACGCATCGTATGTGTTCAGTTTGTGGCTCTTTTCTCACGTTTCTCCCTGCTAGGTGCAGACAATGGCTCTACAGCCATGGGTTGGCACATCTCGCTTCTCCTTCAGCTCACCAGGAAAGCGCCAGGAAGAACAAGAAGGAACCTGCCCTCAGCTGAGCAAAGGAAATCCACAGATCTGCTGCTTCTGCCACACAAGCCTGTAGTGACAAGCTCGAGGAAGCTGCTCCTCAGAGCACATTCGTTGCTCCCAACTCCGTTTCTGAGCTGGTCTCCTTCGCTGCTGGCTCAATGACACATTCCCGAGAAAGCAAGACTGAACCGGGCTCTGTCCCCAGCTGGCAATGCTGGATTAACCTCTGCAGGGTGGTCAGGGCACCTGTAAGAAGGGAGGCAGGCAGCAGACACGGCTGCTTGAACAGCCATTTGCTCTGGCTTTGGAGCTCCCTTTCCCTTCTCAGTGCGTCCCTCGAGCCCACCCGCTGCAAGAGCCTAAGAGGCAACCTGCCCCTTAGCACAAGCAAGGCTTAAAACGCGACAAAAGCTGCTTCACCTAAGCGTCACATCCCAAAAAAGCCATGAGGAGCTGCAGACCAAACAACTCCACCAGAAAGTGGAGCCTGAGAGGTCCCAGCCCCAGCTTTGATGCTGGCTTACTCAGGATGAGATGTTTTACTACTACTGCCCAGATTTTTCCATCTTAGTAAAGGGGGTAATTAAATGTGACTGGCTCCACAGCAGCAGCACGAAACTTAATTAGTCAGAGCACTTTGAAGGTATGGGACCTAATTAGTATCTGAAGTGGCTGCAGATGATTACTAGGAACAATGGTGGAGCTCACAGCTGATGATACAGCCCAGCTTGTCAGTACTTTCCACTCTCTGAAGTGCTGTGCAGACACCCAGCCAATATTCCACATCACAAATCACCACAGCGGCGGGTGGCTATCGAGCTCCTTTCACAGATGGAAAGACCAAGACAAGGTCTGACGGAGCCCGGCGAGAAGCAGAGCCTGGGAACCTCACAGGGCTCCCGCATGGGGAGTGGGGAGGCAGCTGGACAGTCCCTGCACGACAGGACACCTCGTTTGGCATCTGCCTGCCGAGTTCAGCCAGGTGGGGTTTGGGCAAAGGTTGAATTTAACGTGGGGCCGGAGCTTTCAAGATAAGAGCTGGTGTGCTCTCCTAACCACCACGCACAGGCCCAAGCGAAGCTGGACCTCAGCCAAGCGATATCTCCTTTCCCCCACTCGCATGGGGGACAAGAACCATCCGAACTGAAAACAGCGCTGAGCAACAGGGAGCAGAAGCGCTTGTTCTGACTCTCACCTTTACTTCCCTTCCCTCCTGCCTTCAGGAAGCCCTTGAACATATTTTAAAGTACATTGCAAAGCAGAGAAAGGGCATTAAAGAAAAATAAATGCTTCTGAGCCTTACATAAGCACTGCAGTTCAGATCCATGGGGTTTTCCTACTGCTACGTCATGAAACTGGCCTCCCACCTCTCATGTCCTCATAACCTCCTGGAGAGCGGAGGCAACAAGCTGAAAAGAAAGAGAAAGAGGGAGATTTTTGTCCTGTCTGTCTGCTGAAGTCTGAGGCCACTCAGAGCAACCTGATGCCCCAGCGACAGCACAGGGATTTGCACCGACATCACTTTGAGTTGCATTTGTGCCTACATGCAAGGGAAGAGAAGCAGAAAAAGGAACAAAGACACCCTTGTGCCAAAGCCAAGCAGGGCTGGTGGGACATACTGCTACGAGCAGCTTAATAGCACAGCCTTGACAGAAGTTAGAAAACTTCATGCTGTTATATACGTAGCTGGTTTGCAGGTCTGCACATGACCACCATACACAGGGAGAAGGGAAGAAAAGCACCCAGGGCACAAGAATTGAGAGACAGGGGCTCTGGTGAAGGGGAAAGTCACTGCGGATGGGTGCAGAGAGAGTCTGCGTGCAAGTCTTTGGCTTGTCGGCCTTTCTGAGAGCTCCACATAAAAGTTCTCACAGATAAGTGTGTAAACCCCCTGGTGAAATGCAGGAAAGCCCATTCTCCCTTCAAAGGGAGCCCTCCCGCAGCCCAGTTTCATTCTTCACATATTTTAAAGGTCAAATTAAATCGCAACAAATATTGACACAGCGCAACAAAACTCTCCCTAGGGCCGGGGCTGCAGGTTGCACGATCCTCCAGTGCCACCAGCCGCACAACAGAGGAAATAACAGCTGAGCAGAAGGCAAAGGGAGGCTGAGCCATGGCACAGGGCGAGCCAACGCCCCGCGAGGCACTGGGCTTCATCCATAGATTGCAGAGGATGCTCAATGCTTAATTGGCAAAGTGATAAATAACGAGAGCAGGGACTTGGGTGAGCCCACTAGAAAAGTGTGGGACAAACCTGCTTTCCTTTCCCTCCCACGTAATAAAGATGAGCAGAGACATTGAAGTAACAGAATCCACCACCGGCACTGGGGAAAACACATTTCTCTGCAGTTGGGGAGGCAGAGGAGCTCCCAGGGAAAATCCTTCCACTCAAGGAAGGGTTATGAACGTTTTTCCATGGAAGTAGCCAGACCCTGTGGAAGGTGCATTTAGCTGGAGAGCCTCAGAGCCCTTCTGCAACCCTACACAGTCCTGCCAAAGACAGGAGCGCGTGTCCTGGTGTGCACGTGCAAAACAGCAGCAGCTCCGCACACAGCAGCATCCCGCCGGGCATTTGCACCCTGGGCTTTGAGATGAACTCGTTAGGAAGGAAAATGAAGAGCTTTCATTGCAACTATCCCCGCGGAGCAGCCAGGGAGGCCGGGAATGAAAGCGCCTCTGCAGAGACTCACCTGAGCAGCAGAGCTGCAGGCCACGAGCTCCTCCTGGAGGACAGGGCCTCCCTCCCTGCGAGGGTGCAATTCCTCCCACTCCACCTCGAGGAAGCAGCAGGACCTGCAAATGCAGAGGAGTCGCCCGTTATCCCACTCCAGGTGCCACTATTTACTCAAAGTTTTTCATCTGTTTAGATAATATCGTACAGGGATGACTCAAAGCTAACAGCAACGCAAGCTATACATGAATTAAAACCATTAGAGCAAGTAAAATGAAATTAAGGGTTTTGCTTGATGCCAAATTTTCCATCTTTTTTTTTTTTTTTAGTAAAGTCTGTAGTTTTCAATAAAGTAGATTTTTAGTAAAGCCTACTTTTTCAGTAAAGTCTAAAGAGGGGAAAAGACACTGAATAACCAGAACCGAGCAAAATTTAAGCTTTAAGCTTACCAAAGTCTCATTAGAGCTAGTGAATACAACAGAAATGATAAACTGTTTCCTGAGACTGAGTCCTGAGACTCAAAAACTTCCAGGTTTTGAAAGCAACTTGAATAAGAAGATTAAAACCAAAATATTTAAGGTAAAAAATAAATTACTTTTATTTCAAGGATACTGTTACAGGAGATCGTTTTTAAATAGACTTAAATGAATACACATTCGTCCATAAAAAAAGACACTCCACACAAAACCACAAGGCAGGGATGTCACTGCATTTTGCAGATAGAGGAAAACCAAGCGAAAAAAGAAGGCAGAGTTGACTTTCTGCCCTCCCCAATTCCCTCGGGAGGTGACGATGGGATGCCGGCGGGCATGTAGCAACTCCCAGACGTGACTCCGTAACCAGCACACACCTTCTTTCCTAGGAAGTCACGAGCGCGAGAGGCCGTTCCCGTCCATCACCGCGCTGCTCCGAGGGCTCCCTGCCCTCGGGATCGGATCCCTTTGCTTTAAAGAGCAAGAGGCTCCTGTCCCAGCTGGTGCTGCCGAAGCAGCACACCAAGTCCATGGCACAATCCCTGGTCAAGATCTCCGTGATCCTCGCCGCCATGTCCCCGTTGATGGCGAGGCAGCGGAAGTGGTCGAAGTCGTTCCTGCCCAGCTTGCGGAGGCGCCGCGCGGCCGCCCGGTAGCACTTCCAGGGCTGCGGTTCCACCAGCAGGTACTTGCACAGAGAGGCCAGGAAGGCCAGGAAGGCCACGAGGCCGCTGTCGCCGTGGTTCAGGTGGATCCACATGGTCACGGACATGCAAAAGCCGATGTCGAAGGCGGCGCGGCCGAAGCGGCGCAGGTGGGAGCGCAGGAAGGGCTCCCTGGCACCGCGGTCCATGATGTCCAGCTGGGCAAAGGAGATGGAGGCAGGGAAGGGGCTGCACTGCCGAGCCCGCTCGACCAGCGCCGCGTCGATGTCGCAGCACAGCAGGTTCAGGTCCTGCCCCGCGTCAGGCTCGTCCCGGCTGCCTCCGTCCTCCGGCAGGCCGAGCAGGCGCCTGTACAAAGCCACGCTTAGCTCCTGCAGAGAGGCAGAACAACAGGGATTCACGGGGCCTGCACCTTCTTGGCGTTTAAAACCTTCCTTTTCAGCTGCTTTCGATACAGCTTGCTTTGAATTTCCTCCTGTAGAGCCTCCACGGAGCGGAAAGGTTATTAACTTTCTGCTACAAGGGACGTGATGAAAATCTGAATGACATTGAGGAAAGTGAGCTGCGTGACTCTCGAGCCCATAATAGTCTTAAAAGCATTTAGTGGCACAATAGGGTCCTCTAGTGGCAAAAGTTCCTGCGCTTCAAATGAACTGAAAACTTTTTTTTTTTTTTTTTTTTTAAACCTGACCAGTTCTACGAGTTTGGCTGAAACAAGACCTAGAATTGTCCTTCAGACAATACCCTGGGTAGAGTTCCGAGCCACCTGGCAGGGGGGATGAAGGGATAGGAAGGAGAGAGGCCACAGAAGCAACACCACCCCCAGCCCTGGTGGGGGCAATTAATGTTAATGCAAACTAATTTCATCCTCATTGCATTTCTAGCTTAACATATCGGTGAAGTCTTTATGTGAAACACATTTAAACATGCTTGCATGACACCAATACACACCACAAACAAGCAGGTGCTCCAGAATTACAACACAGCAAAGCTACACACCGGGGGGAAAAAAAACCACAGGAAAATACAAAATAAAGAACGAATGAAGTCTTTCAAACTGGAAATCCCATCCGATTCACCAGCCTTAATAGCATCTTTTCAAAAACAGGACCAGCAGTTTGGATTTAAGCCATGTCTGATGGGTGACAGGACAAAGCACCTAAGAGCTTAGGCTCCAGTTCCAGCACTGTCCCACTCGTGTCTCCCTGCTCGGGACACCCCAGGCCTCAGCAGGGAGGGGGACACAGAGGAGCTGCCAGGCGCAGAACGGGGCAGCCTCTCCGGGCACCTCAGTCGCATCCCTGCCACCCCCCGTAGGGGACACGGGCACAGGGAGCTCCCCAGGAAAGAGGGGTGCTGCCCCCACCGCCCCACAACGTGCCCAAGGGCACGGGAAGGGCCCTGTCCCAGGCCGGGGCTGCCGCAGCCTTCCCAGGCTGCCTGTTCCTGAGCGGCACTCCAAGCTGTGACCGCTCCCCAGGACTCCCAGTGCACCCAACACTCCCAGTCCTGCCTCCCCAGCCACCCCAGCCTCTACTGCCTCTCTGCTCACCCCACTCTGCCCCACAGCCCCTAACACCCCTGGTCCAGTCTCCCCAGTCACCAAGCTCCCCCACAGCCCCAGTATTCCACACTCTACCCCTTCCAGCCACCCCAACCTGCCCCACAGATCCAGCACTGTCCCCCCCAGCCACCCCAACCTGCCCCCCAGACCCAATGCTGCCTCTCCAGCCCCACCCAGGCTGCCCCACAGCCCCCAATGCCCCTGGCCCTTCACCTCCAGTCACCCCAACCTGCCCCACAGCCCCAGTATCCCCCTCCCCACCCCTTCCAGCCACCCCAGCCTGCCCCACAGAGCCAGCACTGCCCCCCAGCCTGCCCCACACGCCCCAAAACCCCTGGTCCTTCATCTCCAGTAACCCCAGCCTGCCCCAGAGACCCAACACTGCCTCCCCAGCCACCCCAGGCCGCCCCATAGACCCCCAACCCCCGGCGGCCTCTTACCCCCGAGTTGCAGCCCACGTCGAGCCCCAGGAGCGGGCGGGCGGCGGCGGGGAAGAGGCGCCGCAGGAGCCCCGGCGGCAGGAGGCGGACGCGGCCCTCGGGCGGGTGGAACCGGGAGTAATGGGGGAAGTTGCCGTAGGGGGCAGCGCCGGGCGCCAAGGCGGGAACGCCGTCACGCATGGGCGCCGCCATTTTAGCCTCCTCCTGCCGCGCGCGCCGGGCGGGAAAAGGGAGCGAGCAGGCGCGTTCCGGGGGGGAAAACGTTCCGGGGGGGGGATTTTTAATGCTTGGACACACGAGGGGGACAGCGACAAGGAGCGGGATGGCGATAAGGGACAGCACCAGCCCCCTCACCACGACACCCCGAGCCCGCTTGTGGCAAAGCCTTAAAAACACGAATTATTCGAGAATTCGCTTTAAAAAAATCGCCCTTCTGGGGGGCGGTGCTGCGCAGGAGCAGAGCAGCCAGGCCGGGCGTGACCTTTGCCCCACGTTGCCATGGTGACACCCCCCCCCCGGGGGGTGCAGGCCCAGACTAGGCCGCTTTGGGTCTTTTCCTTTAGTTTTCGGGGCCCTGCTGAGGGAGAAGGGGCGATGTGGGGAGGACGTCGCTAGAGGGAAGCCGGGAGTCGCGTTTGTCACCGTGACGCTTCGTTTCCCTGTTTTTTTTCTCCTTATCCCGGTGCCGAAAGCAGAGGGCGCCAGGATGCCGGGAACGCCAGGCCGAGGCCTGGGCCCAACACCTGCACTGGGCTGAAAAAGCCCCAGATGTCTTGATTTTACCAAAGCAGAAATCAGGAGGGTCCCCGAGCTCTCACCTGCATCCCGTTGGCTGCATTTAGGGCCCCCAAATCCCTATTTGCAGCAGACAGGGAAACATCCCAGCCTTTCCCTTTCCAACATCCCTTAATCCCTTCTAAATCCCCCATTCTCTCTCCCTGCACCCCTCGCAGGGGTCCCCGGACATCACAGCTCCCCTGAAGCCCCATACGTTTATGCCCAGTTCCTCAAGAGCCGAGTGTTGACATTTGCCCAAACGATTGGCTTTTTATTGATTCTCCTTAGGATAATTACAGGATCAGCCGCCGGGAGCGACTAATTACAGCTCTCATGCAAATGCCGAGGGGCACCTCCCCGCCGCGGCCGTCCTTGCGCAAGCGCCATCCCGCAGCGCAGGCCCAATCAGCCCCAGCAGAGCGTTTCCTCACCGCACCAAAGGCGGCCGCGATGACAAAGATAAAGATGCAGCGAGAAAACAGCAGCGCAGGAGGCTCCGGCGCCGCCGAACTGCTCCAAACCCCAGGATCCCAAGTCTCCCCCATCCACGGAGCTTATTTCTGCATCCCCTTGCGGGAAGCAAAGCTTTGGAAATAGCCACAACTCGCACCCGTTTTTTCAGGCTCCATCCAAGGTGCAGACAACTGCTGCAACAAGATGCTGCAGCTGAGATTTCGGTCTAAGAGAGCTAGCAGCCTGGACTAATTATCCCTCCATTGCTGATGGGTATAGATAGGCAAATCGCCTCCTCCCAAAGTAGGCATTAATTTAGGTCAAATTAATTAGGAAAGCTTCACGCCTCAGGTTCCTCTCTGCAGGCAGTGGGGAACATCCCTTTGAGAAGGGTTGTGCATCCCCCTTACTTTTAAACCTGAGTCTAAGAAAACAGGGAGGTTTCACCCCAGGGAACCCCTTAACCCTCCATTCTCAAATATTTGGACCCAACTTTTTTTTTTTTTTTTTCCTTTTTGCTTCATGGAGAATAAGCTACTTAGTTGTAAACAGCTGGACAGGGCGGTCGTCCTGTAGCCTTGTCTGTTCTTCCCATTTTAGAAGGAGCGAGATGTTAGCGGTGCAACCAGACCTTCCAGGGGTCGCCCCTTGGTAAGCACGCACCGAAGCGGAACAGTTTTGCAACGCTTTATTAGCAATGTTCAGAGAAAATACAAAATCCTATTTACAATGAAATCACAGGACCAGCCGGACAAAAGGCAGGGGGATACAGAGCCAGGGGCTGGGTGATGCAGACCTCCAATAAAGGACATCTGCACAGAGCAAGAGAAACAGCCCAGTGGGTCGGAGAACCCAGGAAGAACTTGCCCAAAATCTGCATTTTTCCAGGGATTTCCATCTGTTTCCATACTACTCACTGGCTTGGGTGGGTGATGGCGAAGGGTAAGGGAGTCAGTGCAGAAGAGGACCCAGGAGACATGCAGGAAGGGAGCCCCGTGGTTCTGCTAGGGGACACAGGAGGACAGCAAGACATCTCCACGTCGGTGGCCCAGAGAAAGCGCTGCAGGTGCCATGCAGACATTTCCTACACGGGAGCGGAAAGCCGGGAGGGTGACAGGAGCTCAGGCGGCAGCAAAGCCACTGCACGTCAGGCAACAGAGCAAGGGCTGCAGACCAGGCTTCTCCTGCCCAGGCCCCGTGCAGAGAAGGGGCAGCTGCAGAGCTGCAGCGTCTTCCAGGGGACAATTGTTTGGACTTTGCGAGGTTGAGAATTGTACTAACTCCAGCCACATTCCCCCTCTCCAAAGCTGGAAAGCAGGAACACCTACAGGACTTCAGCTCAGAGCAACACCGCAGCTTGCCGGAGCAGAGGCTGGGCCTCCCCTCTAAGCCCTTTCAGGAGCACCCGTAAGGCTGCGACAAGAGCAGGACCTGAGCCAGGAATTGCCCTTTCTGCACTCCCATTTCGTGAGCTTTGGAGGCTTCTCCCATGCTCTGCCCTCTCCCAGGCCTGGCTCCTCAACATTCAAGGCAGTGGGTCATGGACTCACGTTGCCATTACCTAACTAGTCTCCTCTATCCCAGAAAGGGTTTTTTTTGGAGCAGTTCCTTCGCTGCTGTCACTGCAGCCACTCAAAGGCGGACGCCCAGGTGGGAGCTTCGCTAGCAAGAGCTTTTTCCCTCCCTGCACAGTAACTTTCCTCTTCCTCTGCCCATCTCGGGGCACGTGCGCCAGGAGGATACGACATGTGAGGGGTAAAAGCCAGGGCAGCAGCAGAGGAGGAATGTGCAGCATGGAGCCTTTTGGCAGAGCCGCCCGCTAGCGCGCCGGCACTGCTCGAGGCAGCGCACTGACGCACTTACCCTGGCATTCCCAAGGAGATGGAAGATACGGCTTTCTATCAGCGGGAAGGATCGCTTTCTAAATACGAGCAAAAGGCCCCTTATCTCCCCCTGGAGCTTTACAGTTAGAAATTAGCCAGATGATCCCCAAACAGGGGAATGCGAGCAAGGGAAGATGGAAAGTTACCTGCACACTCCGAGGCATCCCGTGCCCTCACTGACATCCCTGTTTGAGAGAGCAGAGCTGGAAGACAGCCAGAGCGAAAGAGGAGATGCAGAAGTGCCCACTTTTCCAAGCAACGGGCATTCACCTTGGCCTTAGCCTCTGCACAGGAACCACTTGGGGCCATTCGTGTCCAGGCATCAACACACTGGCACGAAGGCATCAAGATCCTTACAATGGGTCACAGAATCTCATCCTTTTTTGTCACAGAGACCAAGTCTTCCCGCATTATGGATGTCCTCAAAGAAGCTGCATGTCCTGAACAACAGGTTCCTCTGTGCCCAGAGGACTGCTTGCTAGAAGGACATCCAGACTATGGGATCCTGTGCTCAGCCTTTCCCAAAGCAGACCCTATCGGGAGCATACCACAGAGCCATAATCCCCATGGAAGGAGCACAGGTAGAGAAAAAGGGGAGATGTGAGAATTTCCCTCGCCTTTTCCTTTTATTCTACTCATTTTCCTGCCAGAATCTTAGCACAACTCCCTGTCTTTCATTTTTTCGAGTATGATTTTCCCTTTGCAGAGCTGATCACAGCCCTTGAGCATCCCGCAACGTGCAGGACGCAGACGGGAAACTTTGGCAGCCTTTGGGGAAAGACCTTGGCCTGATGCCTCCCAGTCCCCGATCTGGCTTGATCTCAGCAGCAGAAGGAGCAGGAGACACAACACTTAAGCCCTGCTTTGCTTTCTGGGTCACAGACATTTAACAGCATATATACAAGCTGCATAAGGAACCCAGGGGCTTTGCCCAGCTGATGGAATGGAGCTTGCTAGTGGGCCAGGAAGGGTAGGGTTTTATTTTTCTCCCCCTCTTTTCATCTTTTTCCTTTTAACCTTTAAGCATGCGCCTTGCCAGCCAAGAGAAGACATTGCCTTGCTGCATTCACTCCTGGCTGGAGCCAAAGAACTGCAGGAAGAAGGAGAAGATGTAGATTATGTCCAGGTAGATATTGAGGGCTCCGAAGATGTACTCCTCCGGGCTCAGCGAGTACCGGCGATTCCCCATCAGCATCTGGGTATCGAATGCCAGGAACTGCAGGAAGAGAGGAGGGAGCCTCGGTGACACAGCCACGCACCGCTTTGGGAGCGCTTAACGGGAGTTATCCCAGCTGCTTTAGAGAACCCACAATGAAAAGACAACCACTTTTATGGGCCATGACTGCTGCTTAGAAAGCTTAGAACACCACTTTGATGGTGAGTTATGACTTTCCCCTTCACTCTTGATAGTCCAGCCCTGAACCTAACTGTTCCTCCATGCCCGCTTCCTTCATGCACGTTCCCAAGGCTCCCCATGGCTTCCTCCGTCCCGGACACATCCTGCAGCTCAGCCCCGGAGCAGTTCTTGTTCCTCCACAGCCAGTCCTGATGACTTATTACCCTTGTACTTCCTCCAGTTCAGAAAGACCCCACCAGGTTACAGAGCGTCCTGCTCCAATGAGACATTTCAGCATCACCAGAGCAACAAATGGGCCAAGAAATTACTCCTTCCTCTTACTGCACTCCGGTTTCATCATCCGGACAGCCCGGCCTTGCAGGATACCTGCAGCTGGCCTCAAGCTAGCGCGTGTCCCGCGAGCTGCAAGCACGGACCTGGCACCTGGCGAGGTGCAGAACATCCCCCAGCCCCGGGCAAGGCTGTGCAGAGCTGCTAGCAGACCCGAGCAGAGCTAACGCCTGCCTGAGCTGTAATCCCATCCGAGCACAGTTTCACCCGTGAAGCCCCCACAGCTCTGCTGCTGGGGCAGGAACCCCCTGCCCAGCCTGTCTGCAAGGGGACACGGCTCACGGAAGGAGACGTGGGCGGCGAGACAGGTTGGTGGCACAAACCCCACACCTCCGTGCCGCGCACGCTCCATCTCCTGCATTAACCTAGCCCAGGAGCGGCACCGTGGCACAAAGCTTGGCATCAAGCTCCCCAAGAGCTGGCAGAGCTTCTCTGCCATGCCCTGGGATCAGCTGGCAGCTCTGCCGCCTCCGATCACAAATAACCACTGATCTGCACAGACAGATCCGAGCTGAGCTGACCGCCCGGCACTGCCAACTGCACCAGCTGAGGTTCTGATGGAAGTTTATGGGGTAATTATAAGATGTTTAGCCCACTTATGTTTTACAGAGCAGTCTTTAGCCGTGAATCAGAGAAGAAGTATCCGAGCTCTCTTGAAATGACTTTATTAGCTATTAAATGAAATTGCTCAACTGCTGTTATTCACAGCATGCCCAATGGGCACCGCCTTGCTGCCCAAGGCAGCCCTCCTCCTGACCCCCAGCTCGAGGTAACGCCAAGCATCTTCCCAACAACTCCCACGCCCAGGCAGCAAGCCCGGCACTGCCGGGACGTGCTCCGGGAAGAGGCTGGCAGCAGTCGAAGGAATCCAGCTCCTCATTTTGGCTAGGGGCTCCAGGGGCCTTCAGGGGGCTCCTGCCCGTGATTCAGCTCCCTGGAGACCCTCTGCCCCAAACCCCAGCCTCCAGAGAGTCTCTCTCTAAGTCACCCCTAATGAAACTCATACCCTGCACCTACCCAGCCCTGACTCTGCTTTGCTCTCCACTGCAGCCTCCCGTCATGCCCGAACCCTGCAGTCCTGCTCCTGTGGCTGAGCCAAGCCTTGGTCTCGGCTTTGCCCCGACTCCTGAGAAGCCTTTTGCCACGTTCCCGCTTTCTCCCGCTCACTGTTGCGCCCCGGTTTGCCAATCGCCCCACGCTCTGCTCCAACACCGTCACGTACACCAGCACCTCCTTCGGACCACGCTGACATCACGGCACTAATTGCTCTTCGTGAGCCAGCGGAGGACGTGGAGCTCTCTGCAATCCCACACCTGACTCCTTCCTCCCCGGGCACCCTCCAGGGCAAAAAGCTTTTACTCCGTGTTTATTCACCCGTTTCTCCCACCCCTTCCCCATCACTTACCATGGTGAAGATGATGGCACCCAGCAGGGCATAGATCACATGGAGCCAGGGGACCTAAAGCAGCAAATACACCAGTCAGTGGCTGGGAGAACACCAGTTAATTAGGACTTGGCAGGGCTGGTATGGAGGAGGGAAAGTGCTTTAAGAGCCCTGGACTCGCACAGCTTCCAGCTCCATCCTGGTTTATTATTGGTCTTTCCATGGCAAAGATCGGGCACCGTGCCTCATTTTCCCCTCTCATTTTAGTCTTTGGTCAACTCATGAGCTTCCAGGTCAGAAACATGGGTTTCAAAAGAGCTTTCCCCGACAAGGCCGGGGTGTCTTTGGGAACCACTTAGCTCTATCCTGTTGCAGCCGTGTTTTGCAGCAATCCTGGAAGGCATTAGTTCACCCAGACAAGATTGATGCCTCTGGAGGAAGCAGAAGATGCTTCCAAGGGAAACAACTCCAGGATCTACTGCAGTCACAGTGCTGGAATCGAGACCGAGCTCCAACCCCGCTCCCAGGGACACAGCGGTGTCCCACAAAGCCCACCACACTGCAGTAGCAGAGCAGAGCAGGAGAAGGGGTCCCCACGGACTGCAGATGCAGCCCAGGGATCCCAGAATCCCAAGGCTGGAAGGGACCTTTGGAGATCACCCAGCCCAAATCTCAGCCCGCCTCCCCAGGTAGACGAGCCAAATTGACACGGCCTCGAGCTACGCTTATCTCGCTGTGCATTAAGATATCAGAAGCTGTCGCAACCGCTTTATGGCAGCGGCTTGGCAACACAAGCTGGTTCACCCTCACACGAGGTGCACGCAAAAGTTGGCCTTGAATGGAGGCAGCCAAAAGCCCAGCTCCTGGTTCGGGAAACACGAGCCTTTGTGTTCAATCATCTGCCCCAACCCCAGGGCTAGCAACAGGGGAGCATCTCCTGCAGATGGGGCCCTCAACTTGGGTCCCCAGACAGTCCAGATGAGATGCAGGGGAGTTTGGAGGGTATTTGGAGGCTGCTGCGAGCAAAGCCAGGTGCGAGAAGGCCTTTGGGGAGACGAACAGAGGTTGTGCAGCCCCATCCTTCTCCTCTTTGATCGAGATCTTTCACAGTCTGTCAGGTTCTTGCTTGGATGATGACTTGCCTAATGGAAAGCTCTGAGATGGAGACCAGAGCCTCTCCACACGGCCACAGACCTTCTACCAGCTGTGGTCACAGGCTGCTCCTTTGGAAATGGGCCTGGCAGCAACCAGGGGGACAGGGACACCCGTGTTGGGCCAGCCCTTGAAGGTGGCCTGCTTGGTGCTGACGGTTGGCTCCCGCCCTTGGCCCAGCACTGGTGGCACTTGGCAAGGAAGGAGGCATGCAGGGTGTTACTCACGTATTGGTAGGGCAGTATCACGGCCAAGATGATGCCACCAAAGAAGAGCACCATGAGCATCACAAAGAGGACACCCTGGTAGGAGGTGAAGTCAAACTGTGGAGGCAAAGGGCACCGTGTTACGAGGGCAGAGCCCAGGGGCAGGACTGGCCAGCAGGGCACCAGCGGTGCCGTCTGGTGCCCACCGGACCCCAAGGGCAGCAGCCCAGCAGTCACCGTGGAGCAAACGCACCCCAACACTCACGTTATTGCCCAGCACCCACTGCCCTCAAATCCCAAAGCCCGCTGTTCATATTCATGCCAACAGATTTTGTATTACCATTTTTCAGGATCCTTCTGTACCCAACCTGGTCCTCCAAAACCCGGCTCACCCCACATGTTAGCATCTTGGGATCCCATTTTTACCCCATTATTTACCCAGCACCTCTCAACTTCCCTATAACCTTCACTTTATAGCACAGCACCCTCACGTTGCTCCCATCCCAGAGCCTTGCTCTATCCCTGCTTGGTTCCAGCACTCTCTGAGCCTATCTCCTGCCCATGGAAGGTGCCTTTCCCAATGGGAATAGCCAACACACACTCACCTTGGTCTGGAAGCTGAAGATGGTGACAGAGAGACACACCAGGGCCGTGATGCCCAGGCACAGGAGGACTGACTTGGTATTGTAATAGCTGCAATATTAACAGCAAAGCCACGTTTCTAACCACCCCCATGGGGACAGGAGCGATTAAAGAAGGGCAGAAGCTCCGTGCAGACATGTAAGAAAGGTAGGAGTCAGGGGGCAGAAGTCACCCTGACCTCACCAGCATTCCTACTTATGTCCAAAGGGAAGACTTAATCTATAGAAGGATTAGAAGGGTTTTCCTCCTGCTTTAAATAGCAGAGGGTAAGCAGCAGGGCACGTGTACGGCTCCCAGGAAGCCACGAGCAGCTAAGATGGGAATTTACCATCAAAATCCACGTCCACGGGCAGATGGAGAGGAGGAGGCAATAAAAATAAAATGACAGCTACCACAGCAGCACAATGAGGAATCAGAAAGCTGTTGCACTATCAACGTGCTCATAACACGGGGGCTTGAAAGCTGCAAAGGATGGAGGGGTTTAAACATGCAGAGGCTGTAGACTGAGCTTACAGTTTTCAGCGGCTTTTGCTGCTGACTTTGGTGGGTTACAGCAGCAGGCTTGGACTGAAGAAAGCTCAGGTCCCTTCCCTTTGGTTTCACTACGGATATCACTAGTATTTTCCCTCGGTTGCTGAAGCCACCACTTTCTTTGTCCCCAGCATGCGTCCATCAACACCCACTGGCTCATCTGCTTCATCATCAGAGCCCCACGTGAGTCAGGGCTGATCTTGTGAGCAGATGGCAGCAGGGAAAACACAGGCAAAAGGATGCAAAAACCAGAGACTACAAAAAAAAAAAGCTGCTGCTGGAGGTGCCACCATAGCCCCTGGAGAGCAGAGAGCATGCAAAGGGAGACCGAGGGAAGGTCAGGCTTCACAGGGCTGCTGGAACAGCTCCAAAAGGATCTAGCAACCCCAATATTTCACAAATGGGAAATTGTTTTTCAGAGGAAGAGCTCCAGGGACCACGTGCTCAACCTACCTGGAGAGCATCCCAGTGAGATAAGCCATGGAGAGGGTCTGGGAGGGAAAAAGAACTACTTTACTCCTGCATTCGTGTCCCAGGGCAGCAGAGAAGCATTTCCATCAGAGAAACAGGGATAACCATAAGGGCAGTGAAACCTCTTAAACCAACGCATGAGGGGGGCAATTTTCAGGTACTCAACTGAATGACGTCCACAGCACAGGTTAAAACAAGAGCAGACCACAACCCAAGAGCTGTCCCAGCCCAGTCCCTGCTTCTCCATGCCCGGCCTCCTAACCTCTCCCCAGCCTCCACAGGCACTGGTTTTAGACAGAGGCCCCCTTCTCCCCTGCTTATCGCTTTCTAGCTCCATTATAGCTCTTTGGCTCAAGTACAGGGCAATTACAGGCTGAAATTCCTGCTTTCTGCAGGACGTGGGGCCAGGCAAGAGCTTCTCCTGCCTGGGGCTACTGCAAAACCCCCGCTGGGCGGAGGGGCAGGGCAGACACTGTCCAGATGTGCCACTTACAAAGATGCTCAGCAAGATGAGATTCCATGGGAAGTATCTCCTGCAAGTGAAGAAACAGAGGCCGGTCAGCCCTGCGACACGAGGGCCGACGCTGCCTAGCAGCCCTGCAGAACATGGATCATATAATTATAGTCTGTATGGCAGGGGTGGTACAAGCAGATGGTCGTTCCGCAGGGAACGAGGGAGCATTCAGGCTGCTGCTGGGATAACGGGCCAAGAACCTCCCTGATACCCCAGCAAGGCGACCAGAGAAGACCTTCCACAGGAGCCAGCAATGAACATTTGGAGCTGCGTAGCAGCGCAGTTGGCAATGCCCACAGCATTCATCTTCCATTTCCTCAGGTTGCTTGGAACAGAACATTTTACCTGGGTCCAGAGCAGCACGCCAGGATCAAGTAGGTCACAAAGAAAACAGCGCTGCAAGGAAGAGAGGGAAAGGGCAGATTAGGGAGGAAAACCCCAGCCATGCGTGTAGGTGAAGGAGAAGCACATCCACCTGCTCCCGTCCCCAAGGAAGAGCTCAGGGATCCTCCAGAGAGCCACAGCCCCAAGCCTAACGCTGTTGCGCCACACGGGTCAAGGAGAAGTTATTTATCTTGCATGGCTTTACCCTCCAGCAAAGCAAAAATGCAGCAACTTGAGGAATCGCCTCCCTCTGCCCCAACCCTCACGTCTCTCTACGGCACCCATGGGTTCCAGCACAGCAGGAACCTGCCTCCCTGCTTTCACCCAGCGCCTGGGGGAGAAAGCGGCTCCAAGGCCGCCGATGGCGGCGCGATAGCCGCTCACCTCGGGTCTAACAAGCGAATGTGACGGCAAACCCCACGGGCCGCGATAAACCCGCCGGAGATAACCCCGAGCATTGCTCTCCCACGGGGAAACCAGGAAAGCTAGAGCGGACACGGCTGAATAGGTGGAAGAGCAGCACGGAGGGAACGGAGCCACCGCTGCCAGGAGCCGAGAGAACAGAGGCTCAAAAACTAAGTCCAGATTCTGCTCCCAACCATCCTGAAATATGTTTTTTCTCCTATTGAAGATATGAAGAGAAGCACATGATAAACTAGCTGGTAGGCTGCAAGACAGGAGCCCAGAGCTGAAAGCAAAGACCTGAGCAGAGCTTGCTCCCATCTTCCACAGAGCCCGTGAGGAAATGTTCCATCTCCAACCTGCGAGCTGGCCAAGGAGAAGACCACATTACCTTCCTTTGAGGTCACCCCAAACCACATTGGGGCCGGGTTTGCAGCGCTATCTTGGCTCTGTTTTTCTTTCAAGTTATATAAGCCGGTGTCTCATCTCCAGGCCTGGACACATCTCATGCTTTGGGTGTGAACTAATTAAAGCCCGATTCACAGAGCCTCGTTCACAGTCGGTTGCGTCGTGCGCTCTGCCTGCTTAATTAGCAGCACTAACTCAGGCGGCATCCGAGGAGCAGCACGACTACAAATATCTCAACGCAGAGGCCCAGCCTCTGCTACCCCCTCGCTGACCTCTTGGTCCAACCGTGTCTAATGGACAGGATCCCAGGTCCTGGGCACCAAAAGCAGCTCCGCAGTGACGAGCCAGCCCAAACAGCTGCACCCAGACAGGGGTAAGAAACACCCTAATACCTCCAAACTCCTCTCCTCCTCTTAACCCTGCCTGCTCCCTTCTACACGTGTCTGGTGTTTATCAAGGCATGAGGTGCAAACCCAGGCAGCTTCCTTGATTGCAAGGGAACAGCCCCCAGTTTAAGCCTTAAAAGTATCCCAAGCATCCTCTCTGCTCCCTCCCCTGCATTTCTGAAGTGTTTCCCTGATTTTGCTGCATTCTGTAAACAACACTCACATATTTACCAGGGCAAATATTTTTTTCAGAGTGGCAAGCCACCCAGCCAGAAGCATTCACATATCCAGCTCCTGTCCCTCAGACCCGTTTCCATCTCTGGATGGAGATGGCTTTTTCACCAGCACCCATACATGCAAGAATGACTCCTCACATGCAAGACATAGACAAGCTTGGAAAAAAGCCCCATGCCGCTCCAGACTCATCCAGAGGCATTTGGCATGTGCGGAGCTGGAGGAGAGGACACCGATACTCACTAGGAAGCCCAGTACCAGGCAGGATTCATCTGGATGTACCCCTTGACCGGCTCACTGCAACACAGAGAAGGGGAGCGTTGGGTGAACACATGTCCATCACTTCACAAATCACTGCGAAATTAAAACCAGGAATGGGTTTTTCAGGGTGTCAGGGCCACCCCACTCTGCCACCACAGCAGAGTTTGCCCAGCAGAGCGACTGCCTGGGAAGAAATGAGACCTGCCACGCAGGAAGGACGGCCCTGCTGTTATCGATTACACGGTCAGCCTCGCTCAGCGGAACAGCCGCTGCCTTCTCCAGGTGATTAAGGAGCTGAGCTCCTCAAGCTGATAGCAGATCATTTATTTATTCAAGCTGCCATTTGATCTGCACAGGGCCCAAGCGCTCGGTCACCCGAGCGGCGGCCGGAGCCCAGGGTGTCCATCGCCACGAGCAGAGGTAACCTCATCCCTAAGCAAGGGAGCCGATGGCCTCGATACCTCCCAAGGGAAAAGTACTGGTGCTACCTCTCACATGTGAGACTTGTCACATGCTGGAGAAGGTGCCCAGCTACAAAACAGGAGCTCAGAACCAAGCTCCCAGAAGGGACAAGGCACCAGCTGGGACAGGCAGCAATGGTACCTGGGCCACCTGATGGGCTGAATGACCTCAGGGTCCTCTACTTCTATTAAATCACATGAGAAAGATTTTTAGATATCTGAGTAACAGACAACTCCCCTAAGAGATACGTAGGAGCAGGTCACATACAGGACACAAAGAAGAATCTGTATTACTGCTGGAGGGAAAACCTACCAGAAGGTGAAGAAAGCGACAATAACCACAGTGACCAAGAGCTGGACCATCAGGATGGCATAAACCTGGAAGAGAGACCGTGTGATGGATCTGCTCCAAGGCCCAGCCAAGCTCCATCTGTTCCATTAGGGGGTTAAATACCCCCCTGGAGCCGGGACCTTTGGAGGGCAGGGCTGAGGGGCCCTTCACGCTGTACCTTCCTGATGAAGACCCTGCGCACGTTCCTGTCGTCCCAGCTGAAGGTCGTGAGCATCTCCGTGTCGCCCGGGTAGCCGCCGCTGCCGTAGCTGGGGCTGCTGCCTGAAGCGGGACACAGGCAGGTTAGGGGGGCTCCCCTCGAGCCCCCACGCAGGGAGAAACCCCACGTCAGGACATCCAGATTTCAACATCTTTCCTATTGTACCACCAGATCTGGGGAGATGCACCCTCCGTGGGCACAGAGATGCACTTCGCTTCCCTCCCGCTCCTGCACTTTATTAGGAGCATCTCCGAGGATGGATGGAGGTGGGAAACACCCCTGCAGAACACTGCTTGATTGGGACACTGGGGGCAGCTCCTCTCTCCCAAGGCCTTAATGACACCTAGAGAGCTGCCGCCTCCCCACTTGCCTTGCAGGAATGAGACCAACAGGAGCCCCAGGTCAAAGGAAACCCCCAATGATAACCCCCAGTTATCACTGCACGTTAGTCTCCCCACGAGACTTGTTCCTCTTGCAGGAATCACTTCCTGCATCCAAACCTCCCCAGATGGGTTTCCCTATAGAAACAAGGCTTGTGCAATTGCACCAGCCATGCAGCCGTGTCCCTGCCTGCTGGGGCTCCCATCCCTGCTTTCCCAAGGGGTTTTAACCAGTTCCAACACAGGGATGGAGGCCTGGTGACACTCACATCCATCAGGCAGATGGAGCAAGACCCTCAGACCCAGAGGACAGGCTGCAAGCTCAGGCACCAGGCTCAGGCTGCAGGCTCAGGCACCAGGGCCAAGCTCAAGGCTCTGCTCCAAAACCACCTCCATTTCACCGTTTTTATTATTGCAGAAGCCTCATCTGCCTGAGAAGCCTGTCAGGAGATAAACCCCACGTGCTCTTCTCATGCCTAAGGAGTCTCCTGCGTCCCCTTCCACAGGGACAAACCCCACGCCGCTTCCCCACCGCGTTGCTGGGCGATCCCGTCACCAAGCGCACCCGCAGCTCGGGGACAGCCCAGCGCCTCCTGCGTCAAAGCAATCAAGGCACCTAAATGCCAAATTAGGTCCCTAAATGCCTCCGAGGAACCAAGCAGGTTTTCCTCCCCCCAGGCAAGCATCCCTGTGGCCTCCCACCCACAGCCGGCTCTTTCTGTGCCCACGGGTTGCTGCGAGGGCAGGGCACAGGCCGTCCTGCCGCTGCATCTCCAGCCAGAAATGCATGTCCCTTCCCTCCAGCTTCTCCCGGCATCACGGGACAGGGACAGATGGAGGCAGCAGCAGGGCTGGACGCAGAGACACTCGGAGCACGGCCGAGCAGCCGAAATCCTGCCGGGCTCGTTAGGGCAGCAGGCAGGAGATGATGCACCACAAGCCCCTGAGACACCAGAAACCCCGGCACCCCCCTGGGCTTCACTCCTAATTCAGGGAGATTAGGAAGGGATCCAGGTGGTAATTAGGGCAAGCAGAGAGGTTATTTAACCCCTCTGTTTCTGGCCCCTAAAGGCAAGCAAGAGAAGCCTGCAAAGCCACCAGCTCATGCAGAACATCCCAGGGGATAACGTGCTCCATTCCCCCCCTTCCTCAATCCTCAACCTGCGCGCAGCTGCTGCCGTCCTGCCTGCAGAGCGAGGGAGCAGCAGCTCCAGCGCCGCGGCTGCTGCCCGCTTGTCCCCATCGGCTGCCGCATCCCGGAGCCGGGCTGGCCGCTCCAGGGTGCTTGCCCCCATGCCAGGGCACAGCAGGACCTTTGTGCACCCGCCACGGCCCCGGGTGGGGACTGCACGTGGCACCCAGGGGAGAAAAGCCGTTTGTGTGACACCGATGCCACTGCACTGATTTCTGCTGCTGCAGCAGCTTCGCTGCAAGAACAGGGCCAGCGGGAGAGAGGAGGCATGTTAGTGACCACAAAACGCTTTGCATCAGGGCCGGATTTGGCAGATCCGGCTGGGATCCCCTTCCCAATATTGCGAAGCAACCAAGTGGCTGCAGGAAAGGGGCAGAGCGCTGGGGATCAAGTCCTATATCTGGAAAGCTGAAGCTGGAAAAGCTGCTGCAGCTGTTGGAGGAGTTGGTGCGTGCGCACACACAAATATATATATGTTTTACAGCTCTAGGCTGATGTCCTGCATGAGCCAGCCCACACCACACTCCCCCGCAGAGCGGCAGCCCCCGTTCCCGCTGCAGGGACTCACTGGGGTCCACGTATGCCCAGCTGGGATGGAGCGGCACGGACGGCGGCGGCGGGTAGGCACCCGCCTTCATCCCCTCTCCGGCCGTCGCCTCCTCGTAGGTCGGAGGGGCGGGCGGCGCGGCCGCCGCATCCTTCTTCTCCCCCTGCCCCTCTGCGCTGGGGGGCTTCGCGTTCACGGAGAGCTGCGGGAAGGGAAGCGAAAAGAGGTGGGAAAAAGGGTTCAGAAACTGCCCTGCAGCAGGAGCCTGGCAGGGCACCAGGGCTCCGCGTCACACTTACCAGCTGCAATTTGAACATGTAGGACACGGAAACTTAAATCCTTCCACTCCCCAAATTATCCCTGCAGCTAGAGGTGTTTTCCTAGATGGACATACAAATGCACAAGCTTGCTGAAGCCTTTGGCCTATAAAATTCCAGCAAGGAGCCACTTTCAGACCAGAGGACTTGCTTCTCCTTGGAAGCATGATCCAAATCGCCTTCCAGCAATCTGACCTCTGGGGAGAAGAGACTGGGGTCCTCTGCCCCCTGTCAGAATGGGAGGCTGTCCAGTATCACGGGGTGCACCCCAGGAGCCGCGGGGAGGGGTGTCACCTGCGGGGATGCTGGACGGCCGCTGCATCCGGGCACTGTCGTTATGGCAACAGCACATGGTGCCAGCAGAGGATGCAAAAACCCGCTCCGGGCTCCCAAATGGGAGAATCTCCCAAATCCGGAGCTCTTTGCATGGGGAAAGAAGGTGACCAGGGCATATCCAAGCCCAGGATGGAGGCAATAAACAGCCACAGCTCCAACATCAAAACAGCCAAAATAAATCCCCCCCCAACCCTGCAATACCACAGCTGTCCCCCCCTTTCCCCTGCCACCCCCAACCCAGCACAGCAGCCCCCAAGCACCCACCAGGGCACGAGCACCCCAGCCCCATTCCACAGGGATGCCCCCCATCCACCCTCCCTTACCCCCGCTGCTTTCCCCGCAATTGTGCCCTTACGTAAGGAGAGGCCCAGCCCCGGCCTCCGTCCTACCTTGCCCTGGGTCATGCTGCCTCGCCGCCGCGGGGATGGAGCCCGGGTCCCCGAGGCCGCGGCGCTGGGGCTGGAGGCGGCCGCCTGCGCCGCTGCCTTCCCCTTCTAGCAAGGTCCAGGGCGCGCGGGGCGCTGGAGGCAGGACCGTACCACTGCACGGGGGGACGCCGGGAAGGCGGCCGCCCCAACGGAGGCCGGCGGGCAGCGAGGCCGGGCGCTGCAACAGGGGATGTCGCGGGTGCGGGCAGGGGGCTGCGAGCGGGAGCGGGGCGAGGGATGCTCTCCCGCAGTGTCCGTGCTGCCCCACGGAGAGCCCGGGGCGATGCGGGAGCTGAGCTTAACCCAAAGCATCCCCAGCCCTTCCCAGCATTGCACAGAGGGAAACAGAGACCTGGGGGCTTAATCCCACCAGCCCTGGGGCACCAGGAGGGCTCGCACAAAGGCAAGTTCAACACAGCAGCCTGGGCATCATCCAGGGAGAGCTGGAGGGGAAGCAGCTTCAAGCCCACGGCACACACTCCAAATGAATGTGGTTTTGCCCCCAAAGGGAATAAAACCCACAGTCATGCTTCCTGTGGCATCAGGGACAGCAGGAGAGGACAACTTTGTCCCAGGACACGTTTCAGCACCTTACGTTGGCAGCAGAACACATGCAGGAAGTCCAAGCACGAGACGGACACCACCTGCCCAGCAAGCCCTCAGTGCAAACAGGCAGCAAGGGGCTGCTCCCGCTCGCTGCCGGGTATCAGCAGCACCTCCAAAGGCCAAGGCAAAGCCAAGGAGCCCAGCCAGAGAGTAACTATTGCAAACTGTCAGCACTGCAAACTGTGCAGGTGCAAGCCTGACCACCTATGCACCCCAAAGATGCTCATGGCCCTGAGAGCATCCCCTGCTGTCTCCCTTCTCCTCCTTCCCCAGCCCCTTCCACCTATTGCTTGTCATGCAAGGAGGAAGGCAACGAAGAAGGAGCTTCCTGCAAGGAGAGGGAGCTGCAAAAGTATCAGCCCTTGCGACACCTGCAAGGGAGGGGGGCATGGAAGGGTTAAGACCAAAGCATGATCTGAAAATGAAAGAATGCGGCCAAGCAGCTGGCACCCACGAGCCAGGCTGGAGCTAGTCACTTGGAAGGAGCAGATTACCACAAGGACTGCAAAAACCTGTCAGCATTATTCAGAATCACTTAGATGCCTGTTAACCACGGGCTCCTCGAGCTGAGATGTAGGACTAGGCAGGTCCAAAGTGAAGCTCAAGCCAAGAGGCCGGGGCTCTGCTCAGCTCACCTGGGCCCTTGCTTCTGGTCCCCCTTTCAGCTCGGAGAGGGATGAGCAGCCCCAGGCCTTGGGGACAAATTGAATGACACCCTGATAAGAAAGGGGAGGCCTGTTTTCCTAGGGGTGCCCCCAGCTAGGTCCCTGGAAAAGCCAGGTGAATCTGTCCCCAAGAGTTGGTGCAGGGAGCACCGGGACACGCGAGGCAGCCGGTTCCCCGCACACGTACCTGTAACACATTAGAAAATACATCTGCTCAAGTCACACCCTGCCAAATCCACAAAGGATTTCACGGGGATTAAGACAACTTTGCCCAACACTCAATCACACAAAAAAAAACAATGTAAAGGAATCCTGATGGGATAATTAAGGGATCTGCCACATCAACATGGGTAATGGCACACCCAGGAGCCCTCTGCACCCCCCAGGAGAAGGAACCCTGACAATCAAGGAATGTTCCAGCATGGACTTAAAACACAAGAAATAAGCCAAGAAAGCCCCAGGAATTCACCCTAAGCTCTCAGGTTACTACATTATCTACAGGCTGTCAACGCTGCCAAGCTTGGTCATGGCATGAGCGACCGAAAGGCGAGCTGCAAACATCAAGGGGAGCATGAAGAGGGTTGAAAGGATAAGAGACGGCAGATGCTTCGTTCTTAAAGGCCCCCCCGGGATGGGACCACCCCACCCAGCAGCACCCCAGGCAGAGGATCAGACCTGCTCTTGCTTGGACCAAGCCATGGGGCAGCCCCCTCCTACCTCCATCCTCTTGCGCAGATCCCTCGAGCCACAAGAACCCCCTCGCTTCCCAATCTAGTTCTGAAGAGCAAAGAGACGCTCCGTTTAGGAAGCTTATACGACCAGAGCTGCTCAGGAGCGGATGTTCTACCCATGTTTCTGCAGCAACATTCACCCTCCAGCTCAGGCTGTAGCTCCTAAGAAAAGCCACCCCCTCCATCACACCTTTATATCACCCTTCTCCATTACCTGGAAGGAGATCTCCCAAACGATGCCCAGCTGAGCCATCACCCCGACCACAGAGACCTTGCCAGCTACTAAAATGGGTTAATTAAAGTGATCTGAGGGGCATTCTTAATTAGAGAGGGCTGCAAGCCTTGGGTAGGCAGCAGCTGTGAGTCACCTGGGGAAGTGGTGACTGCTGCAGCCCCTTGGTTGCTCGCAGGTGTTTGCCCCCATGGCACGCTTGGGGATTTTGGGGTGCTTTGGGAAACTTTGCCCTATTTTCTGTAATTGCCTCCGGGGCCACAGCGTGTGATTTGATTGAATTGCAGGAAACAGGTCGCGGTGGTGAGGTGAAAAAACAAACGGAAACCAAATCCGTGTTCGCCACAAACCACGTCAGAGAGGGCAACAACAACACACGTGCACACAGCGGCCAGGCAAATAGATAAATAGAAAGATGAGGCACTCCCTGAGATTAAATTGTTCAGCCTCTCAGGAGCGCATTTCACTCATCGCTGCCAGAAGAGCATGTTCTTGCCACCACCGTGGGCATCAGATGCTATTAAACGAAAGCAATTGCACAAGCACGCGAAGGTGGCCCTGCTGGGAGTGGGGGAACCCAACAGGTTTGGGTGACACTTACAGTGACACCTTTCTTCCACTCTTCGGTTTCTGCTATTACAAAGGAACTTTATATAATGCAGTCTGGAGCACGTGAATTTTTGAGATGCTTCTGAGCCACCAGTGCTGAAGAACCAGAGCCCTGCAATGACCCAACAGCACCTGTGACCCAGGCGACCAGCAGAGAGAGGAGATGCAGGGGTGTTTTGACAACCTCACTGTGTTTTCAGACCCCAAATTTCCAGCACTGAAACTGCCTCAAGAGCCAGGCTTGGAGCTCCTCTCTTGCCAAGTGCCTCTAGTTTTGTCCTAGAACCTCAGTCCTACGTTAGAAAGGAGAGTATCTACCACTAGGTGCAGTGACATCCCAGTATTAGCTTGCACTGTGTCCTGCAGAGGGACAGCCACGTCCTGGTGCTGAGTTGAGGCTCTGCCCGGGCTCCCCTTGCTTTCCATTTTCCCTCTTTGCACAGGTCCAAAGCTCGGTTACTTCTGATTCACAGTGAGGTGACTAGGATAAATTGTAAAAAACCCCAAATTCCTGATGTTGCCGGTTACTGATGTCAAAGGCACATCCCTGACCTAGGCCTGCTGGAGCTTAGCTCCTCAGATGTGATTTATTCTGCAGACACAAACGGGGTATCCAGGAAGGGGTAAAGCTGAGGTCTCCCGGGCACTTCTGTCCCCTGGGGATGAAGTTGCCACCTGACGGATTTTAACTAACGTAATATTCACGCCTGGCTAAGTAGGAACGAGCACAAACCGCTTGCAAGATGTGGCGAGGCCAAGTGGTCTCCCCTGAAAATCTGCTGCCTCTGTACATATCCCGGTCTCCGTTTGGGGCCATTTCACAGATTCAAGGTGGAAAGCATGAAATATTTTCCTATAGGTGTCTATAGAAAATAGGCCATGCACTAACCTTGAACTTCACAGCTCTACCAAGGGAAAATGCTCTCCTTCCTTCACACCTTAAGACATGTTTAAAGGCAGGTCATGCCTTCATTCAGCCTTTCTCTGACCTTGGGGGCAGTTGGGTTTGGTCCTATTTTGTCTTCTTGCGGAGATGGAAACCTTGGTTTCTCTGTCTCTCCATTTCAAGGCCTTCTCACTCTCGATGTTAGCAAATATTAAAAAAAGAAAAACCTCTGCAAATCGCAAGAGGAAAGCGTTAAAGATTGGGCCATGCTGGTGTGGAAAGCAAGCTGGCCTTCATGCCTGGCAGTGTTTTGCAAAGCCACCAGAAATGTGCACTGATCCCAGCTCCAGCAGGGCGAGAGCTTTCCTCCCACCCTAAGACCCAGAGCAAACAGTCAGGACTGAGCTTGCAGGTCCTTGAGTTGTGATAAAAAAAGATAAATAAATCCAAAGCCTCCTCCTAATACCGGGCCCAGCTCCTGGCCAGCGCTCAAGCTCAATTCATTGAAGTCAGTGAAGGAAATCAGGGCTGCATTAATCCTACTTCAGTTAAAACAAGAACAATAAACACGGCGAGAGCCAGCACAAGTTTTGCATGGATAAGGATTTAGGATTTGGCCTGAAATGCCGGAAAAGGTGCTGATTTTTTTTTTTTTTCCATTTTGCTCCTCTGGCTGAATGTCCTTTTGATTCAGTATGAATGGGAGGCTATTCCTCTCCCTGGTGGTCATCTCTCCTTGGGGACTACGGACAATGTCCTCTGCTCTGTCTGTCACAGGCAGCACCGGGAAGTCTCTTTGTGTCCATCAGAAACATCCCCATAAATCTGCAGGGAAGCCCGGAGAAGGAAAATAGCCTGAACCAAACACAGCAGCCTGTAGCTTAAAATGGTCTCAGTCTGCTCTGCAAGGCTTTGCCAGCACCAGAGGTGCCCACCAGAACCAATATGTGACTTATACAAGAGTTGATCTTCCTGCGGATTCTCCAGTGTCTAATAAAGCCAGTGCTTGCTACCATGCGAAGCCCACGCATCTGTTCCTCCTTCTTAGTCACACACTACCAGCAGAAAGGAGCAAAAAACGGAGCTGGAGGTCTGGAACACACACGCACCTCCTGCTTCGGAAGGAGTGAATTCAAGCAGGAAAACTCCCGTGGTTATTTGTGCAATAAATCTTTTATTCTCTGTGGCTCGGAGGTATTTTAGATGGAATGGAGATACCTTAAAGATGTTTATACTTTCCTCAAAGCCAGGCAAGCAGAGATATCGGAGACATCTAGGCCACTAGAGAAGTAAGTTGTTGTGCAAGCAGAGCTCTCTTGCTTGCAAAATATTCCTCTAAAATGCATTACCGGGCCGTTTTCTGCCATTGGGAGGAGGACCGGCGCATCACCCTTCCGAGGACACCCTTGATCCCAGGGGAGGCTGCAGGAACCTATGCCTGACTGAGTGGACATGGGGACCATAGGTTACATTTCTGAATAGCTTAGAGCTAATCCTGCTTGCTCCTCTTTCCCTTTAATTAGCCTGCATTAAGCAATGAGACATCTCAACTCGCTTGTCCTGAGTATTAATCAAAAAGGGTATCAATTCTAGTTAATTGCCTATCTTTGTTATCTGTCATTCTAAACACTATTAACAGCCGCATTAGTAGCTGCTGAAATGACTCTCGATTAAAGCTGAGCTCAAACCTGCACCAAGCAGGCAGAAGACAGTCCATGTGTCCATATATCTGCGGCTGATCAGGACCTCAAATATATTTGACCTGTTTTGTGAGATCTGACAGATGGGAATGATGCCATGACGGGCCCAAGCTGGCTGCGAAATACGGAGGAAAAAAGTTGGCTCCAAGTCTTCCAAGCCTTCAGCCACGTGTTCTTCTTCCTCTCTCCATAATTCCTCTCTTGTAAAGAGCTTGGCCCTATAAGCAGCTTTTTGAGATGGGCCAAGTCTTGCCGTGCACCTTCTGCAGAGGAAGGAACCTCACATACAATACTGAGGTCAATCTTTAATATCAGCCCGGTGGGGCTGGCACCGTCCCTTTGGAGGGCAAAAATATTTGGTTTATCACACAGTGGACGCCTTTGTCAGAGCCAAAAAATGGACTCCCAGTTCCGATGCTCCGTGAGCCTCCAAAGGCAAAGGAGCTTTTCATTTCCAGCGTTCCCCTGGGGGAATGTTCCTCCACACTTAGGAGGGCGATGGAGTCTGCTAAAGGAAGGGACAAAAGGGACGTAAGAAAAAGACGGACACCACCGGTGGAGGAAGAAATATGCCCTCTGTAAAGCCATAGAGGGGAAAAAAAAGAACTTGTGGTGTGATGGGTAAAAGATTTGATGTGGAAGAACCATGCTCCAGAGAAGGAAGACTCATTCTTCTCTTGGGGATGAATGCCAAGAAGGAAGACGACGTTTCCGAGTGCCAAGTTGGCCATGGTTACGGCACAGCCGGTCCTCCAGTTGCGCACATCCTTGGTTCTCACTCACATTTTTCTCCTGCTAGTCATTTTTGGGGGCTCGTTCCCGTTCCTCTGGGTAGGAAATGTGTGCCTAGGCAGTGCATCTCTGGCACTCGGAGGAGTTCAGCTCTACTAAATCCTTTGGAGCTTTGTGCCTGCATGAGACTCTTCTGCATCCAGTTTTTCCTGGTTACTTGATCGTGGCCCAAACCCTCCTTTTCCACACCTCCTTACGCCAGCCTTGCTCATGCTCTCTGCAGGCCTTGTCTCATTCACAAAAACAGCCTTGGTGAGATGATTGAGACTGGTCACCAATGAACGGAGTGAGACCACAAAGTATGTTGCACTTTCGTTCCAACAAAAAGCCAAGAAATAAAGATTTCATTTTTTTCAGGGTTTATTAATGTTCAAGACTGAGTCAAAAGCATCAAAACTTAGTCACTGGCCTAGGCCAGACACAGTTATGTTCTGGACCTGCTTCCTCTCCTCTCCTTGAAGCAGGGGAGAGGAGCTGGAGAAAAGCAGAGCAAAAAGTGACTCTGAGAGCAGGACTCCTGTTAAGAAAGCTCTGCAGAAAAGGAACAGGGATTCGTGACGTTGCTCAAGGCTGATTTACAACCCCAAGGGTGGCAAACGCTGCATTCCCCGGTTTAATGGAGGGGGCAGGGTCTGAAGTTCCCTCATCTGGAACACAACAGAAGGAAAGCATCAGGTTTCCTGGGACCATGATCCCACCTCCATCAGCAGGAGCTCCTTTGGCATTCTGCATCCACATATATATGCCATCCCATGCTATCCTCTCGGGACACAGCAGCCACGGTAGCAATTGCCTGAAGACACAACAAGAAGAGCCAGTCCTCGCAACCGCCACCAACAGCTTCTCCA